CCCCCCCCCCCCCCCCCCCCCCCCCCCCCCCCCCGGCCAGTTCTGGCGCTGGACATCCAGAAACCCCTGTTGCCGTCGCGCGCCGCCCGCACCCTCCAAAACCCAAACCGGGGGCCCTGGCACTGCACATCCTTGTTCCCTGTCCCTGTCCCGTCGACCAGCCAGCACTGAGTCCACTTCTTCCTCCTCCTCCTACTCCTCCACCGGATCTACCTTGTCTTTTTTCCTTGTTGCTGCTTGATTCGCCGTGGCGTGGCTGTTCGCCATCCATTCCACTCGTTTGGCCGCTCCAATCCGTTCGCTCTTCTCCTCCTCTGGAACGAACAACTTCAACGTCCGACCCTCATCTTCAACCTCGAGCTTTGACTGTTTCACTTTGAATGAGAGCCTTCGAGTCCTCGAAAGCAATTCCCCTCACCGCCGGTTTTTATACCCTCTTCACACGCCTCATCCGAATCCTCACGGGCTCTTATACCAAGCCCAGTTGTGACCCGCCAGCACTTGTATGGTGTACGTCGGGACCCGAGACCCCTAGCCACCTGGCCGTCACCGCATCCCATCACATCGCATACGAAGTCAAATCCAGCCTGGACAGGCCACCGGCCAGCCTGTGACTCGCCGAGGGGTAGTCTGCAATCAGGTGAGTGACATGCAATTTGATCCGTTTTTGGACCTTTCACTGTGGATCTCGATATGGGGTTTCGTTTTCCAGGGGACGAGAAAAAGAAGCTGTGAAGAGGGCTCTGGAGCAGGAAACGGCGTCTGAGAGATGAGAGTTGGAGGGGGTTCCGAAAGCCATTGCCAGCTGCCCAGTCTTGCTGGTCGATCATGACAGAGCCCAAGTGTGCTCTCCTCTGGTCCCTGGCCGTTCCCATGGGCTTCCCTCATCCGTCCTTGGTCTCTCTTCGCTGGCCCCTCTGGCCCTCAGCCCGACACGAACCCGGACTTGCATCCATAGTTGGATCAAGACCTCGAGAAAAGGCTGTCGACGACCCACTCCTCACATCTCCACTGCACCGTCATCCACGCTGCTTGGTTGTTTATAACAGCCACGTCTTATCTCTAAACATTGCCGATTCGCGACTTGAGGGGCCGTCTTTAAAGCTCCGTGTTGGCTCGACTTTGTCTGGGCCCTTGCTTGCCTCTTCCTTTGGCTCTGTGCTTGCAAGTGCTCTCAACTGGGGACCTTCATCCAGCCATATATACCCATTATACCACAGCACACCTTGCTCACACACTGCAAGCTGCAGGATAGTGAAGAAGCACACTTTCTGACCTTGTCCTGCCATCAGCAGTGACGACTTGTCGCCATCAGCACCAGGCCATCTGCTCGCTCCAACATTGGCTCTACGTCTCCAGTCAGTTCCTGATTTCTGTTATTAGTGTTCAAATTCTCTGCCTTTGGTTGTTTTGGACGAGAGCTCATTGCCACGACTTCGAGTGCGGTCTTGCTGCACTTTGAGATGTCTCAAACTCCGTGCGCCTCTCCTTGAATGCCCTCGTTTCCCTTTCCATCTCGCAGCACTTGCTTTTTCTGTCTCATGAATATTCACGACTAACCCAATGGCTCCCTGGGCCAAGGCAGCATTCGATCTCATAGGAGGCACCGATAACAACCCGAGAAACATCATGTCGACATACAACCCGTAAGCTATATCTTATCTCTTCACATATCTACTTTGCCCGAGCCAGAAACTGACACTGACTCTTTTCAACGGCGCAGTACCAGTCCTGGTAGCCAATCAGTGGAAGCGCCAGTGACTGGAGAGTATTTGGAGAATGGGCGCTATTATCCAAGTTACAAAAGGGGCCAGTACATGTTTCCCTGCGACGAGGTCAGTGTCCTTTGTCAGACTCATCTCGTCGCTGCGAGGGGCGTATCATGTCACTCTATCTTTACTGACTCAAGTGTCTCCATGCGTAGGAGGAGCGTGACAGGCTCGATGTCTTCCACAGAATGTATTTCGAGGCCCGAAAAGGTCACCTACACAGCGCACCACTAGCTCGAGATCGTCAAGTGAGGATATTGGATGCCGGAACTGGTACAGGAATCTGGGCCATCCAGATGGCAGAGTAGGTGTCCCCTGCTTCCTTCGTCACCTTGTGTTGGACCCTAATGCTGACCGACTCATCAGCACGTACCAGAATGCACTCCTCACCGGCACCGACCTGACCATGATGCAACCCAACCTGTCTGTCCGACCTCTTGTTCCTTGAATGACACCTTCGTTGACTAATTGAATTCCAACAGCATACCTGCGAATGCTCGCTTTTTGCAGTCAGACATGGAAGCGCCTTGGTCTCTGGGTGAGACCGGGTGGGATATGATCCATGTCAGAGCCATGATGGGCAGCATCGCCCGCTGGGACCAATTTTACCACGAAGTCACAAGGTAACACAAGAATGACTCTTTGATCTTCCGTAGAACATTGACTCCTAACACGAATCATGATAGACATCTACTACCGGGCGAGGGTCGGCTCGAGCACGTCGAGATCGACTGGACCCCGCGATGTGACGATGGAACTCTGGCGGAGAACGCAGCTGTCAGAACCTGGGCTCACGAGCTCATGGGCGTCATGGACGAAACCGGGCGCCCCATGAGGTTCGACCCACCTAGGCAGAGGCAGCTCATGGCTGAAGCGGGACTGGTCGACATCACCGAGGAGATCATCAAAGTGCCGTTCAATGGGTGGGAAGGGGACCTCGCTGATAGGCCAGCTGGTCGATTCTTCTTCCTCGGCCTCAAAAAGGGCATCGAGGCGCTCAGTCTGGCTCCCTTCTGCCGCTACAAGAGGATGTCACCGGAAGAGGTGAAGGCCGTCACCGACAAGGTGATCTCTGAAGTGAGCCTTCGCCGTAATCACGGCTACTGCAACTTGTAAGTTGGGACATGCGACTTCCTTACTTCTACCTGTTTGGGATACAGGATTAATGTTTCGCAGATACGTATGGACGGCTCGGCGGAGGTAGGGCATCTCGGGCCAAAGATTCTGGGCTTCTGTTATTATATCCGGCATCACCGACCAGCGATGCTTTGATGCGCTTCTGTCTTTCTACTTCACTGTATTCACGTCGAGCATTTATATCAGCGTTATAAAAGCGATGCTATGTGGAGTTTGCTCCTATTAGGGACATGACATCTTTGTCGAGAAGGGAAAAGAACAGCCGGGTGGGACGGACAAACCGCTGGTGGTGATGGTCCGTCCGTTGGCAGAGGGCATGGGAAACATGGGCCGGGTTGGATCACACCGCACTTCCACATCCAGGTTGCGGACGGGGGCGTTACGATACGATTTACATATTGCATGGCGTGCTCTCGGTCCCGGGTCAGGAGCCCGGTCTGCACCTCTTTTTTTCTTAGTTTGAGGCCTTGATAAGCGAGGCCTTGATTGACTCCCTTTCTGGACAGTGAGAAGATGTGTGTTGCTTTTCGCGGGGGTCCTTGCTTTCCAGCCTTTGGCGGTCTGAACAGCAGGGGAAATGGCAAGAGCAGAGGTGCCCAGCCAGCATTCTGCTATGCCATTCAGAAACTGAGACATACTTTCACGAATGTGGACTTGGGAAATGCAGGCAGTACTACGGACTGTACCGGTGGCCTCGATACATACATACATACATACAGACCATACATACATACATACATGCATCATGCATGTACATCGTTCAGGCCTCCCACGGCCTCCACAGATGACTGCAGACTGCAGCATCACAAAAGGGGTTGGAGGGGGCGGTCACCTGGATAATTTGGGGGCCATAGGTAGCATGGGTTGAGGGAGAGGGTATGAGGCGCGGGAAAGGAGGCCGGCCCTAGATAACACGTTTTAAACACTGCATTTGTAATGTATAACCCCCCCCCCCCCCCCCCCCCCCCCCCTCCCGAGCGCCGAGTTTATTGAATCTGACTCGCCAACTAGCTGCAACATCCTTGGCGCCGGCTCAGCGACAGAATTGTATTACATTCGGGCCGCGTGGGCGACAGCCCAGAAGCCTGCCTTACAGACTAGTAATCCCCTGTCAGGCTTGTTCAGATAGCCAGCCACAAGCTTCGAAGACTGTGTGATCAATGGCTACAGAAGATCCGGTCCTTGCGCTATCGGATACTGTCATCATCAGAACGCGGTTTAGGAGAGGGCGAGCCGTTCTTGAGAACCAGCTTGAAGTTGATAGGATAAGAAGACAGTTTCAACACCAAGAAAAGAAAAGCAAAAAAAGAATGTTTGAAGCTGGGTTCGAACGTCGCATCTATCCTCAACATGTATCGCCCAAAGGAACTCCTTTAGGGGTAAGCATTTGATGTCATTGTTCGTGAATCCCCCTGAACCAAGTAAATCCCCCTGAACCAAATAACCAGCTTGCTTCAATGTTGAGAGCGACCACCTCTAAACTTACTTATCATAGTACGTACTCCGAGAGAAGTACCAAAGCCATGCCAATCCGGGGGGGGGGGCGTGGAGTATGTCGTGCAATGGCGGGAACCACGATGCATCCTGAAAATGTCCGAAACGTATCGACCTTACACTCTTGGCAAGTGTGTCTCATGCGTGCAGGGCCGAGAATCGGGCTGCTAAGACTAATGTTCGTCCTATCCGCATCTCCGCCAGATGTGGTATCGAGACGGATCCTCCCAAAGATGAGCAGACCAAGGAGGCCAGGCCGTGCGTCTGCAATTCAGTCGGCTCTGCATGGCTACATGCTGCCGTGTCGGGGGCCAGGCCGCCCACATGTTGAGATGAATATGGGCCCGGGAAGAGATCGCCGTACTCGTGCGTCTTGGGTGAGACATTGAGTCTCGGAAGTACCGATCTCTTAGCCATGACCTTGGTGAGATCCCCTCTGCTCTCATGTCATGATGCGAAGAGTTCACAGTCGTCATAACTGCACTTTCCCCCCTTGCATTAGCAGTTACCTGCCTCTTGAGTTGAACTCAAGAGCCGATTTGCCAATGGGGCAAGCAACTCGGGCATTGTCGGAGGGGCCCTGCGATATTTCCTTCTTTCTTCCCTTGCATTGTTGAGAACGTGGTTCTGAGACATCTGGCAACCTAAGCGACGGAGGGTCAGGCGCAAGGTAAGCAAGGGAACCAACCAACATGCTGGCCGTCGATCACAACTGACAGATCCACGCATGCATATTCCACCGGCATCTGAGCTGAGAAATGAGAGCCCACCCGGATTGCTGGACAGGGCCTTGGCCACATGCGTGAAAGTGCTCAGAACACCATCTGGGGCGGGTAGAGAAAAGCAATGCGGGAGTGATCCTTCCAAACGGCCCATGACCCCTCCCTCTCAGCCCGTTATGTCCGCAAGTGCAGCATGGCGCGACCATCACGGAACCAATACGAACGCAGTATTTTCACCCTGGCATACAGGTACCTCTTTCTTTCTCAATCTTGGCATTGCACAGCAGTGTGTCCGAGTTGCATTTTGCCATGTGTATTTAAGAGCACGAAAACGACCGATTTGAGGTCGTGCAACCTATTGCCATGCCTGAGCCTACGATCCTCCACGAGGGCTTGCCGGTCTGAGACATAAATCCACCTGTTCGAACTGCTTTCTTGTTATCAAAATTTTACCAGCTCACAAACTCTTCTGTTTGTCCTATTCTCCATTCACTGCTTTCTCTATCTTCAAACATCAGTACCTCAAGAACACTATGGCGGCTGCAACAGCTACTGTGAATACACCTCCTTCCTCTTCTCACGGAGCCCCAATGGCAGAGAGGCCTCTCACAGCAGAGGAAGTCTTTGACAGCGTCGGCTCGGCCTATGAAGACGCCTTTGCCGGTCTCCCCGAGCAGGCCTCTTCTCTTCAATGGCTCATACGTGAGCTCTCCAGGAGTGGCCGCACCCGTGCCAACATCGTTGACGTCGGCTGCGGAACTGGCCGGCCGGCATGCAGTACGCTCGCCGCTGCCGGTCACGATGTCTTGGGCATCGACATATCTGCTGCCATGATCGAAGCAGCACGCGAGCGCGTCCCAGAAGCTCGCTTTGAGCAGGTCGACGTGCGTGACTGGCTCGATCGCACGTCGCCGCACTCACTCGACGCCGTTACGGTGTACTTCAGCCTTATTGCTGATGTCACTCAAGATGAGATTCGTTCATTTATCGCTGGCATCTACCGTGTGCTTAAGCCTGGCGGCTTGTTTGTTTTCTCCACAGTTCCGGTGGATGGAGAGAACATGCAACTCAAGTGGATGGGCAGGCCCGTGGTGGTCTCGAGCTTGCCACCCAAGACCGCCGTTCAGTGGATACGCAGAGTTGGATTCAAGGTTGAGCATGAGAAGGTGACCAAGTTCTTGCCCAAGGCTGCGGAGGCAGGCATTTGTAACGCTGAAGATGTCTGGGAGGAACCACATCTGTTTGTTTATGCTAGGAAGCCAGGAAGCGCATGAGATAACTCGGGTCTTTGAAAAGCAGAGTCGATTCATACATGTAGCTCATTTGACTTGATTATTATTTTCTCCCCGCGCACGCCATCAAATTTGGCCAGGCATTAAAGTCATTGCTTGATCTCCTGCTTGTGAAAAACGTCTATTCCAACAGTCAGTGAATATGTTAGTCAGCTTCAACCAGACCAAGAACGTACTCACCTGGGATTTCGGGCATCCAAGAAGCCCTTGATTTGCAGAAGAACTCTCCCTTGGGCGGTAACTTCTCTGGCTCATCCATAGTTCCCCACATGATGTACCGGAACTTGTCTGCTGCTTGTTCCTGGTGAGGTCAGCACGCGGTGAGGGCATGTAGCGCGAGGACCTGAAGCGTTGAACTTACACCATATTCGCAGATGAAGACGCCACAGTTGTCACAAAACTCCCTAATCACGCCGTTGTCTTGCTTGTAGAGCTTGGGTTTGCCTTGCTCGTATTTGAAACCGTCAAGCGGCACCTTTGTGGTAGTCCCAAAAGGCGTGCCAAAAGCCCGACGACAGCTTGAGCAATGACAGAGTGATGTTCGACCCGCGTCCGCATTCTCAAGTGAGACGCTGTAACGTAGCGCGTTGCAAGTGCACCTGCCGCGGACTTTCATTGCAGACATCGCAGCAGTGAAACGCTAGCCGGTCTTTCTAGGAAATGCTAGTAGAATGATAGGACCCTGTATGATCAAGGGGGAAAGGGTCTTCGACACAGCGGGGAAGCATCAATAGGGTTCTCATACGAGAGAGAAAGGTGCGGTGCCCTGCAAAGATGATACTTTGTTTCCAGTCGATTACAACCTTTTAGGACCCAGAAACCTTGTCCGAGTATGCTCTGCTGTGCATGGGGTGACGTGATCCCATCATGATTCCGCCTGTGCCATGATGTCATCGGTAATTTCACGTGTCACCGACTCCAATTCTCCTATACCTACACCTGCACCACATCACGAATCCCAGGGAGGCCACGGAAATCTATCACATTGCATGCCGAATATCTAATTCACTGCGCCGAGCATTCATGGTGTACTGCAAGGCTGGCTGTCGCGGCGGGGAGCGAAGGAGTAATTAGACGCGTCTAGGGAGGACGATTATGATGATAGCCTCAGTTCGCGTGAAAGTCGCCTGTCAAGGCGCGTGCTGGCTTAATGTATAGACACCATAATAGATGAAGAATCGAATAATTGACAAGAGAATATGATACGAAAATATCAAGTCCTAATACAGTCCCCACTTGACACCTTGCTTCTTGATGTTGCCATTGCATTTCATGTCTCCCTTTGCTCCCACCTTGCCGCTCCCGCCAAATCGCTTGATCGACTCGTTGATGATGTCGATGACGTCCTGGCCGCCGACATAGAACTCCACGTTGCCGTTGACCTCGGTCGCCTCGACGCCAAATTGGCAACTTCCATACTTGGCGATCTCGCGCTGCCGCTTGCCAACGACCTGCGTCGTCCACTCGGTGGTGCCGTCGCCCTCAATGTTCTTGATTATCTGGAGACAGTCGCTGACACTCGGGGAGGCGTCGCTCGACTGGTTCTCAAACGACGACTCACCACACTCGTCCTTGCCCGGGGGGATATCGCACGGGAAATTCGGGCTGGACCCCAGGCTCGACGTATCCCATGACTGGAACGCGCGCTCAGGGCTGCACACGGGCAGGCGGATGAACCCGGGCGTCGTGACGTCCACGTCGAGCAGGTCGTTGATGGTGCCTCGGTTGCCGACATCCGCGCCCCCGCCGCCGTTCTTCTTGCCGTTCTGGATGTACGTACGCACCGAGCCTTTGATCAGAATCTCCTTCGTGACGCCCCCAAAGTTGGTCCCGTCCAGGGAGTCGAGACCCGGTGGCGTAGAGAACATCCTGTCCAAGCAGCCGCCCTCGCCGCAGTCTTGAGCATTGCCTTCTACACGTACGAGGTAGTACATATTTCCTTCGAAGCAGTAGCCCGTGGCGTCCATCGTCTTGTCGTCGAGGTACTTCTTGAGGGGTTTGTCTACGTTGCATCCGAAGCCCGAGTCGACGACGAAAGCCCAGGCACTGGAGACCTTCCAGAGGGCGGGTATGGCGTACGCAAAGAAGGACTTTTGAATATTGGCTCGCAGAGTGGGCTCGTCTGCAGTGCCCGCTGCCTGCTGGCCGCTGCCGTCGTTGAGCTTACCGTCAGCTATCGCTTTTTCTATTCTGTCGAGTGCCTCTGGTGTGCCTCTGAATAGCTCTTCGAGGGCTTTGGCTGTAACATTGGCCCACCCGTTGACAACTTGACCCATAAAGTTGGAGAACGCTCTCTGATTCTCTGGTTTCCAGTCGCTCCCTTTCGGATCGGCCAACATGTCTTTGGCTATCGTTGTACTCTGCCCAATTATGGTCATGGTCGTGTCCTTGGCGTTGTCGAGGGTGGACCCGGCCGCTTTAGCAAAGTATGGTAGGCTCTTCAGGAAAGTATTGAAGAATGGCCCGGCAGCAGAGAGTGTACCAAGCGTGACGAGATCAATGACAAGCAGAAGCCATGTGTTGTCAGGCTCCGGTGGAATGGGGGCAAAATTATCTTCCAGGTTGTCAAGGGCCGTGGCGCTGAGGGCAACCGCATTGAATAATGTTTGATGATAAGCGGCGTGCATGTTGTGGATTGTGGTTAATGCGTTCCAGATGAGCTCGGCTGCAGGTCCCGACAGGGGCCCATTCGCACCCTGGGGACAGCCGATAGCTTGGCAGCCGCTTGGGAGCACGCTTCCGCACTCGGCCGAGCCTGTTTCGGCCTTCAGTGTCTGTAGCACGGAGCTGATGAAGGTTATGCCGGTGTTTCGGTCGGTGTCTTCGTAGATTCTCCTAACATCTCGCCACGCCTCGGCCGCTTTCAGTCCTTTCCAGCGTTCTTGAGCCGAATACTGATTCTTATGATTGACATACTCGTCATCACAGTTTAGATCAGTCCAGCCTCCATTTCGAGAATCATCGGACTTGGGGTTCTCTCCGTTCTGGGCACGCTCTTTGAAAACCGCCCAGCTTGATGCTGGATGGGGCACATCATGGTACTTTTGTAGGTCGGTGGCCCAATCGGTCGTGCCTCCCATGCCCCAGGCAGTGTATAGTGACGTTCGTGTCTTTTTGGTGCTGGCACTCATGTACGATACCCATTGATTGTCGTCGTAGACGAGGATATCGCTGTTGCTAGTTGGGTCCAGGAAGCTAGTTGTAACGCGGCCGACACGGCGCTTGTCATTCATAATCTCGGCAATCTCAGCGTCAGCAATATACCCAGCTGTGCCCGTGCAGACACCTTTGGTTGCTTGGGAGTTGAGTCTATCACCAATGAACTGGCAATTCGGTCCCCAGCATCCCGCCTCGGCCATTTTGAACGACCGCCCATAACTAGTGACGCCAACAATAACCTTAGACCCTGGGACACCAGCCTTAGTAATCATGGCCAATGACTGCTTAGTCTCGGTCAAGTTGACCTGGCTCCGAAGGCACTTTCCCGTGTCGCATGCCTCCTGCGAGTTGGCGTTGTCTGCATCCCATTGGCCGTGGAGATCATAGGTCATATAGACTATGTAATCAACCACTTTGCCGATCTCCTTGATCGGGTATTGCTTCAAATACCAGTATGACGAGGGAGCGGCAATAGAGACGGATTTCCCTGGTAGAAGGTTCTTCAAGATCACCAAGAAAGCCAAGTAGTTGGGCCCGTCGTCTTTGCTAGCTGGAGGGATGCCGGGCAGATCAGGAGCGCCGGGATATTCCCAGTCGATGTCGACACCGTCCAGATTATGCTTCTTGATGAAGTTGGCAATATTTGTAGCCATCTTCAGGCGGTTGGCTGGCGTCACGCCGTTTCGGAAGATGGCATAAGTCGCGGGAAATGTTGAGAAATCCCAACCACCGAAGGAGAGGACCTTTCTGGCATTTTTGATGAGCTTGAACTGTGAAAACTGATAGGAGGACAATTCGTCGCCCGTCTGAACTTCGTAGTCGGCTGTCAACGTTCCGAAAGCGAAGTGTATATGGGTATACGCCGAACTATCGATCTGAGAAGCATCTTGGTATAGGCAATCGCGTCCCATGCCGTAACCTTCGAAATATCCAACCCTGATCGAGCCACCTCCGTCGCCCTTGACCACGTCCATCCCACAATTGGAGATGCAGCCGTAGGTGCCCGGCTTGGCGGTTCCTGGGGCTCCTGTGTTGGTATCGATACAGAAGTCTCTCGTGATGCCACACTGACCCCATATATTGCAGCAAGCATTCAGAGGGCAAGGGTTGAGCTTGGCGATATCCGATCCGTCGGTCGGCGGCTTGCTACCGGGCTTCTGTGGACCACATACCGCGTTGGCGATTTCGGCCGGAAAGGGCGGTGTGCCCTTACTTAGGCACATGATGGTGTCGATAAATAACAACTGACAGCCGTTCCATCCCCAGGTCTTCTTATTGAAGTCCTCAAGCTTCTGTCTCGTGAGACTGAACTGGGCGGCTAGGTCATCGCAGTTGTCATTAGGCTTGACTTGGTACGAATGGCATGAGCCATCCGGGTTGGGGCTGGGACTGAAGTCTGGGAGGCTTCCGCTCGAGCAACAAACGTGCTGTTTCGGCTTCAAAGTCGAGCAGAAACTGGACGCAGAGTTGTACTTGGTGAAGTCGGCTGCCGAAATACCACACTTGGAGGCCAGCTTGGCGCAGCTGTCGCCTGACTCAACCTGGACGGTTTTACAGTCAGCACGGCTGTGCAGGCGGCTGAAAAATCTCGCAGCTACCGTTGAGTTGGTGGATCCATTGGCTTGCACCAACGGAGTGGTTAACTCAACCTCGCCAGCAAGTCGGTCGGATTCCGAAAATGACAAGCAAGACGCGTTGTTCCACCCTTTGATGGCGTCCTGGATTGCAGAGAAGGAGCCGTTACTAGTAGCCATAATACCAAAGACATGGCTGCTGTCATATCTCGGTCCACAAAGCTGCATCGCCAAGCTCGGTGTCGAGGTGTTGAAGCTCACAAGCCTGTTTTGAAAGGTCTTGAGAGCACTGCTGGCCAGGCCATGGTACAGCAGACCCTGGCCGATATAAAGACCGACAGTAGCTTGGCCAGATTGGGCAAACATGATGAAAGGTCTGTCCGTGGTGCCGTAGCCCTGCTCTAGGTATGTTCGCAGCTGCTTCATGAGGGAGCGAATGCCCGACGCTGCCAAACCAAACCCCTCGTTCCACCATCCCATCTCAAAGTCTACATTGACAGACCCTAACACTTCTGTCTGAGACTTCGTGGCAGGAAGTACCGAGAAGTCGGGACCAAATGACGAGCAAGCATGAATGCGGTGTGTGCTTTCCTCGTCGTCAACCGGATCATAGAGAGAAAAATCGTAAAACATTGACTGTTTACATTTCTTGATCTGTTTGAAATCTGGATGAACTGACCAGTTCCCTGTGCTGGGACCGGAAACGAAGCAGCGATTGGGGCAGACCTCAACATCGCGATAGGCTGGGCTGGATGCGAGTCTGAACCCAGATTGTGCCGAAGCTCCATCGGCAGAGAGGAACAGCCCAATGATGCCAAGGGCGAGCTTGGGCCACAATAGAACTAACATACTTGTTTGTCGGCCTTGGAGGAAACCTAGTGGCAAGTACTCGAGGGACAAACTCATACGAAGAGTTACTTGAGCTGGTCTCTCCTAGTATTGGCCCAAGACGAGGATGCTGCTTTATACGAAGTGGTTGAAATCAAAGATTGGTATTGTTTCTAATGTTTCGTTGAGCTTGCTCTTCTTTCCCCTTTCTCTTCACCCGTTCCAACGACTCTCTTGTTGCCGAATGTGTTCATGTCAATCTCTTTGAGATTTTGACATAAGCGCAATTTACAATTCGGCCCAACCAGAAAGAACAAGGATATTTGGTGTAACCCAAAGGCCGCTCAGGATTTTTCTATGTTGTATAAATCCTTGCGATAGCAGCGCGGAAACGAGATGCTGCGCCGCGTGAGACGCCGTCGTCGCCGAACGTATGACAGGCTTCTCTGCAGGCATGGATGATGCTGTTGGTGCGAACCCATGCAGGGGCAAGAATAGCCTGCAATAAGACTCTAATATCGCAATGAAGTGGTCCCCGGTGTAGCAGGTCGTAGTAGGAGTTGCGTCGCACCATTGAAACCCAACCAACACTTTGGGGCCGATCCGGTCCCCAGGAGATACTCATGGGCTGCCAATCTGGTGAGCTGACATGAAACCCTGACAGGAATGCCCGTAAGCCGCTAACAGGGCTCCCACCAATAGGACGAGAACCCGAGGCGCAGTGTTTCAAGCATAATTTAGCCTGTTGCTGAATGGTAAATGAATACGCCCTGCCACAAGCGACCAACAACTATGTGTGTGGTGGAGTAACCCCCAAGTTAGCGAGTTGCCTATAGGACACTCAAAGATCCAACTCGCGGACACAATCCCCTGCGCCAAGATTTAAGGTTGATTTGATTAATTATTCTGCCTAGATACTGCAGACGATGGATCACATCAGCAGGTAAAGTGCAGCCCCAAGTCCGGCGCCCACGCACGCGATGACCCCGACGAGCAAACGCTGGGCGCTATTCTTCTTGTTGTCGTCCTTGGGTGGACAGCCGACCGCGGCCGGTGGCGCCAAGCCGTCGCATATCTGCGCAGTCATAGATGCAGACATGCTCGAGGCCGCGGCAGAGTCTACCTTTACTCGACACGGATCCGGCTGGGTCTCAGAGCCTGCCACTACCGCACACGTCTCGCCACCGGGCCATTGTACGGTGTTGGGGACGCTCGCGGTGCCGGTGATGTCGAGAGCGACGTTTGTACTGCTTGAGCATTTGTCGTCGTTGCTAGCCGCGACGAGATCTACCTGCGGCGCTGCGTTTTTGGTGCTGAAGATCATGCTATTATCCGTGAGATTGGTGGCGATGCCGTTCCCCCGCTCGTCCTTGCAGCTGTACCAAACCAGGGTCCAGGTGAGCTGCCACTTGCCCTCTACATTGAACTTGGTGGAGCCAAGATAGAGAAAGTAAGGATCGTTGGTGGACATGTTGGCTTTGTCAACCTCCAAGGACTCGCCCACGACGGCGTTGCTCATATTGTCCCTGTCCCATATGGTGAATGTGATCCGCGGACTGAGCAGTACTCCCGGCTTGGCATTGCGAAAAGCGAAGACGAGAGGTAGGACCGGCGAGGGCGCGTACGTCTCGTTGCGCGGGAAAATCAAGTCCACTTCCACGGTGCCGAGAGGGTCGTTCGCAGCATCGGCGAGGGCGGCGAAGGCAGCAACGATTGTCACCACCCCGACGAAGAAGGCCCGAGTGACTCCGGTGGGAGCGTGCATGCTGACGCGGATAAAAGATTGAGATTATTTTCTGGTCTGGTGACAGCAGGTCGTATTGGCATGGATGTCAACGTTGTAAGTTCAATGCTGACGAAGGAACAAAAGAAATGACAGTCAGGGACAGGTGTTTGGGTTGGTAGGATTAATATAAAGAAGAAAAGGGATCCGTTTGGGCGGCACACCTGCATTTGAACTTTGCCGCAGCGTTTCATCCGTGTGCGCTGACTGGCCGCGTTAGCCGTGATTGTGTTGGGTCCCGAAATGGACAAATTGGATGGAAGACCTCACTTGGGTAAACCTCTCCACATAATTAATCATCCCTACCAGCTGTATCACTCGAGATCTTGGCCATCGCAAGCCTTTGTCCCAATGGTTATACGCGCAGAACCGAAATGAGCATATGCACTTAGCAATAGACAATGTCGTATTCTCCACTGATGTCGCCGGGTGCATCTTAAAGTCAGTTGAGAGGAGTATTCGGTGATCTCCAGGTCCCTGGCATCGCATGACCTTGTTGACACATTCTCGACTTCATCGCCAGGCTGTTTGAATTGGTTATAAGACGTACGAGCTTTGGACTATTCCAGTGCATTTAGTCCAGGCTTCTTTCACTCAAGCTTTTTCCAACGTCTTTCTCTGGATGCAGTAGACATGTCACCAAAGATGATGTACCTCGTGGTTGCCGGGCTCGTTCCCAGCATAGTCTTTGCTAAAGCCGTGGACCTCACGCCCCGCGCCATTGTTTGCGACTTTTCCACGGAGCCTGTCAGCGGCGACACGTGCGAAAGCTTTGCGAGTAGCTGGGGCCTGTCTGTCGATGATCTAAAGAAATTGAACCCCGGTGTGCAGTGCCCTGGGTTGGACGGCTCCAGGTCGTATTGCGTGATCGGCACCGTCAACTCGGACCCCGAACCAACTACGACTACGCGACCTCCCATCACCACCTCCAAGCCATCCACAACTGCGCCTCCCACAACGTCAACAACGAGCCCAGCCGCGCCGAGCAACTCTCCCACTATGCCTGGAGTCGCAGCCAACTGCGATAAGTTCTACAAAGTGTCATCTGGAGACCAGTGTGACATCATTTCTTCCAAGTTCGGCATCAGCACAGCCCAACTCAAGAACTGGAACAGCGAGATTAACACGGGTTCGTGAAACTTTCGACATCTTGTTAGTCAGGTATCAAGTCTTGTTTTGAAGCTGACATTTCCACAAACAGACTGCACAAACCTTTGGCTTGGATACTACATATGTGTACACGTATCGGGCGCGGCCACGACCACGGCTGGCTCGTCCCAACCAACACAGCCGCCCTCGTCAGGCCCTACACCCCAGATGCCCGGTACTATTTCTAGTTGCAAAACATACTACCTGGTCAAGTCTGGTGATACGTGCTGGGCCATCTATACAAACGCCGGCATTACATTCAGCCAATTCCTCTCTTGGAACACGGGCGTCAATTCAGAATGCACGAATTTGTACTTGGGCTATTATGTATGTATCAAAGCCTAAGGGGTGCCGAGGGAACCTGGAGACGAAGGAAATAAAATAGTTATATCACCCGTCCTGCGATATCGTTAAATTGGAAGGTTCTAGCTCGTCTTTCCCGGCTGCTACAATGAGAGTCGCCGGATGAGGGCAGATAATATCTGTATATCTAGTGTATCTACCGATTTCTAGCTGGTGGAGTGTCAAGGTGAGGAATTGCCTTCGACTGAAGCCGAGAAAACTTTTAACAAGGACACAATAGACGCTATCAGCACCTCTGTCTTCTGACACTTCTTTAGATGACATGTAACCTCTGAGAAGTTGCCAAATTCCAGCATTGTTCTTCTCGTCCCCACAACTCTGTAACTTAGCAACCCAATTTCTTAGAAGAACATGTTAAGATAGTGTAGAATTAATAAATGAATAAAGTAATGATTATGATATCGGAGAAATGGAAGTTGGTAGATGCATTCTCTGAACAATTGACATCCAAACTATCTTGGGGTCGAACAAGATTCAATGGGATTGGCTCTTCATATTAGCTGTGCTGAATGGACGCCCTGGACAACAGAGCTGTGAGATGCGATCTCATCACTGACCCTTAGGCTAAGGCACAGCTGTTTGGAGAGACTCTCCCCGCGACATCAGTCGATGCTGAGTTATCATTGGGGCCTCGAATATTGATTTGCATGCTCGAAGGCGTGCCCCAGTTGCCGTAGACCGACCGCAAAGGATAGTAGAATCCAGCTTCCATCTGCACGCTGGCACACTTTTCCGCGTTGTCCCTACCAAACCAGTAGCTGTCGAAAGAAGCGGCCCCTCTCGGGGTTGCGCCGTTGGACGCGTCACCACATGGGAACGCTGAGTCGGATCCGATGTACAACTCGTTTCGGTTGTCCGCAGATGTACAGAACTGATAGGTACCGGAAACGTTCGGGACGAAGTAGCCAGTGAAGAGGATGGTGAAGTTGTTGGCATTGAAAGTCATTCCTCCATACGATTTCGTCAAACCGGGATGATACTGGAAGTTTTGCCCACTAGGCTGCAGAACGACATCGGGTCCAGACTGGTCATTGTTCTCTCCACCCGGTACTGCCAGGTTGTCGGTACTGCCCTGAGCCAGCGACGGCTGGCCCAGGTAATAGTCCGGGCCGACGCCGCTTGTTCCGTCGCTGACACCGTAGCCCTCAGTGTTCGAGACCGAGTTGGCATAGAGGTCCAGAGACAAACCACTTGTACCGCAAGTACCCGGTGGGAAGTAGCATGCGTTCGTCGGCGGTGTCGGGGTGGGACTTGGGACAGGGGTGATAACCGTAGTCGTGCACGGGGCCGTACAGTCTGAAGCTGGTGGAATAGTTGTTGGCACACAAGCCGCTGTCCCAGAACACGTGCTTGTCGACGTGATGACAGTATTGGGTGGAGGCGAGGTAGGCGTGATGACAGTCGTGGTACAGGGATGCACACAGTCGGAAGCTGGCGGAATTGTTGTTGCAACACAGGGCCCTGTACCGGAACAAGTACTTGTTGACGTGATAATAGTATCAGGAGGAGGCGAAGTAGGGGTGATGACTGTTGTGGTACACGGAGGGATGCAGTCGGAGGCGGGCGGGATGGTTGTTGCGACGCAAGGCTCCGTACCCGAACATGTACTGACTGACGTGACGACAGTGTCAGGAGGTGGCGTAGATGAAGACACCGTAGTGACAACTGTCGTCGTGCACAGGTGAGTGCAATCAGGTGCCGGTGGGATGGTCGTTGCAACGCATGGCTCATTGTCAGTGCAGACATGCGTTGAAGTGATGACAGTGTCGGGGGGCGGCGACACTGAACTTGGGGGTCCATGGACGGTAGTGATTACGGTTGTGGTGCATGGGCGGACACAATCTGGTGGCGGAAAGATGGTGGTAGGGAGACAACGTTCTGTGCCAGTACAGGTCTGTGTCGTGGTAGTGATCTGATCTGGTGGAGATGTAGGGCTAGGTCCGGGTACAGTCGTGATCACAGTAGTAGTACATGGGTGGACGCAGTTCGGAGCCGGTGGGATCGTGGTGGGCACACAACGCTCCGTCCCAGTACAAGTCTGCGTTATAGTTGTGGCTGTGTCTGGAGGTCCCGATGGCACGCAGGCTTCAGGAGTATACCTATAGATGATTGGTCAGTAAGGCTGGTTTTGAAGTACACGGAGGAGGTTATAGCTGTGGACTTGCCAGCTCATTGTGCTGGTTGCTGTCGAAGTTACTCCATTCTGAACGTATTGGATCTCCTGTACGCCAACCATCATCACTCCATCAACAGGACAGACGCAGTCTCCTGCATCAGAGCCAACGGCATATGCAGAGGCCACTGCAAGTGCCTTGAGAAAGGTAGGAGAGCGCATTGTTGTACGCGAAGAAGGCCAGGGGATTAGCAAAACAAAACTCGTCTGATAGCTTCAGGTCCATTAATAAGATGGACGACAAAGATTGAAGAGCGGAAAATCATCAGGACTTATACACAACGCATTTTAAGGAGCTTTTTGAACTATCATATTGACTCAGAGCCTGAATCGCAGGTCTTTTTGGTTGGAGATCCACGGAGGACCTGTTTTGACCCACCAAAAGTGTCTAGCACAGAGGTTATCTGAAGACAAGATCAAAAGGCTTGACTCAAGTTACACTCGGAATGTTGTCAGAACAGCCGAAAACTTGGAAAATAAAACAAGCCAGCTACAGTTGGACTGTCCTTCGTATTCTCTGAGATCGAACTTCTTCTGTCATCGTAGCTTTTCGTTGACTCAGAATAGGCGACACTCTGCGGAGCTGTGAGTGATTTTCATTCTTCTTGAGATGTCTAGCCGAAGTCTCAACCCCATGATGCTGAATTGAGTTCGTCCCCAGCCTCTTCAGGTCAGTGTCTGAGGTCAGAAATTCTGAGCTATGCCAGGAACAGCAAATTTTGTGGTGCTGTTGGACAACGCTCCATGACTTGTCCTGTTGATCCCTACCCACCTGAGGCAATACACCCGGAACAGCCGAATGCCTTCCTTTTTTTCATCTCTGTCGTATGGGCGCTAAGAATACAGTGGGTAGGTGTCGTTGTCTTGGAATCAGCCTACCAGTCGATTTGGGAATAAGATCTGAGTCTGCGTGCTTGCCCCAGCATGTTCGAATCATGGACATCAACATCCTCAACTAGTGAGTACGGTGTACTGAAAATGAGGGACCAAGACATTAATAGAATGGTATATGGTAATTATCTGCAAATAGTCTACAATTCCTGAATTCAAAGACTCGCGGTCCAGCCCAAAGAAGCCGATTTAAATACTACAGTCGACGGGTATACTTCGCCTGCTTCTTTCTATCCTCCGAGACGATCTCCTAATGCGGTGCTGCATACTCCAAGGAGGGGCCTAGTCATCGTATTGCAGCTCTGGGCCGTATTTTCTACGCCTGGCTCGTGATATTCTCGTGATATTCTCGTGCTATCGATAACCCACCTTTCCAGCCCTGTACTCCACCTCAAAACTCTTTGGCTACATTTATGACGCGGAATAATTAGAGCATACCGCTGACTTCCAAAAACGGGAGATCGATTAACCACTCAGGAGGGAAGGGCACAGGAACCATGTCTTACAAGAAAGCACCAAACTCCTTAGTGTGTTCCGTCAAAGCTGAAAGATCGGACGCTTGCGTTTGCCTAGAACGCCATCCCCCGAGGCGGCTAGGGGGGGTCGTCGATCAACCCAGCTAGTCACAATTGGATTAGGGGCTGGCATGTTCCGAGAGCTGATTTTATCCAGATCTAGCTATGTAGCTATCTCTACGATGAGTTACACAGTGCTTCATGTGCAGTTTGATTCGACCCGAGCTACTTGCACGAGATCCTTCTTCTCATCGTTGCATTAGTCTCTGCTGCCGTCCCATCCGATGTTTACTTTCGTCTTGATTAGAAGTATGGGCCACCCTACATGAAGCAATGGTTCTGATGCTATATGTTTCGAGATCTACATATTAATGACCCAGTTTGAGCTGATTTTGATTCATGCCAGAGCGCCGTAATACCCCCCCTTGAGGGCATCATCGACGAACTTGCCCCGCACATGCTCCACGCTTGAGCCGTTGAAGCCGGTAGACTGGAAGACTGCTATCCAGCAACGCCCTCTCAAACATGTTCCACAGGCGGAAAGTCAAATCTCACTCAAGAGACTCAAATCAGACGCTGAATGCGAGTTGATGTAGCCACCATTCGCTGTACATGATTCAGTGTTGATGCTGTGATGCGTATATTCAGCTGCCCCTATCTCGATTTGCGTCTGGTGTCGGCTTGTTTGTGGATTCTTGTGAGACAACTTCAAATTCATGTCGGCGCTCTCACAAAATTAAGTCGTGACAAGATCCTTGTGGATGTTAAGGTTAACAGAATGTGAGACTTATCAAGGAATCCTAAAAGAGGATGAAGTCAGTCAACAGAAACACTCCACACCGACTGACATAGCACATCGTTAAGACTGATTGCCGTAAGCATTCATAAGTCGGAGACTGCCAGCTCACTGTAGGGTTCTTGACATTTTACACATCACACCTCTGCACTCTATCATCTCCCAATTTCTCTCCAGAACAGGTCGTACACCATGAAGACCTTCTTCATTGCAACTGTTCTCCCTGCTTTTGTGCTCGGGCTCGGGCTCAGAGAGGTTGATGCCGTCAACCCTGACTGCACCACCACCGTCACTTTCCCTCCACTGGTCATCTCAACACCGCCGAGCGGTCCTCCAGTCCGGACATACACCATTACCTGGAGCGAGCCGCCACAAGCGTGCGTCGTCATTGAGGCATGTCCTGATCCGCACGCCCAAACCAAGCCGGCGACTGGGCTTCCAACAGACTTGGCTACCGCCACTGTTGTGTGCCAGGGGCCGGCGGGAACGTCGACATTGTCCAAGCCCATCACCATACCCACTGGGGCTCCAGGGGGCTCTGGAGGTCCAAGTCCTGGCGGCAACCCCGCGAATCCTCAGTCTCCGGCGAACCCCGGCGCTCCTGGTGCCCCCGCGGCTCCTGGTCCCAAGCCAACACAGAATAGTGCAGCGCCAAACGGCGGTGACTCCACCTCTCCGGCAGTTGTTCCCGGGAGCTCGACCACTCCGGCCACTGTGGTGACTGCAGGTACTAGTCCATTGCGCGCAACGTACCTTGGTAGTAGCATAGCAGTTGTTCTTGTTCTCGGAAACTTTTTCCTATGATCACTTCGTGGTCATATATAGAGAAACCAGGAAGAGTATTAGGAAAGGAGATGGATGAGAGGGAAAGATGTGTTGAAGCTGTAGGCGCTAGAAGAACCTAAGATGTCAAAACAACCAAACTCACAGAGACAGGAGGAAGATGATAGATCAATAATTAATTTGTAATGGTCTCGCGTAAATCTGCATCCTGATATGTGCATAAGTGAGATATGCATTTCACTAGGTGTGCTTGGCAAGTGGTAGCAAGTGGTCATTAGCCGCATGCAAGGGCGGTTTCCTCGGGTCCATCAATGGGTCTTGCTGATCGCGTTGGGCCCCTATCACCTATTCGGCCGAGTATAGACCTCACTTGTGGGGGTTTGTATCCTCTTTCAGCCCCTTCAATTATGATGTGTCGAGAATTCACTCAACTTGGCAGTATGAAATATGAGGATTCTGAGGATTGATAGAGTGGGTCTTCCTGACAACCGATTAGGGATGAGGCGATTCCACTATTGGTAGTCTCGGGCTATATCCGGCTGTCAGAAGGGTTCAAGGCAAAGCCGCATATTTCTTGGCTTGGAAATGTCAGCTTGATGAACTAACTCCACCCAAATTCCTGAGGCCTGACATTTGCCCAGGCAAGTGATGGTCACATTAGTTAGCAGGCTGTCAACGGAAGTACTTGGTGAGGTATCCATCAAACCTATCGATTTTGGGTAGTGGAATAACCTTAAGACTAAAGATGCGCATTCTTAGCATCCGGTTAACTCCTGAGAACTTCCGCCAACTATAGTGAGCACAAGTAGTATCCCTGACCTACATACGCAGAGAGATTCGGCCGATAGTTCAGACATGCGAAGTGGAACAAATTCCTTGCGAATGTATATATCCATGTAGTGGCTAGAGTGATGGGGATGCTGTTCTAAAGTAGACAATCCGTCGCGGATCTCGTCTTCTTCGGCGGACCAGCAATACTTTTAAGTCGGGATCTTGGACCTCTTCCAAGGTTGGTGCTCTTCATCCGAGTAGTGACCCTCCCCTTTTCAAGAGGGTACCACAAGGAGCCTCGAAGAGTGCGCTCGCTTCACCTTGACTTCTGCCGCTGGCTTGGTAGACCATGCTTTATTGCCCCTGAGGCTTTACTTGCTGGAAGTAGTCCGACCGCCCATGCGGAACCTTCAGAGGTCGATCGGGTAGTAATCATAGTGATAATTTCAAAGACTTGTATTCAATGGTGCCCTTGATCTCTGCGTAACTTTTATATATTTGAGGAACATGCTTTTCTGCGAAACGTTCGCCAATGTGCATCACATACGCTGCAACTCAGACTTGTAAATCCAATCCCAAATTACATGACCGCAACTTTGCTTTCCCTGCTCATGAGCGGCAGACAGGTCTTCTTTCCCACCAAGATAGGCATGCGGTTTTCCCTCTTGCGGACACACTCCGTGGAGATACGCCCTTTACCGGATGGCTGCATCGCGAGCCACTGCATTAGTTCATCGGTTCTCTCTTTGTATCATCGTGGTACAGGAACGGATGACAGCTCCTGCTCGTGCCATAACCTGCCACTCCTGTCCCATGGCGTTACTATTTCCATATCTGTATATATCTATGCAAGCTGTATTTCGATATTTGTGTATCGGGAAGGTTTCCCACATTGTCTAAATAGATATCTATCATGTTGTGCCTTCTCAGCTCCATTTCTGACTAATGGCCTAAACGATTAACACCCAACCGAACTACTTCTTTGAAGGGTTCATTTACATATTAAGTCAGACTGGCGTGGCTGGAGCTTACTTCCTGTCATAGATCATCAGCTGATGGCTTGAATGATGGGCAAAACAGTGGTGTGCCCCAGGGCTGACTCTGGACGAACCGTTATGGTGCCTGCGGTTCTGACGTCAACGACCTGTTAGAACCTCCACCACCGCTTTGAACGATTAAACAGGGCTAACAAAAGCTGCCCTACCTGCACGACCAAGTTTGCGGCAATTATACAGGACTGGCATAAAAAAGCACCAGTCTTAATTAATGCACATGAACCGTCTGAGTGGAAGATTCATCACTCGCGAGGAGCCAGAAGAATGTTCGGAGTTGAGGTACCCATGGCGCAGGTCCAAATGAGTCGGCCATCTATGATGGCACTTTCCAGTGTAGATGTCATCATAAAATGGACCCATCGTCATCCAAGTGTCACTGAAGGCCGTAGCTTCCACAAAGCTTAACAAACCGCTGGCCTCACACTCATGAATCTTTAGTAGGTAGTTAATGTCCTGCTTCGTATGCTCTGCATTCAACTCCACAACCCAATATTATTCCTAGACCTACGCATTTCAGAGTCGAGATCAGTGTTTCTGCTATCAGACCGCGATTAAGGAACCGCTTCCAAAGAATTACCACCACACAATGTCTGGATCACGGTATACTGCACCAGCTATCGCAGCAGCTACCGTCCTCGGTGGCACCATCTACTTTCGTGGTCGGTCGCGGCCCGTAGCCAATGTAGACCCGGCGCAACAGGTAGCCGACAAGAGACCGGCTGAGTCTGGACAGCCAAAGCAATCCGGACCAGGCCTCTCCGGGGCCTTGCAGGCCGCGGCCGGATCAGGAGGAGCTTCTTCTCGGACAGGCGGTCCGCAAGCGGATCCCAAGGACACGAGAGTAGCCAGCAGTCATGACTCCACACCGACCAAGCGAGGGCCATCCGGAGAACAACATCACCATGATGCGAAGCAGCCGGGAACCGAGTCTGGTGGAGCTTAGCACCGACAATATCACAAAGCCAAGCATGGATAAGGTGCACAAGTGGAGATGACGAAGATCTGCATGTATTGGCGTTCCATCACGATGACAGGGTCTGATGAACGAGGCTGGAAAGGACGAAAACGAAACTTAGGAAGGGTCAATGGGGCTGAAAGTAGTCATTAGCAATCGCAGAGACTCCTCAGGACAGCAGTCCTGTATTATTGCTATCCAAGTAACACTATCCTATCCCTTAAGATTCTTCTCCTTGTCGATCTGAGCTTGATCAACGACTATAATGACCTTGCCTTTCACTTTTCCGCCTTGGACCTCATATATGAGATCGTGAATCCTGTTCAAACCGCGAAAGACCTTCTTCGTCGTTCTGATCCCATGCTCGGCTACAAAGTCTACCATTCTTTGGCTCTCTGCTGGGGAGGCGAGCACAGAGCCCCTGACGCGGATATCTCGAAAGATAAGCTCCTGAAAGGGAATCTTGACTTCTGCTGGCTGCGCGATCTGCACCAACAAGCCATGCATTTTGGTCACAGCACAGCCGAGAGCCGCTGCTGTATCAGCCTCGGACAGCACCAGGGTTGCATCCGCTCCTCGCCCATCTGTCGCCTCTTGCACTTCCTTGACTGCCGCCTCTTTGCCCTTGCGTGCATCGACGACCAGGTCGGCTCCGCACTCGTGGCTTACTGCGAGGCCTTCGTCCCTCGCGTCGATACCAACAACACGCAAGCCCTTCTTCTTGGCAAACGCGATCCCCAGATGACCCAGCCCACCGCCCGATCCCACAATCGCCAGCGTCTCGCCCGCGCGGAGCCCGGCCTGCTCCACGCCGCGCCAGACTGTCCGCCCCGCGCACGCGAGCGGCGCCGCGTCGAGCATCGAGACCGCGGCCGGGAGCGGCGTCGTGTGCCGCGCGTCGGCGACGACGTACTGGGCCATGCACCCGTCGATGTGCACGCCCACGTGGCCCCGCGTCAGGTGCGTGCAGTACTGCCTCCACGACTCCTCCGGCCCCGCGCAGTCGTCGCACTCGCCGCAGGGGCTGCGCGGCAGGCCGACCATGACGCGGTCACCCACGCCGATGTGCCCCGCGGCGGCGGCGGGCCCCGAGGCAACCACGGTGCCGCTGCCCTCGTGCGAGGCGGTGCAGGGCAGGGCGGTGCCGAAGACGCCGTTGCGCACCATGCTGTCTGTGTGGCAGTAGGAGGCGACGGCGACCTTGACCAGCAGCTCGTGCGGGGCGAGGGACTCTGGGCGCGGGACGGGGACCGTGTTGATTTGGTAGGGCTGCTTGTACTCTACTACCTGCACCGCCTGCATCTGGTCGGGGATGTCGTTTGCTGGTGACATTTTTGGAGAATCAGTCTAGGGGCGGCGGTCCAAGTTTCAAGGGGTTTCTTTGTTCATATCTTCTGTGAGAAAGGCCAATCCGGTTTTGTGTTGTAGAAACCGTTCAGCTGATGGGTCCGTTCTGAGATATGAATAGGGGATTCAAAGAATGCAGGCTTTCTTTGATGGATGAAGATGGGAGGGGGACTATTTCGGCATCTTCACGCCGATGACGATTGGACTAAGCGGGTGGCATCAGGTGACATCACAACGACTTTCCAAACGGTCTCAAACCTCACTCGATTAACAGCAACCTTTTACAAAGCAAGCAGTCACGAGAAACTCGTATTTTTTCATGATACCTGGCCTTAAAGGAAGAAAGATGTGACATCCCCAGAGTAGGTTGTTAGTTGATCAACACTGATGATCATGATCTGAAAGGCCGCACCTTTGTCTACACTGTTGCACGCGGGTGATGTGAAACGGCTTTGAGTTGACGGAGAAAGCAATTTGCTTGGTTGATCTGTGCTTACCGGTGCTGTCGTTGGTTTCAAAAATGATGTTCCTTTCAACACCGGACCGCGAAAAGCTCCCTTTCAAGATACGGTAGTGGTACAAGCTTTAGGTGATGAATCCAATACAAGTGAAGTATCTCCATAATCAACTCGTTAAAGGTGCAATATCAATCTATATAAACAAGAGATATGAACGGTTTGGGAGACCGTGAGGAATATGTGAGCAAGCTTGCTTACTGGCCTTCCAGACCCAAACCATTCTCTCTCCTTGGTAAATCGAGACAAAAGTACGATACCAAACCTTCACCAAATCTAGCAAGTCTCTGATTATTACACAGTCCAATATGCACCACGTCCTCAACCTAATCCTCGTTGCCACCGCTGCAACAGCCCTAGTGCTACCCGAGGGCTCAAAGATCAGTGCACCGATCTTGAAGATCATCGACGATATGGCACAGCCAGCCCCAGCGCCACCAGTCCCTGCCCCTGCTACACCAGCCATTTGCTTCTGGTCGCTGTATTGCGACGATGCTTGCAAAGACAGCAGTACCTTTTGCAAGAGCGACGGCACTATTGACAGCAAGGATAAGAAGTGCCGCGATAGCTGCAGTTGCTTTCACGCTTGCGGTTAATATATCACCACCTCGGTAACCCTATGGTGGGTTTATGCACGAATGAATAGCGTGTAAGAAGAAGAACTAGTCGAAGGCTGTATTCTTCGAAGGAGGCTACATTTGCCTTACGGATTCGCTTTTCAGTTACATCATGTCGGGATGGCTTTTCACCGCCATGCTTGCCTTCTACACTTTCATTAAGTAGTAATTACTGAACCCATTTTCAATTTACGGCCCTCTAGTAGAGTGTCATGAGGTGTTCTCTAAAACTGTCAAACTCAAACCGCAAACCCACCAGAGGCAGCTTGTCGCGGCTCACCAGCCGCCTCGAAAGTTCCATTCGACAGCAACCGTAAGCCCTGAGCACTGCTCTGCCCCGGAGCTACCCATGTGACATTGTGACCGATATTCTTCAGGAAAGCAACCGTCGAGTTATCGTATGCGTACTCGAATGAGATTTGGCTTGGCACCAGTTGGTCGTGGAAGCGCGGCTGCTTGAGAGCATCGAGAATGTTCATTTCTTGGTCTAGCACGTGGTGAATGTTCTGGATAGTCGCCGTGATGATGCGGCTACCTCCCGCCGCGCCGACGACCAGATAGAGCTTGCCGTCTGACGTCTCGACGATGGTGGGCGAGATGGACGACAACGGGCGCTTGCCTGGGCGGATAAAGTTGGCGGGGCTCGGAACGTAGCCGAAGGCGTTGCTCGAACCCGGGATGCTGAAGTCGTTCATCTCGTTGTTCATGATGACGCCCGTTTCGGGCACCATGAGCTGGGAGCCGAAGAGCAGGTTGACCGTTGTCGTCAGAGAGACCGCCATGCCGCTGGCGTCTGCGGTGACGACGTGCGACGTGCCGGGTGTCTCGAGCGACTCGAGCCCGGAGGGGTCGTAGTACGACACGTTGTGCGTCTCGGTATCGGAAATTTTGGAGCGAATCTCCTTGGCTGCGGCGTCGGACAGGATGGAGTCTTCGTAGGCGGAGAGCCCTTCCACAAAAGAAGGGTCGCCCATGTTTGTGCGTTCTCCGTACGCAAAGCGGATAGCTTCGTCGAGACGGTGCGTTGTGAGGTTGACACTGGCCGGGTCGCCAAAACCAGAATAGCCCTCGACTGTCTTCAGGGCAGACAGGGCGACGACGCCACTGGCTGGTGCGCTGCAGCTGTGCAGTTTAAACCCGCGGTACGTGGCGAACGCCGGCTTCCGGATGGCGACCGTGTAATTGCGCAGGTCCTCGAGCGTCATGGTGCCGTTGGCGGCTCTGAGTGCAGCGATGGTGGCATTGGCAATGGCTCCGGTGTAGAAGACGTCGGCGCCGCCCTCAGCGACGGCCTCTAGGGTATCAGCATATCGCCTGCGGGTCATGATCTGGCCCTTTTGAACGCGGGTGCCGTTGGGCGCGAAATCAATGGCCCATGTTGGGCTGTCCGTCAGGAATTTGCCATTGGGGGTGACCGAGTCCATGTAGCGGACCAAGTCGGCAGTGACGTTGAAGCCGTACCTAGCAACCCGGACTGCGGGCTTCACGACGCGCTTCCACGGGAGCTTGCCGTACTTTTTGTGCACGTATTCCATGCCTCGAAGCTCGCCGGGCACGCCGCTACCGGCTGTCAGATATCGGCCATTGGGAGCAGTCAGAAGGACAAACACTGCTTACCTGGCCAGCCCGCCGTACAGACTCGCGTCGGTGTTGTTCTTGTACATATCCTCGAAAGCAGCGGCTGGGGCCGTCTCGCGGAAATCAACGTACTCGTAACTCCCGTTGCTCGTTCGCAAGATCAAGAACCCGCCGCCGCCGATGCCCGAGTGATACATGCCGACGACGCCGATGCAAAAGACAGTCCCGACCAACGCATCGACCGCATTGCCGCCCTCTTTCAAGAGCCGGGTGCCAATCTTGCTGCAAACACTGCTTTCGGAGGCGACGGCGCCCAACTTCGTGTCGGGGTCGGCGCAGCCATTTCCGGTAGGCGCTGCGTTCACGAATCGACCCAGCAGCAGAAACAGCGAGAGAACAGCGCGTAGGCGAGGCATTGACTGCGACAGTGCTGGTCAGTAAGCGGACCAGTTTATGGGCCAAATGTTCAAGAGCTGGATTGATGGCTGAGGGACAGAGGATCTGTTTGATGTCTGTCAAACACGTGTTTTGCACATCTATTTCGCTATCTTCCATGACTGTAGCACCAGGCGGGAAGCGCCCAGTACTTGAGTGTGCGTCTGTTTAGCCATCTCTAGTCTGTTTAGTTACCTGGTCGCTGGTCAAGCAATCAATGTCCCCGAATTCGTCATATCTACGGTAGACCCCGCAGTGATGCGGCTGGAGGGCTGGATCTAGCTATCGTTGATTCAAGCTTTTCTGCTTGACCAGCTGCCCAGTTTGGATACCGGGGCAGGTCGTGGAGCTGGTGATGGTTTAGCGATCAGCGATCATCGCGCGCGTCGAGTCTGTTGGGCCCGGGAAGTGCTGCCTTTAGTGCATTTCGATGCGGGGAAAGATTTCAGCCGGTCACATCATTTGAGCTCGCGTGCTCGCAAGCAGCGCTGCCAGGGGGGTTGAATGTGACTGAGCTATCAACCTTCCGTTCTTTGTCTAGTCTTGGGACGCTTGCGGATCAGAGCTTTTATGAGGGCTTTTGGGGGGGGTGGTGCTCTTCTGTGCTGGTCTTTTCGTCCAGCACCGCTGGAAGCTCGTTGGGATACAGAAGTCATTGGCCAGAGTTCACCACGTCCACGAATTGATTGTACCAGTGGCCATTAAGCCTGTCGCTATCTGCCTCTTCTACTGCACTCTGTGGATGAGGGCCTTGGGGAAGATACAGTCTAGTCTTCCGGTCATAGATGCTCTTGCGCACCTTCATACCCGTCACGTCGTCGCTGAGCAACAGGGCTTTCAATGTTTTGCGCAAGCCTCCACGGCGCTTTGCTCTGTCGTGCCAATTTGTCCTCATGTGGTTCCATCAGGGATCCGACACACGGTGCAAGTAGTGCCGTCATCGAGAGGCCGAGGAGCAGGTGACTGGCACGGTTCAAGTATTGTTTTCGAATTGGAGGGCTTTTTGCTGTTGCCGACGCGCCTTGTGCCGCAGTTTTGTTTTTTGGCCATGAGGCAGGAGCTGCGGCTGGTTCCTGAGGGGCTTTGTCGTGCTCGTTCTACTCCGTGTTCGGCTCAGTATGCTTGCTTCTTGGTGACTGGGGCAGTGGCAGTACGCTGGCTGACCAGAAGCGGTCGGGGTTTCGTCGTGATCGTGGTCAACGATAATGGCGAAACGGGAAGTAAGACAACCCAGATGCTGTTAAATTGGCGGGTTGGTCCTCGCGTAGACTAGAATCCGCACTGCCGGTCGGGCCCCTGCAATGGCCGCATCATCCTCCCTTGCCGTACGACAGTCTTTTGCTGCACATCTTCCATGAAATAAAGAGTCTCATACGGAGTAGGTAAATGAAGGGGTTCGGATGCCCGGGGTACTTTGGCGTCAAGATCTTGACGCCTAGGCCCCCATCTACTCATCTCCAGACTCTCCAGAGACCTTTACGGCGCGTCATAAGCTACACTGGCACCCACGCTCGTGCCACGGCGGCGTCTCGGGCTACCTTTGTGGGCAGCCAGTCAAAGCTCGACCCGCTATCTCGGCCACGGCCGATCACGCCGGCAAAAGGATCAAGCTTTGGGGAGATGACGCCACTTAAGACCCCCATCCAACCCCGGTGTGTGGGGTGTAGAGCCTCAAAGCCAATGGAGAAGCGTGCTGTTATCATCAGCTGTTAGGGACGTGGCTTACTGCCCGTGGTGTGAGAAAGGCTTCTGTTATTCTCGCGATAGGACAGATGGAAATAGACATAAAATAAAGCTGCCGGATGGGATACAATTGCCCTGTTCTGGTCGCTTTCCACAATCTTCATGGACCTCGTTCCACTCCACTGGCCACAACGTCTTCTTCAGAACATCTAATAAGTACATCAATGAAATCAGAGAAGGAGCTAGACGAGGCCTGGAAAGCACGCCGGCGGTCGTTCGGCATAGGTGGCGCTGGAAACATCAGTACGTGGGCCTTTCTCTTTCTTGCAGTGACATCGTTTGACCATGTACCATCAACGGCCAGGGAACATCAGCGAGGCAACCATATTCAAGCATCATCCGCACAGTCAACAATATCGTCGGGCCAGCGATGGCAGCACCGATTCGAGTGAGAGTGGCCACATCAAACGATCTAATAAGATCATGGATAGTGTGAGGAACATACTAGGTGGCTCGCCATCGAAACACGAGAATGTGAATTCCCAGTAGCAAAGGCAATGGTGATTTGTGCTACAAAATGATGATAATTGACTCGGTCGTCACATGTGACATACAAGTCAAGCCAGGGTTTGTTGATAGTACGATTAATGAGATACGAGAATCTTTTCCAATTTGACCAAATCCCTTCATGTGCAGTCTTTTGATGCAATGCTTCCATTCAGGACCTCGCTTGTCCTGATGTTGAGTCAGGTTTTACATATGTAAGGTCACATACAACATTTTCCAACCCCCCCATCAACGATTCCCCTTGATGTGGACATGCTCAACGCATCTACCCTTCTCTTCCGGATCCTTCCGCTAGTTAGAGCCATCCTTCTTGTGCGGCTGCATGCAGAGGTATGGCACTGCGTGATCCTCCGGCCGCTAAGATGTTTACCAGAACCGTCGTTGCCGGATAATTTCATCTGTGGTCTACGAGCCTAGGAGAAGTCCCCTTTCTTCGTTATCCCTGGGATGAAGACTAGTCATGCAACCCTTCTGGGACCTTCAAATTTCTTCTCCGTTACTTCGGGCTCTTTTCTCAGCCTGAAGTTGATGCGCAATGGCTACGGCAACGAGGGCCCCGTGTGCTGCAGCTTGAGGTATAGCCCGAAGAGTCGTTGCGCAATCCCCGGCGGCAAACACACCAGGAACGCTGGTCTCAAGGAGCGGCGGACGGGTCCTTATCTCCCCCGAGGGGCAAAGCTCCAGGCCCAGCTGCTGGACGAAGCATCCATTGATCTCAACCTGTCAAACGATGCGTGAGTCGCAGGGCTCTCCGTTGTGAGTGAAGGCAGCAGTTACTAACCGTGTTCGAGCTGACAAAAAAGCCCTCTGTTCTCTCGGTATCATCGGAAAACGTGACCGTGACAGCAGACTTGTCGGCAGATGTCATGCGCAGCTGGCTAATCTGTCGCAAGTCGACCTCTATATCCTTGTCAGAGGCCACATGGGCAAGAATATCCTGGGCGATGTCATCGCGCCCGTTTGTGTACAGGGTGAGCTTCTTTCCAAATTGCAGAGCCATGCGCCCAACATGTAACGCCATCGCAGGATCTGTGCAAGGCCCCATAGCAATGACTCCCACCGAGGCAGCTCCTCGAGACTCGAAAGCATGGCAGAAAAGACAATTATAACTTGGGCGAAGGTGTAATTAGACACAAAGACACATGTTGGAAGCATCGTCACCTGGAAGAGAGCGGATAGAGCAACTCACATTCCTTTCGCCCAGCATTCGTCAAAGCCAGGAATGTCAAACATGACATCGCGAACTCCAATGCAGAGGACCAGTTTTCTGCCAGTATAAACTTGACCCCGGTCATCTTTCACTTCGAACAGCCCTGACTTCAGCTTTCGAGCTGTAGTGATACAGACGTCTTTGAAGTCGATCGTGTTGTATTTCGCAATGTCGCTCTTGGCTTTGGACCGGAATGCCCTGGCATCTAAGTGGTCGAACCCAAGCACGTTGTGGATTAGTGCCGCTCCGTCATTGCGGTAAACCTGCGAATCAAAGACAGCTGCCGTATGCAGTAGTCGAGCCAAGTTCAGGGCTACGGCTAGGCCTGCCGGTCCGCCCCCAATGATGAGGCAGTCGTAGATCATGGCGGGAGACGTTGTCAGCCGGTCTTGTCTCTGAAATTGAAGCGGCTCATCTCAACATTTGCGGAAGAGATCTTCACGGAGCCAATTGATAAGGGAAAATATATCGACATCCCGCATCCCGCAAAAGATTGCGGGCGGAAGCTTCCATCAATAGAAGAGGTAAGCGACAGGCTACTTGGCGACCTGTCGACTTATCTATTTAAAGTCCCAGCGGTCAACTCAGCGGTGTTGCTGATCCAGATACCTGGTTCCAGACAAGTTAGCGTAAGCTGTCTAGCCGGTGTCATGGCTGCTTCCAAGCGCCCCAGCCGAGAAACCAGATGGGCTTCTTCAGAGAGCCCCTTTCGGTCCCGAAGCCATAGAGCAGGGTTTGGCTTCTAACTGTGCCTTATATTCTGCAGACAGTTATGCTTGGCGCAGGGAAGTGCTTGTCGGAGTTACTCCCAACTAAGAATAGTTACCTTCGGGCGCTTACGGGGCTCGTCTTGTCACTCTTCCCCCACCATCAGAGAGAGCATGCCATACAACCCTGGTCAATGAGTTATCCCCGCATGTCAACGACAAGGGCTCAACCCTTAGTTCACCTTCTGTAAACCAAGTTAAAAGGGGAAACATATTGCGAGCTGAATCTGATGCTTATTTTTAAGACACGGATTACTGAGCGCCCATGACGATGGCTCGCTGCAATGCGCGAACCTAAGCCAGCCCTACATGTGCCAGGGGGCACTACCCGAAGCGGAGATGCATGTAGCAAGGATGGATTGCCCAAGAAGACATGGGTTTATCCTGACTGATGCTTACAGCATGAGAAGAATGTCGCTAGCCTTTGCTTGACTCTGTCACGCACTGGAGAAAGTGGGCACCACCGCAGGGCAGAGTTATTTGCAATCTTGGGTTACCTATTGATGTGGTCAGAGGTCCTGGTCCAGAAGTAGGTAGGTGATCGCCGAGAAGTGTCATCGCCAACTTCAGTACATCCCACGGCATGGACAACCGATCTTCGTTAACCGATGCGGTGTAGAAATGCCGGTGGGTCCTCAATTGGGTCGCTGTCTCTTGGCCAAGGAAACCTTTCTTGATCATTATTGGACACCCATATCAATGATTATTAGAGGGGAAGTTGATGCTGTAATGGTAGTAGTTCTTTTGCGGCCATATGGAGACTTGGCGGTCCTCTGTCTTTCATTGCCGTAAACACTATGCTACCTTTCAGATTGCCATCAGTGCTCATCATGCTTAATTTCAGCAAGCGAGGCGCTGTTCGCTGGATCGGACACTTCAAATGCAGATTGCCAAGGCGGTTGATTGGCGATGAGATGATCAATTGCCGTCCATTACCTCTTGGCGCCTGATTTAGCCTTCATAACTCAGATGCAAGAGTCGAGATCTCATGGGCTGCATAATATCAAGCTATTGGCGCCATGGTTATTATCAAGCCCAACCTACCTACATCGGCTCCTATATAACGCGAGCAATCCCCTCCAGAGGGTTAAGGGCTTGGTTGAAATTTCAATCGAAGTGAAGCAATCGACCGTAAGCGGAAATCATCAGGATGCTGACAAAGATCATCGTGGCGCTGGCTCTCCTGAGCTTTGCGCGCGCTCAAACCCCCGAGGGTTTCGTGCCGAGCGTATCATCACAGCTAGATGTGCTTTTTGGCACCAAAGCTGTCTCGCCCCCGGGGATGTCTTTGACCAAAGCTGGTAGGACTGGGCTCCCCTTGGATGGTTGGTTCAAGCGCCTTACGCTGCCTCTTATCAGAAACTGCGAAACAACCTATCATCGGGACCAATGAAACTCTTACAGGAACATATCTGTTCATGATGATAGGTTAGTTATCGTCACACCTCGGATGTTTAGGCTACTGACCAGTTCATTAGACTTGGACGTGTAAGCGGCCACAAGCTGCAGAATGATACTGGCGATTATTTTGACTTATATGTAGGCCGGCCTCCTTTACGAATCCGAGCTCAGGTCCTCGCCGAACGAACCTACATGCGATGGTTCAAGACTTCAAGCCGGATGGGCAGACTTCAGCTGCCGGAGTCCAGACATTGGCCTCGACTGCGAAGACTCCTGTCGCGTACATCGGTCCAGCACCGCCTGCGGAAACGCCGCCACATCCCCACCGTTATGTGACGCTGCTCTTTGAGCAGCCGGAAGGGTTTGCCGTACCGGAGAGCCAGAAGTCGCAGATCCGGCAGAAGATCGGCTTCAATGTCACAACTTTCATTGAAGCCGCCGCTCTCAAGGCTCCCGTGGCCGGCAACTACTTCACTGTCTCGGGATAGACTTTTCGGGGTCACATCATTGAGGAGGGTACGGAGTACAAATTCGGCTCCTTTTGAGACAGATGCCATCCTTTCCCAGGAATCTTCATCTGATTGCTCCCTTGAGAATAGCAACTCGTGTGCGTTGAAAGACCCATCAAAAGGTATGAATGTGACATTATAGTTGGAAACAAGCTATTGGGTCTATTGTTAATCTTATAAAGTCCGCAAGCTGGAAGACATCATCCAAATTATCATCCGTCCCTCCAAGGTATAATGTATGAAATCGTGATTCAATGAACCTTACTCCGCGTGAATCTCATTCAGTATCGTATTGGCAGCGACCACGGCGCCATTACCCCTTTCTTTGCAGAGCTTGGCAATCTCTTTTGCCTTGATCTTCATCGGAGTTGCCCGTTCGCCGAAGAGCGCCTCCACTAGCACCGGAGCGAACTCAACAGCTGCACAGAATGGCCTTGCTTTCTTATTTCCCCATAGCCCGATGCCGACGATTTCAGCTCGATTGGCAAAATCATACGTGTCGATCCAGACCGGGAGGACAACCTGAGGAGCGCCAGCACTACATTGGGATTAGTCACTCAGCACCATGTCTTGGCTGGAATCACAACACAAACCTTGCGGCTTCCAAGAATGAGTTTGCACCACCATGGTGGACGGCCAGCACCGAGCTCCTGAGGACTGCCAGGGGATCCGGCTTGATCCATTCCACAACTCGGACCACGTCGAGGTCAAGGTACTTGCCCAGGATCTGGTGAACCCTGGACTTGGGGTCGTAGACGGACCAATCACCACCAAAATGTGTGTTCGGAACCATCTTCCACAGAATCTGCAAGTCTTCCATCTTGGCTGCCGCCCCAGCAGGAGATCTTGCGTGGTCCAGAATAACACGGAACGCCATAGCCATTTGCACCGCTCCCTCTTCGTGCATCTGCACGTGCGTGCCCAGGTTAACATAGATCGTATGCCCTCTCGACAGCCAGCCAGCGAGCTCCGCGTCCACCTCTTCGACATGTCTGGGTGGCCTTGTCATTGGGCCACATGCCACGATGTTTTCCGGAATGACTCGTAGTGGGTATTCAAGCTCTGGGAAGTTGGCTACCAAGGACTTCCTGACCAGCCTAGGGTTCAAGGCCAAGTCGCCGATACTAATCATTCGTTTGGCATCTGTGTTCTCCCGTAGATAGCGCTGGACACTCTTCCTGTTCTGGTCGAGCAAGCCAACAACGATAGCTACTAGCACCAAGTATATGTTGAACGGCACGAGATGCCACGGTATCGGAAAGCATAACCCTGAGCCCACACTTCAAAAGAGATTCAGTCTTAAGCTTTTAGCATAAGTTTCGCGTTGAACTCACCAAGGATAACGCCAGATAGCCTCCCCATAGGGCTGTAGCGGCAATGAAAAGTCCTTGATCGTATTGGGCGACAAGACCACAAAATTGACGCCAAGTTGATGGCATGCCGTCATGCCAGGGGAGAACATCGGATCAACAGCGACAACATCCGGTTTCACGTTATTGATGATCTGGGTCACTCTTTGGTAGATGGCTACGAACTCGGGGCCCGACCACGGAAGCATGACCCTGAGTAAGAAGCGTAGCATGGCTGGTGCGTTTAGGAATGTCCGTCTCCCCGTGCCCTTTGGCCTGTCTTTGCCCACTTCGGGCCTCATCCACGCTGCCTCCATGTCAATCTCCTCAATAGGATGGAAGACTATCCTGGGAGATTGCAGCTTGGCCACGGGCTCCTCCATCAGACCGAAGGATGCAAAATGCACCTCGACATCTTCGCTGGCCTCGACAAGAGCCTGGCTCGTAGCGAGGAAGACGTTGGCCTGCCCGAATTCGGAGTTGGTGAGAAGAAGGACCTTCTTTTGCTGCATCTTTCGAGATTCAGACCCAATGACAATAGACCCTGGAGTGGTGAGGATACTTGTGATACCGGTGTAAGATTTGATGATGGACGTTGCTCTTGGATGTGTGCTGGGCTAGGGTAGCTTATCTATCACTTATACACGTCCCCATTTCAACCAGCATGTTCCGAAAAGACGCCAGAGCACACTTTTCCGACGAGAGGGCCGTCTGCATATTTCGAGTGATAGAATGATAGAATGATAGATCGAACACAGTCACCGATATGCATATAGCCGGTAGCGAGGACCGGGCCTGTGGTGACACGCCCACGATACGAGGCATGGCTGGTGTAATACATGTATCTTGTGACGATCACTGCTCAATAAGTGAGTTGCTGGCGGACGCGTGTTGGTCGAGACTTATGAGTTCTCCCCGGCCAATGATCAGGTGTCCCTCGTATACATCTATCCCGGCAATCTCGCCAAGCACTCTCTCCCAATAGGGTCGCGATCCCAATTTGAAAACGCCAAGGTAGCCTCATCGATTTGGTTGTCGGTCTACTGCGTTCTAGACGTCGATGGAGCTGAACAATGCGACATGACGGAAGTCAGAAGGTGCAAAGACGGTGCACATATGGCATCATTGTCTTGGCTATAGTGCTTATTTATCACGGCGCGTTTCGAGAGGGTCCTGGCTAAATGCCTCCCACAAATCAAGCTTTTTGGCCATAGTTCCTTCGCGCCTGCTCGATAACTCATTGGTCGAGATGATGTCTCGGCTATTCCTGCAGATTACAGATGCAGCATGGAAGATCAGTACCGGGAACGTCCTCAAATTGGCATGAACATGTAGGTGATGCCATTTCCCCTCCGAATGTTCTTTGGGGATCGTCCCCTCACCAACGGTCCGGACCTCCATATCGCTCGGACGGTGGGCTCGCACATGCATGATTGACACGGCTTGCCGAGGGGGCCAAATTATTCGCGCAACGCTGATCCAGAGCTCTCGTTACAGCCGTAACGTCGCATCAGTTTGACATCGTGAGTTGTATGGAAAGAATAGTAAGGTTCCCTATCATAGTCAAAATCCGTCGGAGCGGATGAAGCAGCTGGATTTGAGCGAAGCACCGCCAAACGGTGCCGCTGCTCTGCTTTCCCACCTAAGTGTCCTGCCCCCCGTCGTCCCATGGCCCGTGAAAGTTGAGTACACTGTCAGCCCACGCCGCGTTCCTTGTGCCATTGTCCCCGGTGACCGGCGCCCCAAAGTTTACATCAGCCCCAGGGACAGGCACGGGGAAGTATTCGAAACGCCCAAAGTTACCCGGCATCATGGTGTTCTCGTAGGGTCCGAAACTTGTCCACATCTCATCATTGAACATCGCCGACAAATCGGGCGGCAGGGCGAAAGGTGATGTCTCGAGCGCCCAGAAGGGAGAATCTGATGTTTGATCCATTTCAAGAATTTCTCCCGGCGAAGGCTCGAATGAAGGACCCTGAGTTGCGGAGGGGTTAAAGAAAGCCTGTGATTGATCCGCCGTGTCAGACGGGGCTGCTGCCTGTGGCATCGACGCCATCATGTCGATGGCGGTGATTTCGGTTTCTACAGGTTGAGCAACCTGTGCTGGCGCGGCATTCTGAAGTCTTGGTGAGCCAAGCTGTTGCATGATAGACTTCCGATGGTCCCGGTCTTGAGTCAACCTCGAAGCCTCCCTTGAGCCCCTGAGGTTGGATGACTTCGTCATGTCTCTTTCCACGATATCCACAGTTGCATCAGCCAGTTTGCCTAGAACTTCCTTGGCTCTATTGACGCGGTCCCAGCGCACGACCATGCCCTCGAGCACCACCTCCCATTGCACAAGGCAACTCTTGAAGCTCGTCCAATCTGAGCGAGCCTGCTGACGGATGTCGGGACTGTTCCATATCAAGAAGAGAAGCGTGATGCCACCCATGAACTGATAGTGAAGGTCGACCCAACTGAAATCCATCAGCCCTTTGTGGACCCGAATGAACGATGACTGGATCATGTTTTTCGCTGCTGTGTAGCAAGTCGAGAAAGCTTCTGGGTCAAGAGTTGGATTATTCGGTGAAGGTCGGTGGAGCACCAACAGGGCGTTTTGATACCAATAATGCCACCTGAAGAAAAGTCAGCAGTGGGATAGGACTCCTTCGGAGCAAGTTACGTACCAGTCTACTGTATGGATAGTTGTGTCTGCAAGCGCTGTAGCTTCGTCTTTCCAGGTCGCGAGGCTTTTCGCCATGTCTCTGATCCAAGCAGAAACAGATTGTTGGTGCTCCACTGTGTGCTCATGGCCTGGCTTGACAGTATAGAGATATGAAACCGACCTACTTTGGAGTCTTTGCAGCTTGATCCAATGGATAATGGATGCGCGTTTGTTCAGGGGCAACGATCGGCCGGGGTACTCGACATCAATCTCTCGGTCTTCCAATGTGAAAGGGCGTCCAAGTATGATACTCAAGGTCCTGTCAAAAGAATATGTCGCCCAAAACAGTCGCCTTTTCAAGTCTATCTCATCTTCGTTGGCGATGCCAGTTCCAGACAGATGAATGGTTCTTTCGGACTGGAAGCCAAGGTCGATGACCATGCGGATGGCTATCCCGGAAATGTACCAAATGGGCGCCGTTGACGAGTTCAATAGCGAATACAGAAGGAGCAGTAGGAGACACTGCAGTGTTCTCGGACCTTTGTGCTGCATGACGGCGGTCAGTTCCGCCATTGCATTTGTATTGAAGCTCTCGGCAAGGACGAGTGCTTCGGGGTTCTCCTTGGAGAGGCTGAGAAGAGCGATGGCGAAGATCACTTGAAGCATAAACCTCATGGTGATATCGTTGTGAGATGTGCCAGAAAGACAACCGGTACTGTAGAAGATTTGTGTTTCCTGTATGAACTGATCTTCGACCAGTATCGGATACTGCACCTGATATTGGTTGAAGAAGATCTCTACCAAATTGATAGCGGCCTCGCACGAGGGGAAGGCAGCACGCGAGCTTGAGGTAGCTGCATGTTCATTCTGTTGCGATGGCGATGTAGTAGAGCCTGGCCGGCGCCTCTCAGGGAGCGCGTCAAAAGAGGGATTGTTGCGCCGTGCTGATTCCAAGACGGAACGTGCCAAATGTATACCTATACACCTGGAATCAGTCATGTGCAGGACAAAACTTTCTCATGAATTCGAGTTCACAACATACCGCTCGATACACCTAGATAGTGCGCATCACCACCAGACTCGAGTCTGATCAGATCTGCCTGGGCTTGGGCCTCATCATTCCCCCGCGACGAGGAGGTTGGCGTATCCAGATCACGGGGAGAGGTATTGTTGTCATGAGATCTGGTCGATTTGGCAGCAGATTGGAGTTGCCTAAGCTTGTGCTCCAGGTTGCCGGCCTCTATCTCGAGATCGCAAATGTAGTCTCGGGGGAAAGTAGTTTTCGTCCTCGCCTCCGTATACTCACATTTGGAGCCCGAGTTTTGGCATGGCAGGCACGCAGGCAGTCCTTTGGTGAGACCAACTCAGCATGAAATTCTATAGCAGAAAGAGTTTCATTATAAACTCACTGGTATCACATTTGGCTTTGCGCTTCCTGCATCTGTTGCAAGCAGAGACGGTCTGAGAAAATGTGAGAATTGGGCCAGGTTTCGGGGGATTCAAGACAGCACCAACAAAGAAAGATCGTTCCGCTTCAGACATGGTGGTTTGCGGTCCAAACAAAAGGTGTGTTGCAAGGCATAGATCTGATTAGTCGATTGCAAGACCCTGATTATTTGCTCTGCAATGGCTTATCGCTGGTTTGGTCCGTGGCGGGAACTTGTCTCACGATTGATTCATGGGAGAAAGGGATGAAGTCAGAAGATGTGATGTGAGGTCAATTGAACTGGGCCACATGAGTCGTCAGAGGTTTTTCCATGCGCCGCCCGCATTAGCGCATGGGGGCGGCATGGGGCAGTTGCGGGGCAGTTACTTGTCGCCTCAGGTGCCGGCTGGAGGCCAGAGGCCCTGTGACTCGCACGAAGATGCGCTAACAGTACCCACCTATTCTGATTGAGATCTCCAGCTCTCAGGCAGAGAGCACTTTGTCAGCTTCCCCTAATTATTCTTCATGACACCTGCTCTCATATGAATGGACTTTCTTTATGTTTCATCTAATTCATTGCACTCGGTGCTTCGGAATTTTACTTTTCCATTGTGAGGTGAGATTATTGTTAAGTAAGATCTTGTATTAGATTCTAAGTGCTATGTTTTGAATTGCTCATCTCACGGCAAATGGGGTATTTTTGGAACATGAACCCTTGAGTGCCAGGGGGCAGTGCGATAGCTGTCATTGATCGCAAGGTGTCGAGAGTTTCAGCAGCAACATTTAAGCAGCCTTGACAACGTCCTTTACCTCGACGTGCTCCTCGCCTAGCATCTGCTTAGGAGTAGCCTCCTCCTCCGAGTGGATGTTGAGCTTTCCGAAGTGCGAATCAAGCTCCTCAAGAGTCTTTCGCTTGGTCTCGGGGTAGCAGAGGTAGACCAGAAAAGTCGAGAAGACGTTGAAGGACATGAAGATGAAGTAGGTCTTGGGTCCAATGTTGGCAACCGCAACAGGCCAGACCTGGCCGACAATGATACTACCCAGAGAGGTGCCAGTAACTGAGATGCCCAGACCCTTGGATCGTACGTTGGCAGGGAAGATTTCCGAGGCGTAGATCCAGGCACACGGTCCGAACCCAATACTGTCTGTAGTTGATTGTCAGTATTTGATTTCTCGAGTGAGACTCTTGTCTCTTTACTTACATCCGACGGTGAAGAAGAAGATGAAGAAGATGTTGCAGTAGTTGGCGGAGGAGTTCGCCTGGTTGGGATATGCCAACTGGAGAGCACCATTAATCTGTTCCATCCAAGTTAGCGATTATCCTTGCCTTGAAATTTGTCAAACAAACTTACCATGAGGCAGAATGCCATAATGATAGCACCAATTCCAAGAGCATGACGACGGCCCATACGGTCAATCAGGAACACACCAGCTACAGTACAAGCTACTTGCACTGTACCATCAATGCCAGACGCAAGCAGAGAGAGTTCCTTAGAAGTACCAGCAGCAATGAAGTTGGTTGGTAGATAATATCGAATACCTGCAGCTCCGCTCATCTGAAGTGGGATGTTAGTTACTGAACCAGCGAACTGAGTTGGTGGTGGAATTAAGTACCTGCTGTAGGAAGCACAAGGCCCATGCGCGCCAGAGGCGAGACCACAGAGCAGGGTCCGTGAAGAAGACCTTGGCGGAGTTGACGGAGTGCTGCTTGTGCCAGAGGATGTTGGAGTGGATCTCGTCGAGCTCTGCCTGGAGGGACTCAATGTTGTTGGTTCCTCGCAGCTTGGCCAGTGCCTGAACTGCGTCCTCCATCCTGTCTGCACCAACAAGCCAGCGGGGGCTATGAACCGCAGTTAGTATTTTCGTATTCTTCGTTTAAAGTGCAAGGACCATTGCTTGAGGTTCGAGTTACCTTTCGGGAAGGGTCAGGACACCACACATGTAGATGAACGCGGGTAGAGCTTGAACAGCGATGGAGATACGCCACTGGGCATCAACTCCACGTCCAGTATTCCAGAAAGAGAGGCCATAGCCGACCCAGAAAGCCATGGAAATGCCGAACACGATACCGACTTGGTTGGCAGCGACATAGGCACCACGGAGTCTAGCCGGGGCAATCTCAGAGAGGTACAAAGGAACTGATGTGGAGACGACACCAGTGCCTACACCGGCAATGATACGGCCGATGACCATCATGGACAAGTGGACAGCACCAGCCTGGAGAGCAGCACCGACCAAGAGCACGATAGTACCCAAGAAGCCAGCCCATCGGCGACCGAACCTGTTGTTGGTAGGTCCAGCGAGGAAGCCATAGCCAACGAATTGACCAGCGGAGAAGATGGCAGTGATAAGACCGGTTTCAGCGGAGCTCGGGTTGTGCAGGGCCTTCTTGAAGCCGGGGGCGACAAAGATGGTACTCAGGATGCCGATATCGTAGCCCCAGAAAATTGCACCCATAGATACTGCGACACATTGGTCAGCCTCGCTAACACAATGATAATGAGCAGGAAGACATGATCCAGTTGCACTTACTGACGGTGCAACTATAGATGAGCCACCAGTTGACATCCTTAGTCTTCACCGGGGTGTGGATTTCCTCAGCCATCTTGAAGGGCTTCTCTTGTTGAACAGATCAAGAGACTTGGGGTAAGGCGGGGATGGTGGTTTGAGATGAGACTCTTCCGGATCGACATGCCTTCAAGTTCTCTGGGGAACAAGTCATGTATTTAAGATCCGCGAGAGTCGAGGACGAGACGCGCTCGTGCCACCGGGACTGGGGAAGAAGCTGCGGTTCCGCGTGCCCAGAACGTGGGAGCTCCAGATTTCAGGGCAGGCTTTTCCTCAGCGCTACTGTGGAGGCGGGGCCACCTGAACACGGAAGCAGCCAAAGTCGTTGGGAGAGTGCGAGTGGGGCCGCCATAGGCCGGGCCAAGAAAGGGACGAGAACATAGGGCGACGGAACCCCCGACAAGGGAAACTTGCCTCGGCCAGGGCAGATGTTTTCCCCATCATGAGCCCACTCGACCCCATACCACAAGATGGGGATGCTCATTTTGGCTTAGGATCACGAGGGTTAAGCATAACTAGACTTGGATCACACAGCAATGCAGCATTGTACGGACAGGTTGCTTCGGCAGTTCCGCCGACAGCCCCATGTTTTTCGCCTCCTGTGCGGGCGAAGGCTCAAGTGAAAGTGAAGTCTTCCCAAATCCTTGGATACATTGTTCAGCCCATATGATATGGCACAAGCGTAGGCCATGCCATCATGACGCTTTGCCCCGATAGATCCGGCACCCCCTTCCTCCCTAGCGACGCCACCCCCGTTGTTTGTCGTCACGCGAGGACAGTATTTGATCAACATAAAACTTCATTTCTCGATTTCTTGCTAGCAATTACTTCTAGTCGTCGTGGACAGCTTCTGATCACGCGGTTTCCCCCACCTTTTCTTCATCCTCCCTTGTATCTCATTTCCTCCGCCAAGCGTGCTTTCACTCACAATGGCTCCTGCAAGGTTGATACACGACCCGGTGCTGATTAAAGAAGACGCCGTCCAGTCACGACAGTTCCAGGCTGAAGATATTCAGACAGAGCTATGCGTTTGTGGAGGCGGCTTGTCTGGCGTGTGCGCGGCCATCACCGCGGCTCGTCAAGGTGTCAAGGTCGTTCTTATCCAGGACCGGCCAGTGTTGGGCGGCAATGCGTCGTCTGAGGTCCGATTGTGGATTCTTGGCGCCACTAGCCACATGTTCAACAACAACAGATATGCCAGAGAAGGCGGCATTGTTGAGGAGATCCTCATCGAGAACCTCCACCGTAACCCGGAAGGCAACCCACTGATTCTCGATACCGTTCTCCTCGAGAAGGTCGTCGAGGAGCCCAACATCCAGCTTTACCTGAACACGGCTCTCATCGCCTGTGAAAAGGCGGGTGAACGTATCGACCATGTCAAGGCATTCTCCTCTCAAACATCACTGATGCACACAATCAAGGCAAGCCAGTTTATCGATTGCACTGGAGACGGTGTGCTCTCCTTTTTGGCCGGTGCTCCGTTCAGGATAGGCGCCGAGAAGTATGAGGAGTTCCAGGAGAAATTCGCACCGAGTTCTGATTATGGACATCTCCTCGGCCACTCTATCTACTTCTACTCTAAGGATGTGGGCCGGCCGGTGAAGTTCGTGGCACCCTCTTACGCCCTCCAGGATGTCGAAGGCGAGATCCCCCGCTTCAAGACATTCAACACCAAGGACATGGGCTGCAACTTGTGGTGGATCGAGTATGGTGGTCGCATGGATACTGTTCATGACACCGAAAAAATCAAGTGGGAGCTCTGGAAGGTCGTCTACGGGGTCTGGGACTACTTCAAGAACTCCGGTCGCTTTCCTGAGGCCGAGAATCTGACGTTGGAGTGGGTTGGTACTATACCTGGCAAGCGTGAGAGCAGGCGCTTCAGTATGTACCCCTCAAAGTCCATTGACTGTTCACATCGAAAGTCTACTGACATGTCATTACAGTTGGTCCCACTATCATGAAGCAGCAGGACATCATTGAGCAGCGCTTCCACAATGACGCTGTCTCCTTCGGCGGTTGGTCCATTGACTTGCACCCCGCGGATGGTGTATACTCAGAGATCGAAGGATGTATCCAGCTTCACAGCAAGGGTGTTTACCAGATTCCTTTCTCCACCATGGTTTGTGCCGAGATTCCTAACCTTATGTACGGCGGTCGCATCATCTCAGCAAGTCACGTTGCGTTTGGTTCCACCCGAGTTATGGCGACTTCAGGTGCAAACGCCAATGCTCTGGGCATGGCCGCTGCTCTCTGCAAGAAGCTGTCAGTCGACCCCATTCAACTGCTCGCCAAGGATAAGATGTCGATGCTCCAGCTTGAACTCATGCGCTTTGGCCAATTCATACCCGGGTACAAGCTCAAAGACCCCTTGGATCTTGTTCAGAAAGCAAGCTCCATTGAAACTACTTCTCAGTTTGAGCTTTCCGAGCTCCCTGCAAATGGTCCCCCCAAGGTCCTTACGAGGAGCCTTGCTCAGATGCTGCCTCTCACTGAGGGGCCCGTTCCCAAGTTCACCATCACGGTCAAGGCCGTCGAGAACACCACCTTGACGGTGCAACTGCGTGGCTCAGAGAAAGCCTACAACTACACTCCGGAGGTCATTCTCGGAGAAAATAAGTTTGAGCTTCAGCCTGGCGATAACGAGCTTGTCATCGACCTTGGCGCTTCCAACCCGCAGACCCAATACGTCTTCCTCTGCCTCATGCAAAACGAGTCTGTGGCGGTCTGCACGACTCTGACTCGCACCAGCGCCCTCGAGACTGTCGAGCATGAATGCACCCAAGTACCGCCAGAGAACGTTGGCGTCGACGGCTTCGAGCGTTGGACTCCCGTCCGCAGGCCAATGGGCCACAATTTGGCACTGCGTGTCGAGCCGCCCATCAAGGCGTGGGCCGTCGGCAACATACGCAACGGTGTCGCCCGTCCCACGAAGCGGACAAATTGCTGGGTCCCGGCCAAGGATGGCAAGAGGAAAATGGTCACTCTTCGTTGGGACCAGCCCGTGCGCCTGTCCAAGATGGTTCTGGGCTTCGACACCGACTTTGACAACGCCTGCGAGTCGGTTCTGCGTGGCCATCCCGAGCGCGACATGCCCTTCTGCGTCAAGTCGTGGAGGGTGCTGGACCTATCGAAGGAAGGCGAGGAGGTGGAGCTGTATAAGGAGAACGACAACCACGTCTCGAGGAGAGAGATCGCCATTGAGCCCCGTGTATCGAGTACAGCGATCGGAGTGGAGATTCTGGAAATCAACGGTGACGAGAACAACGTCTATGGTGGCATCTTTGAGATTCGGGCTTATGAGTAGGACGATCAATGAAAGAATAGGTCAAAGTGAGAACACCACTACCACAGCATATGGAGAAGTCTGCGTTTAGGTTTATAACTATCTAGAGTATAGCACACATATCATGGGATATTGTATTGATTGATCATGCACTTGAGGCCCTTCACACACATCAATTATGACTTAATCATGCCTTATTGTTTTCAACTCCGGCGACCTTTTAACATTAACCCGGACTTTAGTACAATGATTCTCTACGTCTTTTGTGATAGCCTCACTGGAGGCCTTCATAAAATATATTATCTATCTGTAACATGTACAGTCCCGATTCCTAATGCCCACATCTTTATCTGCCACTGCAGTGATTTGCTTCCACAGAATAGTACCAGCGCTTTCTTGTCAGCCGAATCTTCAAAAATATCGCTCTTCTCCATTCTTCTACAAGCAAACTCAACCCCTTGAAAGTTTTGTTTGATACTGTTGAATCGGTCCTTCCACACAGTTTCCGGCTTTCCGCCAACCAAGCCTCCGGGGTCTTCGCCGGCTGTGACAAATATCTTTACATCCCATAACTCTATATCTAGCATGCCATTCTGTAGGACATATTCGACAAGTGGGAAATCTTCGCCGCGGATGGACCAAGCCAATATCCTTCTCATCGTTGCTGCATCTTCACCCAAATTTGAGGATTCAAGACTCAGGAAGCACGAGATACCGGTCCCACCAGCGACGGCTATAGTCTGGGCAGGACTCTCAAGAACTTCTTCGGAGAAGCCACCCCCAACCTCGACGAGTTGTGCGCCCAGGCCTTGTGGCCTGGGCAGTCCGATGAGGGAGGTGACACGGCCATTGCGGGAAAAGAACGCCAGAGTGGTCCTGGCTCCGTCGGCTGTCCCTTGCATTGGCTCGACTGAGATTCGACATGGGGTAAATTGTAGCCGGCGATCGTCCTCCTTCAGGCTGTGGGCGCCCCCAATGGGGTCAAGGTCTGGAGGAAACTGGATAACCACGTGTTGGGTGGGCCGGATGGGGAGTTGAACTGGCGCCGAGAAGGTATGCAGACTGATGCTAGAGGTCATACGATGAGAAGAGACATGAGCTAGAGCCACGGAGCGCCCACGATCTGGGCTAGATGGTGTGACCATCGCTGGTTCCGGAGCTGAGGCTGCCCGTTAGGATGGAAAGACCGGGGAAGGGGCCGGGGAGGTTGTCTGGGGTCAGATACCAGAGAAGATCAAAGTGACTAGGCTTGCTGCAAAGGAATATGTTTATTCAATACTGTTTATTGACTATTTAGTCTTTGCCGAAAGCATTTTTAAGGAATGCCAAGCTGAGCAGGCCTTAGACGGATCATGACACGGAGCGCCCGGCGCGATGACGGAACCGCCGAACTCACGCGCGCGCTAGAACAGATGGGCATGTCGTAGTTAGATCGCTAGAGGGTACACCATAACTACTGAATGTCCTTAGCCTATCAATAGAGCAAGGGAGGCGCAAGGACATGATTGACCGTGCCGCAGGTCCGTACATTCTGGCATCTGTGCACTGCCAAACATCGGCATCCAATGAACGGCCGGAAGAGGCGATATTAGAGCCGCCCAGGCTCGAGTCAGGAGTCTCTACACACAGTGTTGGGTCGTTGACAAGCGGGTAAGGTCACTAAAGATGGATGCCCACTTCCAGGTCCACTGGGGCTGACAAGAGTTACTACGCAAAGTTCTTGATCTTGCTCGTGACCATCAGCGGAGGGCATGAAGCTAGACCGTCGCACCAACACAAGGCGCCCTCCTACCGACCTTAACTTGTGCATAGGAGCGACCGAAGAAAACGCTGTGCCGCTCCAGAGTAATTCATCATTCGTTCGAGTGCCGGTATTCGACGGGGCACAGTCCAGCGAGCGTGCGTGACCAACCGTGTTCTCCATACGGCCCCAACCCGACCCTGGCAACGCACAGGTCTGTTGTGCTCCGAGACGGAGCTGTCCGAAGGAACTACCGAACCAAATCCGGCTGTTTGCTTGCTTTCGGCCGTGTAGCCCGAGAACGCACGTAAAGATGGAGCCAGAGGCGTCGTCCGCCCATGCCGCCTCCACACACCCCGCAAGGGATGTCGTTCTCAAGGTGTCCCAAGTCTTCTCCGCGTGTGCCTTCTGCAAGGCCCGGAAGATCAGGGTAAGTTATTCTCGCCGGTCATACAAGCATCCATGCTACCCTGCCCTGCATGTTCCCGTGATCGGGGCTAACCGGCTGTTTGCTGCTGTCTCCCTAGTGTGACGGCAGTGCTCCATGCGGAGGCTGTACCAAGTTTGGCAGAGCGAGCACTTGCTCACTGTCCTCCATGCAGCAGACTCACGGCAGGGACTATGTTACGTACCTGCAGCGGAGAATACAGAAGTTGAAAGGTGACATAGAGCGGGTACAACGCGATCCCACCGCCACCTTGGGCGAAACAGCAGACCATGGCCACGATGACCCGATTGGTCTACACGGTGCGGCCCTCCGATGTTTTATACGTGCACTGCAGCTTGTGCTAACATCGAGGCAGGTGATTTCTCAGGTCGCGCAGACTCTGAGGGGCATCGGTCAATGATCGATGCCCTGATCTCTGACATCGGAGCTCTTCCGATCCTGGCCTCGTCGTATCAAGGATCGTCATCAGATGGGCCATCATTATCTACCGTCGTGCTTGGTGCGGCATCTAAGAATCCTATCCAAGCAGAAGCACCAGAGCCTACCACCCTGGCTGAAGCTCAGCCACTCCTTCCGAAACACTCTACAGCGCAGAAGCTGGCACACCACTACATCACCAACATCTATCCTCGTCTCCCGTTCTTCTCTATCCAGGGCTTCTGGACTCAGTTTGAATATGTCTACTCCGCCGCGACCCAAGAGGTGCCACCTTCCACCAATACAGCTTCGGCATCCCAAGATCCGGCGGCATTGCTCTCTCCCGAGCGCCTCGATCATACAGCGGGCTCCGTGAACCACGGGTACAGCTGCTTCACTGTGCTTATTGTTCTGGCCATAGCAACATCGAGTCTTTCGAGGAGTACAGACAGCATCATCTCAAACAACGCCGAAAGGCTGTTTCACGCAGCTTTACTGTTTCGAGAATCAGCCATTCTTCCTAATACTGTTGTGGGGGTTCAGTCTATTCTCTTCCTCATTCAATATGCGACCCTGAATCCCTCCAGCCTCAACGCCTGGTATCTGATCGGGGTCGGCATCCGCCTCTGCACGGATCTCGGGTTACATCAGGACCCTCAGCCCCTCGGTTCCACGCCCCCAAGTCTACTCGAGACCCGTCGGCGTCTCTGGTGGAGCATGTACTCGTTTGACCGGTCCATGTCCATCGGCTTAGGTCGTCCAAGGGAAATCTCAGACAATGTCATTGGCGCTGAGTTGCCTAGCTTCCAGATTGGGTCAACGGCTAGTGAAGTTGAGATCTCGGGATATCTGCAGAGATATCGAATACTTCAGCTACAATCACTGATCTATGATGGGTTGAACACAACCCCAGAGCAGTCTGATCGAAGCACCGATCAAACATTAGCCGATCTACGCGACAAGCTGAATTCATGGGCTCACAATAACTCGCCTCTCCACACCCAAGAGCTTGTTGAGAGCGAGTATCTCATGGGAATGATGTTGCTCTGTCGTCCATGCAGGTTGATACCCCAGAGAACGCCGGAAGAGCTTCTAGAGCTCTGGAACTCGGCACTTAACTTTGCGCGCATATATCGGACTTTGGCAGAGTCGAACGGAATCTTCTACGTACAGATCGCGTCCGAGAAGGTCTACTGGACTGGCCTTGCCATGCTCTTTGTCTACTGGAAACTCAGAACGGGTCGGATCCGGCCAATCGAGCTTTGGATGGCTGTCAAAGATGTCACTTTCATCTTGCGGACACTAGCAGAGCGGTGGGAAGAAGGCAAGGTGCTGGGCGAAAATTTTGAGAAGACGAGCGCGAAAGTCATCGAGCTGATAGAGGGTGTCTCTTCTCAAGGCGGACAAGGTATAACTACCGATATCGATTCCGCTATGCCAGACGAGGTCAAGTCCTTCCCCAGGTACTCCAGCTTGACCAGCATCTGGACTGCTGACCGGGTGGGGGGTTATCCTGGTGCGTCACCGCAAAGCGAAGATATGCTGCAAAGCCTCATTGCCGAGATCGTAAGAGGGTAGACCATTTCAGGCTCACAGAGCGTCTTCCACGTCCACAAGCTACTAGGACTAAGGGACCGGAGCGGTGTCAATGTAAACTTGCTACTTTGTAATGCTAATAAACGCGCCGACCTTCGTCTACCATGGGTATGCTCGCACCTCGTCCTCTTTCTCCAGATCCAGCCCTCTTTCCAGCTGTTTGGCATGTTGTCCGTCCAGATACTCCAGCAGAACCTTACCATATGTCTCTCGTCCCTTGTAATTGGCAACCTTATCATCCCAGCTGCGGATGGCGCTGGCGAGTCGACCCGGAACGTAGTCTTCCTTCGCGATGTCCGTGATAGGGTGGAAGTAGGTACGGACGGTAAAGACAACAGCTCTGGACTTGGGAAGACGGCGCAGAGACTGCCTCTCGGATCGGAACCAGTGGTGCTGAATGGCCTTGTCCTTTTCGGCGGTACTCCAACTTGTTTCAGGACTGTCCTCGGAGCCGATGCTCCAACTCCACGGAAGCGAATCGTCGACCTGGATGAAGTAGTTGTTGCGGGAGTACGTCTGGTCGCAGCGCAGTCTCCTGAAGAAGTTTGCCATCCCCGTATGCAGCTTCTCTTTGTAATGAGGGACGCTGCCTGATGTGTGGATCTCCTCAAGCGGCATTCCGTACTTGTCTGACAGCTTCCAGAACCCAGCAAGCAAAACAGCTCCAGCCATGAGGTAGTATCGGCCGTCAGAGCCTTCAAGCATTAGAGCGAGGTCATCCTGCACAAGCCTCGCCGCTGTAGCCATAGGATCCTCGGCGAGTGGTCTCTGAACGATATTGAAGGACTCGCCCGACCAGAGGTTGTCGATGCCAACAGGAGTCCGTTTGTAAAGACTTGGGTATCGGGCAGGGAGATAGTTTACCAGCTCTTCGACCAGCTCCAGGGCTGCAGGGTAGGCGCTTGGGTGGGTTCGGACACACTTCTCGCCCCTCTCTCGGATTCGAGCAGCCTTGTCGGCATGGAACTTGGGGAACTGGTTATCGAGCTCGATCCATTCTTGTGCGGGGATCGACCGGAGTCCCATCGTGACATGGTACTTTGGGCCATATCGGAAAGCGCGATAGGGAAGCGGCTTGGTAGTTTCGATCGACCAGTCGGGATACGGCTCTGGGGTGGGAAACTTGTAATCCTCGAGAGCGTCTACCTTCTTCTCTTTGGTCGGTTGGCTCGAAGAAACAAAGCTGGATTTCGCTCGGGAGCGAATGATCGAAACCACATAGTGCGAGATTACCAGACAGGCCAAGCAGCCCGCCAGGATCAAGACTTCGGGCGTGATCACTTTGGTGGACAACTCCATGGTAAGATATCGATATGTTTCGTGTGAAAGTCGTCAGATCGCTGGGACAGAGTACCGCGTTCCGCCAGAATTGGGTTTCCACGCAGAACAGCAATGTGTTCTGTAGTTAATGTCCGACCTACGTGTGACCTCCCCTCTCGTTATCGAATGGCAGCTTATCAATGCCCCGCGACCGGTGTTCCGGCAAGAGCAACCGCACGCCCACACATGTTGGCCGCGTACCCGGCACTAGCACTGGCACTTCGGAACACTTGGCCCAAAACGGCAAAAAGACGCTATCGCCCACACCCATTTCCTATCATCAACATCGATCATACCCTATCCCGGGGTAAGGAGTGGCACTCGCGAAAAGGAGACCAGAGACGGTACCTGTGAATGGCAATTCCATAAGAATAAAAGCCAGAGGGGAGATTGAGCAGTTCAATCTGTCCCAGAAGCACTATCACGACACTCTCTCTTAGTCCTTACAAGACCTTAAGCTTATAAGCCTTCAACCAAAGACTATTTGCATCTTGATCACCCCCTTCTGTCATTTCATCTCAATCATGGCGGCGTTCCAGCATATCGCGCAGGCACAGTCCACCTATCAGATCCCGCTTCTCGCCGGTGACAATGCGTTTCTCGGCGATATTCTCTCCAGCGATCAGACCGAGCCCGAGAAACCGATATCATGCGGCCTCTTCCGTCTCCAAAAGGGCGAGCCCCTGACATATACGTACAAGTACGACGAGATGAAGATCATTCTGGAGGGCAACTTCACAATCACCGACAGCACTGGGCAGGAAGTCAATGCCAAGCCAGGAGATGTCTTCTACTTCCCCAAAAGCTCAACTATTACTTTCACGACAAGCGATTACGGGTTGGCCTTCTACTGTGGTCAGAAGACGAAGAACTTTGTATGAACGGCCAGGATTATCAAGTTCGAAGCATCGTGAAATTGGCCAAATAGCAAAGACTTATAGACTTCTTTGACACGCTCACACTTGTTTGCGAATCCAAATGATATTCCTCAAGTCCATTGTCAACTATTCAATCATGATGTGCCGCTTATCCATGTAAGACGCAACCAGGTCTCAACGCCGCCAATATCCATAAACCGGCAATTGTAGCACAAGATCTGCTTATCCAAACAAGGAACGTAAATCGCCCCCTTCCATCACATCAACCCAGTGGACTGCGAAACACCCGGGTATCTCGCTGTCGTAAGCCCTCCAAAGCGCTGAGACCAAATCCTTGGCGACAACGACCGGTGTCGGCGGTAAGCTGCTCTCCAATATGCCCAGTCTACTCATGACAAAGTGCCGAGCATTTCCAACATCAATATCTATCTGGGAAACATGATCGAGTCCTCGTGGGTCGTTCCCGGCGAGAGCTATGCCCACACCCACATGCTCCAGGACTGGCGACGAGTAAAATAAGTTCCCGGGATGCAGTGGATCGTTAGGAGTTGAGCTCTGATTGCCTACTGATACATTGGAGCGGAGTCCGGTGCTGGCAGAAATGTATAGAAGAGGCTGCATCATACGACTTCCCGACGTAGGAGGGATATGGTCGAGCACCTTGACAAGGTACAAGCAAAGCGGGATAATCCACTCATGCCAGAGAACTGCGTCATCGGCCACGTCTAGAGATCTGCCTGGGAGTCTCAGCGATACCAAGTCAGGGAACGTCTGATACAGATGGATGAGTGACGAGAGCCTGTAGGCCTCGGCCACCTCGGCGAGATGGGTTGCTGGGGTGGCAGAGTCACCCGTATCGTCCAGGTTATGGTTGGAGACTATATCCAGCGCCAACAAACGTTCTTCAAGCTTTTGGGCATCTATAAAGTCTTGAAATGAGGAACTGGGGATGTCAAATGGTCCAGATGTGGCCCTGATCGACCGCCGGTACTTCCGACAAAGCTGAACCGACTCGGTGAACAGTTCGCAAGTGAGAGTTGAGATCCCCGTCCACGGATGTATGGATTTTGATATGACCTCTTCAGAAGCGTGTGGCTTTGGTGCGGCCGAAGGTAATAGCTCGAGATTTGCCATAGTGGGAGTGGCCTCCTCATCTCGGACCATAGCCAGCATCATCTCGCAGTACGTCATACATCTGTTGAAAAACTGTAATAGCTCCCAGTCCCGACTGTTTGACGCGGATGTAATTTGCCCGTCTAATCGCTTCAATATGCGCTTCGCTTCTCTGAAAAAGGGGATGCCAAGCCCCTTTGCGTCGACCCAGCAGACAGTAGTGCCGAGACAGAAGAGTGAGAACAGCAATCCGGTCGGCACAGCGGGCAGCTGCGGTAGGGAGTTGGCAGCCCACAATTCGCTCTGGACAAGGTTTGTTGCTTTCTGCATGAGCTGGACTGCGTTCCGCCGCATGCTGGGCAACCTGGAAGCAATGAAGCTGGCTGACATGCTCTCGAGGGCACCTGCAACTGTGGCCGAACTGCGCCAGAGATCCGCGGCCATCATCCTGTTCTGGTTCACGCTGGAATCAAATCCAGACCACTTGGAGCAGACCTGCTCGAACCAGTTGATAATGAATGCCGAAGATGCGTCTGTAAGATACTCTCGCGACAACGCTAAGCTGTGGCTACCGTCACGGCTGCTACTGGCAGTGCTTTCGATGCTCGGTGGCCCTTGTTGGGAGATTTCGCTCGTAGCACTGTTTTGTATCGTTGCAGTTGCCCCTACAAGGGATCCTCGCCGTACGGGATGACGTGTGACCGTGGTTACGTCACCGTCGCAAGCGACGTGCCCAATATTGCCTTGAACAATATGGTCATTAGAGGCGTCTGAGGCTGATGGCACAGAGGTGTGCTCGCTTCTAAGACTCGAGGTTTCGGAGGGAGATAGCGCAGTGCCCAGAGATCGTTTGTGCTGAGGACTGGGCCGCTGAGACTTGTACTCGCCGGCTGGCTGGTGCTTGGTGGACCACTTCAAGCCCGAGAAGTACCCTTCGCATTCGAGTCCTCTTCGAACGCAGTTTAGACAGGCAGGCCTTGTCTCGTCACATTTTCGCTAGATGACAGCCTCGAGTTAGTTCCTCCTTCGTTGTTGGGTATTGCAAGCCATCCATGGTCATTGCCGAGGAGGTAGGTAACCCTACATGTTTGGCTTTGCAAGTCAGACACCCCGCTCTGGATCGGGGCGTTCGTCCGCTCTTGGGCTTTGCGGGGCCCATTGACCGTACACATTGCATGTGTCAGATTGTTGAAGTTGAAATCCTCAAAGCGACTAAACATACAACGTCATTGCAGTGTCTGGCTGGGAGGAAAGGCACGCATGCCTCAATGGCATTCGAGATAAGGGTCCTCGGATAAGAGGGGTTGCGGAGTAGGTTCGGAGAGTCATTGGTCTAACCAAAGCGGGTACTAGCCTGGACTTAATTGATAGCGCAGCTCTACTGTGTGATTGGCTGATTGTACCAATATGTTATGTGCTCAGCGCGCATGTCCCTCACAACATTGAAGCCAGTGATAGCTTTTTTGACACCGCAGTTAATGCTAATGGCGGGCCGGCAGGACCATGCGAAAGAGGATCATCGCGCTTTGCAACGTGATTCGAGACAAGCACTATCAATTGCTATGGCCTTTGTAAGCAGCGAGCCTGTGTACAACTGACACTTGTCGAGTCACTACAAGTCATCAGTGAAAACTATATAAAACCTAGGACTGCTCAAAGGAAGTGGCAGTCACGAGTCTTTCTGAGCATATCCCAACTCTCGAGGATTAATGCTGGGACAAAGTCAGATTCGACCTGCGCAAGAGGGCTTGGATGCAAATCATTTGCAGTTCTCAAAATCACAGACCAAATTCGAGCTGCAATTCCCTGACTTTTCAAATACTTGATTCTCTTATCTCCCTCGAGTATGAATGACTATCTATCTATAAGGAAACATGGGGCTCGCAATGCAACGCACAACCGAGGTAACAAGTCTTCTCTTGTATATGCGTGTCTTTGCTGGACACTTGGTAATTCTAAGCACACCAAACCCGCAACTCCATACTCCAACGGAACAAAACTCTAAACCAAAAGATCTGCCGTCATCTTCCTCGGCTTCGTTGCCCTGAAAAGAAGAGTCATGCCAATCACCCACGTGTCCACATCCTCAAACTCCTGATGCAGCGCCTTCTCAAACATCTCCCTCGTATCGTGTAGGTTGTTGAACAGACCGACCTTGTTGTAATACCTCACATACCACCTAGTGAGCCAGCCGGTCGCGTGCTTCTCGCCCAGCACCGTGCACCCGGACAGGACGCCGTGGTCCGACAGCAGCTCCTTGTACGTGGTGAGGGCCTTGAGCTTGTCCGGGCCCGGCACGCAGTGGAAGAGGTTGAACATGGAGATCGAGTCAAACTGGAGCGGCGTCGCCGGCTGGTCCTCGGATGCCCGCGGAGCGAGGAGGGCCTTGGGCAGCGGAGCCGTGACGTCGGCCTCTACGCACTGGACGTCGGCGACGGGGTTGCTCGCCTGGACGCGCGCCTGCGCCGCGCGCAGCGAGTTGCCGCTGATGTCCAGCAGGGTGATGTGCTGGCGGGACGTCGCGCGGAAGGGCCGCGCCAGGGCGACGGCCGGGAACCAGCCCGTGGCCACGCCGATGTCGAGATGCCTCCTAGAGAAGTTCTCGCTAAAGAAGGGCAGCAGGATCGTGTCTGCGGCACAACCCCACATGTACCGCAGGTTGAACTTGAGGACGAGGTAGTCATAAATCATGGAGAGGAAGGTCGGCGAGTAGACTCTGGCGTAGACGCCATCGCGGCCCTCGGGTGTTCCAGCCATTATTGGTGTCTGGCTCTGCTTGTTCTTGCCTGATGTGATGGACAGACCAGATACTCACGCGAAACTGCGATGACGTTTTTCACAGCTCAGCTCTTATGAGGGAGCAATTCGGAGTATGCGGGAGAGCATTTGGGGTCAGTTGGAGCAGTCCAGTTCCCCCTCCCATGAGCCCTTGGCTGCGGAAGACACCGGAAGGATTTGACAGGCTTGGTCGTCTGCACGTTGCCGTCCTCTCTGGCTTCGGATGGATGCGCCGGCAAGGACAGAGGGTCGGTCACGTCGCGAGCACCAGAGGACAGACCATTGCACGATGGCAGGTCCACCCTTGTGTCTGGCAAACCTGCACGTCCTGCCCAAAGCAGCAAACGGTCCATCATCGGCTCGGCTCATCTGTCAATCGGCCATGGCAGGTGTCCAGCCCGAGATTCCTCGCACGCGGGTGGGGACGGCTCTCGCGCGGCGCAGAATCTTGATGATGTCTAGTATCTGCACTGCAATGCACAAATGGCAATTGTGCGGCGCAATGCGCGCCACCCAGGGAAAAAAAAAAGGAATATGACCGCCGTCTATTCTTCAGTAGGTAAATTGTTTTTAGCACATTAGTTCGGTTTCCCGTGAGGACCGCGAGGTACCTCTCTTGTTGGCCATGCACTGCATCGCAGCTTATTGGTCAATTGGGCCGATTCGACCAGGCCTGGTGGAAGGCGATGCAGGTGGACGTCTGCAGGTCGGTGGGTTCCCTGCATTAGGGACCTGCTGCGCCTTCACCGCTTCTCTCGTTGGCAGCTGCTTGGTCGTACGCTGGGCCTTGCATACGACTGCATATCTAGCCCTGGTAAGTCGCCTCTGAGGGCGGTTTGTTCAGTGATGCCGGCCGCAACGAGGACGCAGATGATTCTGCTCCATCTCGTGGCTTTCTGGCAAAAGTAGTCATGCTGTTTTGCATGCATTGCATCTCTGAGATTAGCCAATTGGCTGCCCAGCGTCTGAAGTGATATGGTAGGGCACACTCACAGGGTCATGTATGAATGGTACTTGGTGTCGCCAACCTCCTTGTACACCTCCTTGAGGAGAGCCGACAATTGCGACGGAGTCCAGCCTAATGCGCCAAAGACCGGGACCGAGATAGGCTCGAGAACGTCGAGCCACATCTTGGCCATCAGCGTGCCGATCCTTTGCAGTCGCTTTCCCGGGTAGCACGCATTGTTCGGGGAAGCATGTTTCCTCTCCTCGATCTGTACGAACCCCGCCTGCTCCAACACGGGCTTGTACTGCAGAGGAAAAAACACCGAGCTGCCAAGCCGTTGGAGTCCTGCAATCATGCGTCAACTCTCCCAGGTTCTTTGAACCCCCACATGCCTAGCTCTCGACTATCTCCAACTGTATCGGCCAGGGTGGAGCGAGGAGGACGACTCACCTTCTCGTAGGTGAATGCTCCATTTCTGGAACGCCGTACCATCCAGCGAGCCGTTGGGAGACTGGATATCGACGATCCACTCGGTGAACTCGACCCAGCCACCTGGGTGGAGATTGTCCCATACCTTCTGGACAAGACGCTCTTTGACTGGTACATCGCCGAACATGCGGATATGGATGAAGTCAAACTTATCCTCAAAGTCCCACTCGTCATTGGCATCCATGATCCGAAACTCCCAGTTCGGCGGCGCCGTCGAAGGCCGCCGTCGAAGAGGCTCCAGGTCTATTCCCAAAACATAAGTATTTGGGTGTTGGACGGCTAGACAAGTCAGCATCGGGTTAGTATACGCATATAGCGGTGTAGGCTCTTGCTCGGAGCAACTTGCCAAATTCCTGCATAGTACGGTTAATCAAGACGCATATAGAAAGGCCGCGCAGGGCATACTGACCATTGCCCACAGGCCAGGTCCCGTTCCAACGTCCAAGACCCTCCTGGGATGCGTGAGCGGAGATAGATGCAGTCTATCCTCGAAGAGAGCAACTATGGTCTGGTGTTGTAAGACTTGACTGTGCATTAGCCTTCCCCTCCTCTGCATGTTTGTGTTGGTCACGGAGTCGCAAGGGAGGAGATATACTTACTGTTCCTATCATGTTCCCGCTAGAGCCAAGATATCAGCTTGCTGCTGGATCTGCAGGGAGGACGGCAGTTCCATGCTCAGGTCAGAGAATTTACCTGGTCATTAGGCAGAAGGCCATATCTCGCTTTCAAGGATGTCAGCCGGAAGATATTGCCACAAGAGGCAGGAGGGGAAACAACCCACGTTTGTATGCTCTACCAAGTTTCTTTGCGATGGACTTGAAGAACCTCCACGCGGAACCTCGTGACTTTGATTTGCTACTATCGCATGCATGATTAGATGGGACTCGGCATTTGCTTCGCTTGCATTGCTTTGCTTTGCTTTGCTCGCCGCTTGCTTGCTTGATGGTGCATGTTTCGTACCTATGGGTCGAGCTGCCAGGCAGGGCCTCATCTGACTCGTCTGAATCTGCTTTGGGCCAGATATCATGTGATGAGGAAGATGCGTACGTGTTTGTCTGCGGCGTTGGCCATGTGAGATGGTGTCAACCTTCCGGAGCATCGGAACCAATGCATGAGATTGGGGCCAATGAGGGGGAGGAATGACGGGGCCTCCACCCATCCACCAAAATACAAGTACAAGAAGGGGACTGGACGAATAGACGTACCGTGTTGTGAACTGAGGATCCGGAAGAATACTGAGACTGGGATCCTGACACTGCCGAAGGCCTCCGGTCGTCGAGCGACGTGTCCTTGTAGTGCGGGGTAGAGAAAGGCCGTTGTTCTGAGGATGACGAGGTCCGGATCGACTCGGCGTTGGTCAGATTTTGGTAGGCGGCCGGCCTCCCTGATGCGCTGTCTGCAGATGCGGTGGTCCCATTGCCACTGGCTGCACTGCGTTTCTTCCTAACCCTGTCCATAATACCGGTGGTTCGGCTCGGTCCGCCTCTGCTTCCGTCACCTCCTTGGGCGACAGGCGGTGGGCAATGGGCGAGGGAGGAGGAGGGATACGACGACACGACGGGTTAGGGGAGCAGGAGCCTCGTGGGCCAGCAACAGCGATTTGACGCAAGGCAAGTCTATCGCACGCATCGGGATGGATACAAGAGATGTGACATGTGTGCTTGAAATAACCAGTTCTGTCCAGTAGATATTTGCTTTTGGTCCTGCTTTTGTTGATCCCAGTGACTCTGACAGGGGCTCCATCCCCCTTCTCGCCCTTTCTCGCCACTCGTACGGACAGGCCCGAGTCGCGTTAAAGCACTTCTGAGACGACGCCTACAGGGGACGGGATCCAGCGGTGCTGGGCAAGAGCACCAGGTCGCCAAGGAACCAGCTGTGCCAACCTGCAAGACAGCCAGCGAGCCACTGATGTGCTGCCGGGGAGGGAAGCCGGTGCCTCTCGCTGTCTGATGCCACCGAGCCTGGGCAAGTCGACAGGGGCCCCTACCCTCGCTACAAGGGTCAATCCACTTCTTCATTTCCTTGCGGGTGGGGGTCAGGACTAGCAAACACTCTTATTGACATGCTTCTCAGCCTTGATCATTCGTCAGCATGCAAAGCGGGCGACACACTGTCCCCGGGACGCGCTCGCTTCAATGCAACGAATCTGGCGTCCGCCGACCAAGAGCCGACAGACTTCTTTTTCTTCCCTTCTCTCCCTCTCCCCTTTCCCAATCGAGGACAGGCCTTCCCACAACCGAGCAAAAACGAGAGATCCTTGCAGTGGATCGGGTGCTGCAAGACCAGCAAATCCCTGCCAAATCCGTGTTTGCTTACCCACTCGAGCCACTCTTGGGCCGCATCAGTATCGATCAAAGCATCGGACCAGGGTACGAAAAGGATTTTGGTGCTCGGTCGATCCACCCAGCGCCCGCGATGTCCGATGTGCGGCCTTTTGTACATGGCCTCCCTGGCCTGTCAGGTTGGCTCTTGGGAACCAGGCAATTGCAAACGTATGACGTTCAAGGTCCCCATCTAGCAGGGAGCTTGATTCCACGGGCAAGTTCGCGGACATGTATGTAAAAGGCGGGAGGACCCATCGGCACATGTTGGATGCAGGACGCCCGATCAGTCCTGGACGGGAGGCAGGCGAGCGCAACAGCATCCTGCATGTTGTTTACTTTCGTACTGTTGGCTCCTCGGCAAGTCCTGAGCCGACAAGATGATTGGTTTCCCGGTCTGACACCGGCCCACGATAGCGTCCCGTAGTGGCATCAAGCAATACGCTCGACGGAAGTTCATCATGCTCAGCCCAGGAAGGAATGTTGGCCGCAGTGGGTATGTCTGTATCTATCGGCTTCCTGAGTCCGCATATGAGTGGCCACTCATGTGCGGATGACTCTCCTCTAGAGGCAGTGTTGCAGTAGTATGTAAAAGTCGGGGTAGACTTGCTCGTGCCAGTTGTTTAAGAGCTACCTCCTCTCTCCAGACTCCGGGAAGAGGGTCTTTGAGCCTCAAATCTTGTAATCAAAGTGTAGTGACGTGATGATGGATGAACCAATCGCCGTCATTGGCCTTGATGCCCGGTTCCCTGGAGATGGCGACACTGCGGAGAGGTTCTACGAGTTCCTCCTCGCCGGCCGCTCTGCTCACACGGACATACCGCCAGAGCGATACAATGCGGAGGCCTTCTATCATCCTGACACCAACAGACCCGGCACGGTAGGTCTTGCCTTGCCCCATGAGCTGTCGCTGCAGTATTGACTGACAGTCAACAGACTAGAGTTCGTAGCGGGCACTTTCTGAAAGACAGCATATCCGCATTTGATGCTCCCTTCTTCTCCATCACTCCCGCTGAGGCGAGGAGCATGGATCCTCAGCAAAGAGGGATTCTCGAGTCAGTATACAAGGCACTTGAAAATGGTATGTACATGCTTGTACCATAAAGATTCTACTACATGGTTGACAATTTGCAAGCTGGCATTTCGTTGCATCAAGCCGCCGGCTCACAAACTGGTGTGTACGTCGGCTGCATGTACTCTGACTACGAGCGAATGACTGTCAAGGACATCGACGTTCCTTCGAAATACGCTGCGCTTGGGACGGTCTACAGTATGCTGAGCAACAGAGTCTCGTGGTGCTTTGATCTCAGAGGTCCAAGCATGACAATAGATACTGCTTGCTCAAGTAGTTTGATCGCGTTGCACCAGGCATGCAATTCATTAAAGTTGCGGGAGGCAAGCATGGTAAGTTGAGAAGAAGAACCCCGACCAGATACCGCATTTATGACACCCGATGTACTCACAATTCGTATAGGCAATTGTTGGAGGCTGCAACCTTATCCTGTCGCAGGAGTTCCCTCTGCTCCTGGATACAGCCGGTGTTTTGGGTCCAGATGGTATCTCCTACAGTTTTGACTCGAGAGGCAACGGATATTCTCGCGGCGAGGGCTTCGGCACTGTAGTCCTGAAGAGAGTCTCGGACGCTATTCGTGATGGTGATGTTATCCGTGCCGTCATCCGCAACACAGGCTCCAACCAAGATGGCAAATCTCCCGGTATCACATCACCTACAAAGGCTGCTCAAGCCGAGCTCATCCGACAAACATATGCTCGCGCAGGACTAGATCCTTCTGTGACTCGTTTCTTCGAAGCGCATGGTACAGGAACTGCTGTCAGTGAACCATGTCCACCCATTTTGGCTCGACACTAACTTGACACAAGGTCGGTGATCCGATAGAAGCTAGTGCGATCAGCGACGTGTTCACACAACATAGATCCGCGGATCAACCACTCTACATCGGAGCGCTGAAGAGTAACATCGGACATACTGAGGGAGCCGCTGGCGTTGCAGCTATCATCAAAGGTGTTTTCACCCTAGAGCGTGGTGTTATTCCTGCCAACACATGGTTTGAGAAAAGAAACCCACGAATACAAGACTCTTGGAACCTAGCATTTCCAACCCAGGCCACCGAGTGGCCGCAGTCAGGACTACGACGGATGTCCATCAACTCGTTTGGCGTGGGCGGTACAAACGCCCACGTAATCATGGACGATGCCCTGCATTTTCTTAAGCATCATCGTCTACTCGGACTTCATCGAACCCTGCCGAAGAACATCCTGCCAATCAGCGTCCGAGGGGATGTGTCTCCAACTCTCAGCTCGTCTAGACATCAGCACACTGATTCCGGTGTTGTCTCAGACTATGAGCCCTCGACAGACAACGAAGATGGGGCTAGCGCTGCTGAGATCGCTGCCATCTCTGAAGTGAAGCCTCGGAACGAGCATACTGCTGGCAAGCAAAAAGAAGCAGCAGGTCAAGTACAGGAGACTGTGAGCTCCACACATACAGAGTCAATTTCGTTGCCCGAGTCTCTCTTCTCTCATTCGCGCCTATTCCTTCTTTCTTCCTACGACCAGAGCGGAATTGCGCGACTCGGAGAACAGTACCGTCAGTGCTTTGCGCAAAGTTCCAGCAAGAAACGCGAATTGTCAACCGATGCGCAGTTCCTCCGAGATTTGAGCTATACCCTCTCGCACAAGAGAACTCAGTATGGGTGGAGGTCGTTCTGCCTGGCTAAGAGTGTTTCCGACTTGGGCGCATCAATTGGCGAGAAGCCTGCTACTCGAGCGGTTCCCGAACCTCGACTTGCATTCATCTTCACAGGACAGGGAGCACAGTGGGCAACGATGGGTAGGGAGCTCATGGTGTATCCAGCCTTCCAGGCGAGCTTGTATGCTGCCGACACATATTTGAACGATATTGGCTGTTCATGGTCTCTGACTTGTAAGCTTTTGGAGCCAATCCTGACAACAAGACACCACATCCACTGACCGTATCTTGAACAGACGAGCTTTCCAAAGACGCCGAGTCCTCTCGAGTCAACGCTGCCGAGTTCTCACAGCCGTTGTGCACTGCTTTGCAAGTAGCACTCGTCGATCTATTGAAAACCTGGGGTGTAAAGCCCCATGCTGTCGCAGGACACTCTTCCGGCGAGATTGCCGCCGCATATGCTGCAAGGCAGATCAGTCGAGAGTCTGCATGGCGCATCTCCTTCTATCGAGGCAAACTGTCTGCCCAGTTAGCATCGGACGGTACACAGCCAAAGACGGGCATGGCGGCTGTCGGTGCCGATAAGCCCACCACCTTGCGTTATATCCAGAGCATCAACAACACCATTAGTGATGGAGCCTTGGAAATCGCTTGTGAGAACAGCCCTGACAGCTTCACCGTCAGTGGAGACATGACAAAGATCGACGCTCTAGTCGAACTGGTCAAGCAGGACAATGCATTTGCGCGCAAGCTCAACGTTGAGCTGGCCTATCACTCTCGCTACATGAAGCCAATGTCTGAAGATTACCTACGGTTCATGGGGGATGTCAAGTCTGATGCGCCCCTGTCACCCGAGGACATCGTTTTGGCTTCGTCACTTCATGGAAAAATCATCAGCCCCTCTGATCTACAGAGCCCCTCTTACTGGGTGGAGAATCTGGTATCTCCTGTCCGATTTGACAGCGCTGTCACGGCCCTCCTATCGCGACGCCCCTCTGCCAAGATGGGGCAACCGCAAGGCATCAGTGACATCCTGGAGATCGGTCCCCACAGTGCTCTGAAGGGCCCTCTTCGAAGCATAGCTGCGAAAGTACCTGATGGCGACAAGATCCGTTACCACTCTGTCCTTCTCCGGCGCGAGTCGGCCGTTGACACCGCGCTTGAGGCAGCTGGCTCGTTGTGGTCCCGCGGCTTCAACGTCGATATCTCGGAGGTTAATCAGTACAACATGGCCAGCCCAGATCGCCCTGTCATGCTGACAGACCTTCCGTCATATGCCTTCAACCACTCTACTGAGTATTGGGCCGAGTCGCGGATCAGCCGCAACGCCCGCCTCAGGTCTAAGTCTCGCCATGAGCTGCTCGGAGCGCCAGTCCCTGACTGGAATGAACACAATGCGACATGGAGGAATTACATTCGCCTGTCCGAGAACCCTTGGATCCAGGATCACAAAGTCGCTGGCGAGTCATTGTATCCTGCTGCAGGCATGCTCGTCATGGCGATCGAAGCTAGTCGTCAGCTAGCTGATCAAAGCAAGGTTCTGCGTGGCTTCAGATTCAAGAACGTCTCGTTCCATCTGGCTTTGAGGGTCCCCGAAGATGACTTAGGCATCGAGTCCCATTTCTACCTTCGCCCTTATCGCGACTTAAACGAAAACGCTACTACAGAATGGAAGGAATTCCAGCTTTGGACTTGCGAAAATGATGTGTGGAGGGAACACTGTCACGGTCTCGTACAGACTGAGTACGAGGATTCGCCGAAAGACCTTTCCACTGCCTCACTACTTGAATCCGCACAACAAAAGATCAAGGATCGTAACGGACAAAAAGTTTCAGTCGACAAGATCTACAAGTCTTTCGCACGAGTCGGTCTTGACTTTGGGCCGACCTTCCGAACCTTGCAAAATGCACGAGTTTCATCGACAGGAGACATCTTGGCCACCGTGGACAACAAGGTTGATCTAATCAGAAGCAGCATGCCCAAGCAATATCTACAACCACATCTGGTCCATCCAAGCACCTTGGATGGAGTCATACAAGCCAATTTAGCCCCGTTAGTCTTGGCATCTAAAGCATCTCGCCAGACCATCGTTCCCGTGTTTGCTCAAGGGCTCTGGGTGGCAGCAAGTCAAGACCTGATTCATGACTCCTACATTGTATCCTCACATTGCGAAAGCCGTGATGAGGCAGGCGCAGAAACCTCGTTCACAGCTCTCCAGGTCGGGTCAGACCGTCTAATGGCTTACTCATCCGGCGTCAGGTTTCAGGTCCTTCCCGATGCCTCGACTGAAGAAGAGACTCAGCCCATCACGCATTCCCTCAATCTTGCCTGGAAAGGAGATCCCACCTACCTTGATGAAGAAGCCGCGGCAGCGTATTTCTCCGTTCCTCTTGACGACAAGGACCATCCTTCAAGATGGTCAGTCGACTGCGATGCCCTTTCTTTGCTCTACATGCGTCAATTCCTTGATGCAACACCTGAATCCAGCATCGAGAAGATGGAATGGTTCCACAAGCGTTACGTCGCCTGGATGAGACATATTGTTGCGCGGACCACTTCGAAGATCGTTGACACTGATATTTCAGATGTTGAGGAGCGCGTCAGGACTGCCGGCACCCCTGAGGGCAGATTGACTATTGCTGTAGGCCAAGCGCTTAATGGGATGCTACTTGGAGATCTGAATCCCTTGGATGTTGTCTTCGAGAACAAGCTTGCTGAGAATGTCTACCGCCACGGCGTGGGCGCTCAGCGCTGCTACCTCCAGATGTGCAACTACATCGATTCTTTGGCTCACAAGAACCCCAAAATGCGAATCCTTGAAGTCGGTGCGGGGACTGGCGGAGCAACAGTGCCAGCTATGAAGACACTCACGAAGCTTGGTCGACGATTCGACCACTACGACTTCACAGACATCTCTCCTTCTTTCTTTGAATATGCGAAGGAATCATTCAAAGACCAGGTCGAGAATATGAGCTTCCGAGTTCTCAACATTGAGAGCAAGCCCACAGAGCAAGGTTTCGAGGCCGGTGCATACGATCTAATTCTTGCTGCAAATGTCCTTCACGCTACCAAGGACATGGACAACACGCTATCTAACGTCAGATCGCTGTTGAAGCCTGGGGGCAAGCTTATAATATTTGAGCTCACAAATGTCGACAGTCTTTTGGGTGGCTTCTGCTTCGGTGTGCTCTCTGGCTGGTGGCTGTCTGTTGACCCGGACAGAGAGTGGGGACCATTGATGACTGCCGAGTCCTGGAAGAAGCATCTCCAAAATGTCGGCTTCTCAGGACTTGACGCGGTATTCAATGACTTCCCTGATGCCGCGGATCAAGTCAGCTCTATCATGGTATCCGGGGTACCCAATGAGGCTCAACCACGTTCATCGAGCCCAGTGACATATATCATCGCAGACTCGACCTCAACTCTGCAACAGAGCGTTGCAGGCCAGATCTCGTCAGCCATCACAGAGCAGGGCCCAATTGAGCAGGTCACGCTCGACTATCTGCGGGAGAAGGATCTGCAAAAGGCGACCTGTATTATGCTCACTGAACTTGACCGCCCGTTGCTGAAGAATCTGACCGAAGAGACTCTCCCAATCATGCAGAAGGTCATCAGAGACTGCAGGGAGGTCTTCTGGGTAACCCAGGGTGGCGAGGATCTCGTTCCATCTCCGGACGTAGAGCTTGTGACAGGCTTTGCAAGGAGCATCAGGGAAGAACGACCCGACCTTCATGTTGTCACTGTGTCGTTCGATAAGGATGTCCCAGCAGACGGCATCAGCCGAAGCTGTGTTAAGCTGCTGCAGGCTGTACGCATCGGGGAGACTGACAACACGTTCCGGGTCAATGGCAGCACGATCCTTGTCCCTCGCCTTGTGCAAGCAGACTACATGACACAGCACATGTTGGCTCAGGCGACTCAATCCAGCTCAAGTGAGGAGGGGTTGTGCCGATTCGACCCTGATGCATCATACGTCATTGCTGGAGGTTTCGGAGGCCTTGGAAAATCCACTGCCCTCTGGATGGCATCGAGAGGAGCCAAGAACTTGATCCTCCTGTCCCGGTCCGGACCACGCGATGAAGCTGCTCGGGAGGTCCTTGACGATCTTGAGCGTGTCTGTGACAGGGTGGCAGCACCACCATGTGACATCACAGATCTCAATGCCTTGAAGACGGCGATCACCGAATGCTTGTCAACTCTGCCGCCCATCAAGGGCTGCATCCAAGGGTCCATGGTACTGAGGGTAAGTCGCGATCGAGAATTTCGCGAGTGTACTCATTGAACAGATGAACTAATAGGTGAAATAGGACAACGCTTTCACGAGCATGACATTTGAAGAATGGGACACTGGCGTTCGAGCCAAGGTGCAAGGTTCAGAGAACTTGCACGAGGTTCTCGGAAGAGATCTTGATTTTTTCATATTGCTGTCTTCGACTGTAGCTCTGACCGGCAACCCTGGCCAGTCAAACTATGGCGCGGCAAACACATTCCTCGATGCTTTCGCTCGAAAATTAGTGTCACGGGGCGAGCAAGTCGTGGCACTGAACCTTCCTGTCATCTCAGACATTGGTTTCGTGGCTGAGAAGGCGGCTCTGCTAGACGAGCTACTTTCCAAGGGATGGTCGCACCTTGAGGAAGACGAAGTACATGCCGTCCTTGACTATCATTGCCGGCCTCGAGAAGAAGGGACACCGCTCATCTATTCTCAAGTTGTTCCTCGCCTGTGGCTGCCACAAGACACTGCTTTTGAAGGAGCCGAAATGCCACCGTGGGCAAGCGACAAACTCTTCAGCCACATCTGGCCTAGGACCATCACCACCTCAGCAAGCAACAAGGAGGAAGGCAGGACAGATGTCCAATTGTCTTCGCTGCTAACCGGCGTATCCTCCCTGGCAGAAGCTGAGAAGATTGTGCTCGACGCGCTGTTGCTCAAGCTATCGCGAGTTCTCAGTGTCGAGCTGTCCAACCTGGACCCAGCAAAGGCAATGCACGCCTATGGTGTCGACTCGCTCGTTGCTGTAGGTCTGCGCGCTTGGTTCGCAAAGGAAGTCCGCGCAGAACTCTCAGTGTTTGAGATGAACGACAAGCCAAGCATTTATGCGCTAGCCAGCACCGCAGCTGAGAGAAGCAAACTGCTTCCAGCCCTTCCCACCAACGAGTGATGCAGTTTTGCAGAACCCACTATCATTAAATTCTCCTCTACGGCGTTTGTTTTCTCATTGTCTCTTTCGTTCTTGGGATGTTGTCGCGCAATATACCACATCAACATTGGAGCGAGTTTCTGCGTAGGGGTTATTTCCATCTTTCATAGTTACAATACTATTTCTCTTTTGCGAAAGTGATTCTGGAAACAAAGTGACGTGAAGTAACCCTTCTTTCTACGGTGTTTCTTCACAGTATCCTTTAGAATAATTGTTCAAGGGTGCAAATTTCACCCGTCCTTACGGACCAGATGGTCAAATCATACATTTAACCGACCGCTTCATACCCCTTCTATGGTAGTAGTACTTCTTGAGACTATTGTAAACAAGAATCTAACATTGTGCTTCCAGAGATGAAGATGTTGTTCCTCGTGATCTCCTTCATGGGCAGTCCTTCAGAGGCTTCGGTGTCCCACTCAGACTCAATGCTGAGTAAATCGTATGAGCAGGTCAAATTCGAAGAAGTCAGTTCTTCTCAACATGCTCACATTCATCTTGACCCTTGTCTTCTGATACTGGTAGCCGGGTTTGCGCAGCTTGAGAATGAAACTCATTCTCCATCTCCTCCAGTGACTTGCCCATCGTCTCCTTGACGAAGTAAAAAGAGAAGACTGCGCTGAACGCATCGAATGCGGCGAAGAAAAGGAATGTTCCCCAGCCAATATTGTTGATCATGTAAGGCGTCGCGACTGACCAGATGATGTTGAAGATCCACTGCGTGCCCAGGGCGATGGCCACTCCCAAGTCCCGTGTTCTTGGGGAGAGAACTTCGGCAATGTAAATCCTATTGAGCCAGTCCGGTCAGTATTTCCAGCGGATCTAGGTTTGAATAGAGCGTGTCGCAGTCGGGACTTACCATCCCAGCGGACCCCATGACATGTTATACACAATGATTGCGAAGTAAATCAATGCTACCAGAGCAACTCCAGGGGCGGTGACTTCTCCATTGCCCGGCGGCGGCTTGAGCTTGAGAACAACAGCGATGCAAAGAAGTGAAGCAGACATTAGGATGGCTCCTCCGCACAGTGCGACTCTGCGACCAATTCTCTCGGCCAAGAACACAATGAAGATGCCGCACGACACAATCTTGATGGCACCAAAGATTCCTGAGATCAACAGGTTCTCTGTCCCTTGCCCAACAACAAGAGTGAAGAATTGGGGAGAAAAGTAAGCCATCGCGTTTGCCCCGGTACAGACCTGGCAAGTCATCACCGTGAAGGACAGTAGCATTCGATAGATGGTAACCTTCTGCTTGAGCTCCACCTTGAGGGAACCTCGCGAAGCCTCGCGCTCGGCCACGACGGTAGCGCGAATTTCGTCCAACTCGCCCTGCACCTCAGGACCGCTATGGGCTCGGATCCATGTAAGAGACTTCCACGCGTCGTCGTGGCGGTCCTTCTGCACTAGCCAGCGTGCACTTTCCGGAACGAAGAACATGCCAATACCGAGCAGAGCGCCAGGGATGATCTGGAGCGAGATGGGAATTTGCCATTGCCTCGCCGTGTTTTGGTCGACATGTTTGTCTACCGCGTAATTTGCCCTGTACAAGCCGACTTGCGTAAGTATCGAGAGTGACAGCGTGGGGAAACATTGAGGAAGCAAAGCCGTACCAGTAGCTGACGAAGATGCCCCATGTGAACAGGAATTGATATCCACTTCCGATACGCCCTCGAATCTTCTTGGGCGACATCTCGGCCGAGTAGAGGGGCACCAGCACCGATGCTCCGCCGACACCGAGACCGGCAATGATCCGGCCGACGTAAAAGCTTGACAGATGATGTGTATCGGCTGTCTGAATGGCTGCTCCGATAACAAATACCAGCGCCGACAAGATCATACTCGGTTTCCGCCCCCACCGGGAGGCAATGGGAAAGATCCCGAAGCAGCCAACGAAGGATCCGCATTGCTGAAGGCCTACGGCCAACGAGCTGACCTGGGTTGTTTGAGACTTGTTATAGCCTAGATATCGAAAAGACTCTCTGTACGAGTGAAGTGTGATGGCACCGCCTGTGTTGAGAGTTAGAGGTTAATTAGTTGTCTCCCCAACAAGCCGATCATGGCAACATGGTAAAAGGAAGAGCGCAAGAAAGGAACTTACCGACAACACCGGTATCATACCCGAACATGAAACCTCCCAGGCAGACCAGGATGCCCAGGAAGTAGGCTCGGGTGTCTCCTTTGTCCATAGTGAATGTGGTGTTGGAGAGGAGGGAGAAGGGTGTGGTGTCAGAACATTGGATAGTGTTGTCTAAAGGAAACTGGATCTTCGAAGTTGCAGAACATTTCGAGCCCCTTTGTACTGCCTTGCGCACTCCATCAAGATCAGTGCCCAGCAACGATGGGTTGTGTTTCCACAGGGGTTGGTGTTGATGCATTAGCGTGATGTGGAGTATGGGGCAGCACGTCACTACCCCTTTCCTGGGGATATTAGAGACGACTGGCGATAGCCGAGTGCCGAAGAAACCAATTAGGCCGGCATCCAGAGCTAAGTGTACCCTGCAGGGTCCTTGGCAGGCTCGTATTGTTTTCCATCATGATTTCGATAAAGCTATGCTGTTGAAACAAAAGTACGATACGCACCCGGCTTACCTTATTGCAGCAAATGTTGCAAAGCCCAATCGGGTGGCTCTGGTGGCATCGCCCGGCTCAAATGAGTCCGGCAAGAACAGCAAAGAAGAGAAGAAAGCAATATCTGCTATTTGACTTTTATGATCCATTCCTAGTAAACAACACAAAACTCATCTTCAAAGATGTCCGCCCGCACAGTTCTCTGATCAATTCTCGCTGCTTTTGCATCTTGTCTCTTGGTAACCTCTGCCAACAATATCGCCGTTTTCTCGGCGTTAGAATCCTCAGCCTTCATGTTGCGTATCAGCTCAAGGATCCAGTGGCGTTTGTCCATCGTGCATTCAAGACCGCACATAAAGAGTGGCCAAAGCCACGGTGTTCCAGGTGATAGTGTTTCAGGAGTCGTTCCTGTATTGCTCTCTTCGGATTCTATACGGCTAGTCGGCTGTTCTGCCAGACTTGAGTTCGACTCCGAGTTACCGGTGTCAGTCCTGGTAGAAGCGAGCTGCTCGTTGACTAGTCGTAAAATCTCCGATATCGACTGCTTCACCTCATCTGTGGTGGGATAATGACTGAACGCAACCCGATGAAGTATGATCCGAAGGGCATGAAAGTTTGCCACGTAAATTCGAAATGCTTGTGTAATCTTTCTGGCGACACTCGGATGCAACACATCCCGCAGCCCCGAGCTGTCAGAAAGAACGTTGAGCTCCCTAGGCCTCCTGGCCCATAAATGCTTGAGCTCGGCTCGAAGCCGCTGACCGATCTGGAGGACTTCGAATTCAGCATCAAGAGAGCCTCTCGGCCTATGATGCAGGTCAAGAGATATGATTCGAGGTATTAACGACTGGCATCGCAGGAAGAATTTGTAGGCTGGCGTGTTTATCGCGTCGTATGCGATCTCTGCTGCCGAGAAACTCTCATCGCCTCCATTGTGGTCATCGTAGTCTGTATCAAGTATAGGTTCCGGTCTGAGAGTGCCAGCGTCATCTGAGCAGATGTATACACTATTTGTTGGCATGGGCGAGTTCGTGTCTAGGGTCACATTTGGGCTGGGCAATGCGGCCGCATCGGTGCTGGGAGACGGCCGGTCCTTCTCATCCTCCATTCCGGCTGCATATACCGCTTTGCTGTCCATGACTTGGATCCATGAGAGGATGTGACTGCTGATGCCTGTCCAGAGTTTTATCCTATGATCATATTGCTTCAGCCAACGATAGGCAGTTCGTAGATGAGTTGTAGGCCAACGTTTGGGTCCGGCGAGCGGTTGCGCCATCATCTAGACAGTTGAGGATGCGTTAGTTCGGTTGGAAGAAATTATGGGAATCATTTGGATCACTCACCTCAGCATGCATGAGCAAGAAGATCGTAGCAAATGCTTGCTTAAGTAGCTTGTTATCGACGCGCTGAGTCGAATTGTTTAGGATGGACTCAGCCTTGGTGCTAGCCTTCTCATAGTAGCTAAGGGCCTGGCCAACCGAACCGTGCCTCGAAGAAGTCAAATGAAGTTCGGATATGGAACAAATCGCATTGATAAGACATGAGCAGCCGCATGCCATCGACATGAGAGATGTATATGCCGACCTCCATTGGGAATCAAGAGGAACGAGAAGTGGGATAGGATTTGTTGCCGGGCTGAAGTGTTGTAGAAGCTCACGCTGGTGATCTGTGACATCAAACAAGCTCAAATCCACCTCGTTCGTTGATACCGAAGAGGGCTGGCCTCGCGTAGTAGAGCCTAATGCCGGCTCTGTATTTGGGATACTAGGTTCTGGATGTCTCTTTGGATTTTCATGGTTCGGCACCGCAAGGCTTGAATCGGGCTTATTTTGGGCTGAAGACTCATCACCGTGACCCAGGAAGCTGTCTGTTGAAAAGTCTCTCCAAGGAAGTAGTGAGGATACAAACAGGCTGTTGACGGGAGACGGCATCCCCGAAGGAAATGTCAGTTGCCAATCTGGCTCGGTGGAGAAGTTGTACATGTCGGGGAGGTCGCCGAAGACACTTGTTTGCTGATTGCCTTGGACATTTTGATCGGTCAAGTAGCCCATTCCAAGGCCAGACGAGCTCAACATCTGCGTCGACACTAAATCTTCTGTTGCAAGAGCCTGCTCGCAAGCGCTTGGAGGGCATATTTGAGGGACGATTCCAGCAGAGTCCTCCGCAGGGCTCCGGCCGTCTTGAGATGCTGCAGCAGGCTGTACCATCCTCCTTGCACGTCGTCTCTTTGTTCCTGGAGGCGCATAATGGCAGTCCAGTTTGAGTCTGGTGCAGTTACCACAAGGAGGCCTCTGCTGATCTCCTGTGGTGCCGCAAGTCTGATCACAGCGAACCTTCCGTCTGCGACATGTTACGCAACCCAAGGTTGTTCGCGGGGCTGAGCGTCCGGTGCCCCTAGACTTTGGTGGGCTCTCGGAACAGTCCATTTCACCAACAAAGACAGACGAGCAGAGGATGTTGGAGAGAGGACCCTGATCTCGACGTGTCGGTGTGGGGTGCAGTTTGCGGGGAAATGCGGGGGACGGCGATGATCGGGATGAACTGAGCGCAATTGGAGCAGCCCATACGAGAAACAATGGCTCGGTAAAGGGAAAAGGCCTTCTTGCTTAACGAGGTCCGGGGGCGAGAGGCGATATGATATGCAATGGCGCGACAGACGAGAGAAATGAAGCATGAGATGAAGCCCGTTAGCGACCAAGGCGGACTTGTCTTGGAGCTTGATGGTGTGGCTTGGCCGTGCGGGGAGCCACTCCACGGCCGTAGATCACACTGTCACCCCGGCCAAGTGATGGTCAGATTAGTTGACGGACTGCTAACAGAAGTACTTGACTATCTATCAAGCCCATCGGATTTAGGTAGTGGGATAGTCGTTCCGAGTTCTTAGGGCAAGGATGTGACAAGGATATTGATTGTTAAGATTGAGGTAGCTCCTGATGAACTTCCGTCAACCATTCAGACACCCACTTGCCCGGCTTGGCCGATAGCCGACTAGCGAGAGCCTATGGACGGCCGAGATGGGATATTTCGGAGGTGTCGACACTGCAGTGTCGGATGCCGATAACGATACTTAAGGCCCGGGCGGTGCCGGTGCCTCGGAACGGTCAATCAAGACCAGACAGACAGCAATAGAGGACAGCAGCCCATTCATTCTTCTAATCGCCATGTCAAACAAGCGCCCTAACTTCCTCATCATCGTCGCAGACGATCTTGGGTTCTCCGATGTTGGTTGCTTCGGCGGAGAGATCCGCACACCCAATGTCGATAAGTTGGCGGCCAAAGGTCATCGGTTCACCGACTTCCATGCTGCCGCCGCCTGTTCGCCAACGCGTGCCATGATCATGACTGGTACGGACCATCACATCGCCGGTCTTGGAAATCTCATCGAGTGGACCATGCACAATGGCCAGAACACCACCAAGGGCGGAGCCCTTGAGACTGCACCGCAGCGTGGTATGCCGGGATATGAAGGCTACCTGAATGAGCGTGTTGTTGCTCTCCCCGAGATCATGCGGGATGGCGGTTATCATACCATCATGAGTGGTAAATGGCACCTGGGCCTGACGCCTGAGCGTTCGCCGCACCAACGGGGCTTCAAGCGCTCCTTTGCCCATCTCCCAGCTTGCAGCAATCACTACGCTTTCCAGCCCGAATTGAATGAGGAGCAGCCTCCACGCTTCCTTGAAGCAACTTCAATCCCTCTTCATATGGAGGATGATCACTACGTCAACAAGCTCCCGGAGGGTTGGTACTCCTCTAACGGGTACGGAGACATCATGCTCAAGTACCTGAAGGAATGGAAAGAAGGAGAGGATAAGGATGCCCCCTTCTTCGCCTACTTCCCCTTCACTGCACCGCATTGGCCACTCCAGGCGCCTCAGGAGTACATCAAGAACTACAGGGGGTACGCTCATCGAGGCTCGTCTATGATCAAGAGAAATCTGCTAACTCCGGCACTAGGGTTTATGACGATGGTCCGGATGCTCTACGTCTCCGTCGCCTTGCACAGTTGAAGAAGATGGGCTTAGTCCCAGAGGATGTCAACCCCCACCCCGTCTCGGCTGAGGACTCTCCCGAGTGGGAAGACATGACTCCTGAGCAAAGGGCAAAGTCTGCTCGTGCCATGGAATGCTTCGCTGGGATGGTCGAGTGTATTGATGCTAATGTTGGGAAGGTAAGAGTTGATTTCCTCCCACAACTCCTCTATCTTGACTAAACAGAGACAGGTCATGGACTACCTCGAGTCTGTTGGCGAGCTGGACAACACGTTTGTCTGCTTCATGTCTGATAATGGGGCCGAGGGTGCAGCTTATGAGGCCTACCCTATTGTACAGACAACCGTGATGGACCATCTGCGTCAATACTATGATAACAGCCTTGAGAACCTGGGCAACGGCAACAGCTTCATCTGGTACGGCCCGCGGTGGGCACAAGCCTCCACCGCCCCATCTCGACTGTACAAGGCGTTCACTACGGAGGGTGGCATTCGTGTTCCCTTTGTCGTCAAGTATCCCAAGTCCTTCGAGCCTGCAAGCGGAGAAGCGGCGAAGCCAATCACCCACCGCTTCGCCACTGTCATGGACCTCGCGCCCACCGTCCTCGACATGGCAGGTCTCACGCACCCGGCGCCCACGTACAAGGGCCGTGAGGTCGTCACCATGCGCGGCGAGTCGATGGTTCCGTTTCTCAAGGGTACCAAGGAAGGAGTGCACGACAAGGAGTTCATCCAGGGCTGGGAGACCTGCGGCCGTGCGGCCATTCGCAAGGGCGACTGGAAAGCAGTCTGGATCCCCAAGCCGAAAGGCCCGGAGCGATGGCAGTTGTATGACCTCAGCACGGACAAGGGTGAGATTGAGGACCTATCGGAGAAGGAACCGGAGAGACTCAAGGAACTGCTCAAGCTGTGGGATCAGTACGTCCTGGAAACCGGTGTGGTCACTCTGTGCCCTGACCAGGGCCGTTTCGTAGAGGCTATGGAGGAGCAGATGACTGAGAACGGATGGATGGAGTACGAGTACTGGCATAAGGGAGCCCAGCCAGGCATGGAGAACATGCAGAAGTTTATTTGCAAGCCTCCTCGATTCGAGAGGACGATCAAGGCCATGTAAATAAGGACCCTTGCTTATCTAGACTGTCAAATATCTCAATAAATAGCACAAGACTTTTAAGTTCTTGTCAGAGAACGAATCTACACCACCGTAGGAGTAATTACTATTCTAACTAACCAGAATTGTTGTTGGCGTGCGTCCCTTTCCACTTTTCCTGCAAGTTCCGCGATCCACCATCGGCGAACTTTGATATCGGCCAAGCTAGTTGCTACTGAGCATGCTCTAAACTGGAAGAACTGTTCCTATTTAGGGGCCACCGGGATGTACCACCATACACAGGCACAACCTAATTGGGCAGCTGGGACAACCTTGCTCCCTGGGAAAGTCGAGGGACGGTTGACTTATCTGTTGCCAGGCTTTGCAGCTTGTCAAAGGGAGGATGGAGACTGTTGACCAGACTCTCCTCGTCAACCGCATCGGTTATTGCCCCGTGGAGTCTGGAAACGAGGCCAGACATGTCAATGCCTGCCAGTAACAGGATATCTCCGCCGCACAACGCGGTGCCAATGTCACAGAAGGAGCTTGACAGGCTCGGGCGCCAGCGCCCAGCACTGTTCACCTCTGTTTATGTCGAGATAGGCTTCGTCTCGGCCCTGCTGACTTCCATGATGATGATGGTATGCATTCCTTCTCTCAACCATTCGCAGACGGGAAACACCCAGGAAACTCACAACAAACATACCCCCTTGTAGGAATTCTTCATCAGCGGGTTCAACATCGTCCTCCCGGGCCTCGGCGATGCCCTATCCATCCCCGCGGACTCGCGGACGTGGCCCGCCAGCGTCTTCACGCTCGTCACCGGCGCCTTCCTCCTGCCGTTCGCTCGCCTGGCCGATATGTACGGCGGGTACCTCGTCTTCAACGCCGGCCTCGTCTGGTTTCTCATCTGGTCCGTCATCGCCAGCTTCAGCTGCGACTACGTGATGCTCATATTCTGCCGCGCACTGCAGGGCCTCGGCCCAGCCGCCGTCGGGCCGGCAACCATCATGATGCTCGGACGGGTATACCGCCCTGGCCCGCGCAAGAACCTCGTCTTCTGTCTCTATGGTGCCAGCGCCCCTCTCGGCTTCTTCTTTGGCATCTTCGTCGGAGGCGTCGCCAGCGAGTATCTGTCTTGGAAGTGGTACTTTTGGATCGGGGCGATGGTCTTGGGCTTGACGGTCCTGACGGCCATCTTCTCCATGCCCAGAGACAAGAAGGCCGACCTCCCTACCGACCTGCGGATGGATTGGCTCGGTGTTGTGACGACCGTTCCCGGCCTTCTTCTTGTCGTGTTTGCGTTCACAGATGGAGGCCATGCGCCACGAGGCTGGGCGACTCCGTATATCTGTGTGACATTCATACTCGGAGTGGCTTTCCTTGGCCTGGCGGTATATGTGGAAGGCTGGGTTGCAAGACAGCCGCTCTTTTCGACTGCGCTGCTCCGACCAAAGTACATGAAGCTCCTGGTCGTCACTTTGTTTGCGTCTTATGGCATCTTTGGTCTCTATTTGTTCTATGCAAGTTTCTAGTAAGCTATATCCTTCCTTCCTTCCTTCCTTCCTTCCTCCTCAATCCTGCTTTGATCCTTGGTTGGGAGAGACATGCTAATCCAGATTTCCATCAAGCATCGAGCTCGTTATGCATGCTGGCCCATTGCAAGCAGCCGCCTGGTTCACGCCCATGGCCGCTGGAGGGCTCATTATCGCCACCATCGGAGGTTTCACACTTCACCTGCTGCCCGGCCGCATGCTCCTCCTGATCGCCGGCGCCGGGCACTTGGTAGCCATGCTCCTGTTTGCCATCATACCCGAGAACGGTAGCTATTGGGCATACGTCATGCCGGCCATGATCGGCGCCACAGTCGGGATAGACATCATCTACAACGTGACTACCATCTTCATCACCACCAGCCTGCCCCGGGATCGCCAGGGAGAGGCCGGAGCGCTGATCAACTGCATCATTGCCCTCGGTATCAGTTTTTTTCTAGGGCTGGCAGATCTTGCTGTTGCCAGCAATGAGCATCTGGGCACCCGAGGGAGTTTCAAAGTCGCGTTCTGGTTCGGCGTTGGGCTGTCTGGTGCCTCGTTGGTAGCCTTTGCATTCATCAAGATAGGTAGCGCAAAGAGTGAGCTCACACACGAAGAACGAGTGAATCTCGAGACGCTGGGGCCAGGGCATGTACTAAGTAATGGCCACGATATGGTTGCCAGGCACTCTGCTTCAGGGCAGGAACTATCCCATGACACAGGGACTTAGTCAACATGTAATGTCAATTCATATTGAGTCTGGTGGGAGAACAAGACAGAGATCTAAACCATGCTGGGTATCCTTATGCGTTCATACAGGCACGTGATATATATTACAAAAGGGATCGACGACTCTCGTCGAGTTTTCCAAAACTTGATGAGCCACACCTCTCTTGCTAGAGCTTTAGAGAGCCAGGGCGGCCATAGCAGCGGCGCCAACAACGGCAAGAGGCATCTGCGTCACTACAGGTGCTGCGTTGGTGGCCTTGGCCGTCTGGGCGACGCTGGCCGATGACTTGACGGAGGACACCCTAGAAGCGATGACCGACGAAGCGGCCGACATCTCGCTGGCCGGAGGACTCGCGTGGTCGAATCTCTCGCAGATCTCGGCCAGCTTCATGCCAGAATCTGTGGGAGCCCGTGCATGTTAGCGATGGCAAGCACGAAAATTTGGTGAGACGTTCATTCCGGAGGGGGGGCAAGGCGCACCAAAGTCTTCATCGATAGCAGTTTGCTCCTTGTCGCAGTCCTTGCCGACACGGATGCCCATCTTGACGGTCAGCGAGGCCGGGTTCGGGCACACGCAGGAAAGCTTGGTGGGGTCGCAATTGACATCCTTGCAGGCGTCGGCGTAGGCGAGTATCCCGCAGTTGGGAAATGAGGCGAACATCTCGGGGATGGTCTTGTTCGAGGCGGAGGCGGCGCCGAGGCCGGCCAAGGCGGCTAAGGTGAGGGCGTGGAAGTGCATCTCGGCGACGGTGTGGAGCAGAGCTGCAAGGGCTCGGAAGAAAAAGGGTGACGACGACGAATGTACAGCAGCCAGGATCAGAACAGCGACGGAATGGACGGCCGGATCTCTTGCTCCAGGCGCAATCTACTATGACTGTCCCGCTGTTCTCGAGATGCTCATGAGCGCAGATGGACTTTCTATGTCCCCCCTGGCTTGTTGGTGTTGGTGGATGCGAAGGTCTAGATTCTCAGCCACAGTCGAAGAGTGAGGATGTTGAAGGAGACGCGCTGCTTCAGGCTGCCTCCTTGATTTGGGCTGCATGCACGGGCCACGTCAAACCATGAATGCGCCCAAGTTACATCATAGCGGGCACCATGCGGACTGGTCCGGTAGCACTAATTGGTTCTGGAACTTGGTGAACGTGGAGGCATCCAGCGGCTCATTTTCACCAGACTACAGCGCGGCTTTAGCGGGCAGATACAGCCCCAATATCGCCGAGCCACTCACGATTCGAGATGAACAGGAGTTGGGGCTGTTTATCTGATTCTGGATCCATGTAGACTGTTCCGGGGTCATTGTGATAGAATATCGGACAAAGCAAGGCGGAACTACCTAGGTAGTTATGTCGAGCTGAGATCTGCAACGCGCGTTGAATGGTGGACATCGTCGCATCATCAATGAGCCGAAATGGTCGCGTAGTCAAACGCTTCAGACCTCACCCTCTGCGATATGCAACATGAGTTCATCTCCCGCTTTCATGACTCTCTTGATGGCATTCAAGTCACAAGAGCCCAGGCGAAATCCGATCTAATTCCATTTCGGTCCAGAAATGCGTATCGAGAATGCGTCTAGACCACTGGGTGGCTTTAGTCTACTGCGCGCAGTGTGGCTGAGGCCTCAGCAGCCGCAGCTGAAAAGGATGATCAGCCTTTCACCACGATTTCGCGGAAGACAGATACGCGCAGAATATGAAAGAAGAAGACCCTCCGCTCGTTTCCGGACTCGCTGTGAACATCTTCATCATACATACTCATCTTCTCCGGTAGACGGCCTACCAGCAATGGCCGACAACGACGACTTGTGCCAATCGTGCAAGGGTATCAACATCGAGGCCCTACGCCAGGATGGAGGATACATCCACGCCGCATCTGATAACGAGCTGTACTCAAGCTCGGAAACATGTCCCATGTGCAAACTGATTCATGACTCTCTGAGAGGCAGCAATGACAAGTCCTCCGATGACCCAAACCCACCCGATACGACCGTGGTGTGTCGGTTGATGCATTCCGAGGGAACCCAGGCTGTCGTCCATGTCAAGACGGGAGCCCGCAAAGGATATATACGTATCTACGTCTCGAAAAGTGAGCCGGACGCACCGGATACCTTCTTGTCATCACAAATGCTGATTTTGGTTCGAATTAGTGGACGACCCGGCGGCGAACTTTGGCGTGCTCACCAAGCCCAAGATGGATGTCGAGACACTGGCAGGCTTGAGCGATCTCATCACAAAGGCCGCGCTCATGCAGTGCCTTCAAGAGCACAAATGCACTGATCCGTACCGAAGGCCCGAAGCAGGCCCCGACTTGGCCACTGGTCAAGGGTCGGAGGACAAGAGAGGGACTCCTCTCGACATGCTTCCTTCGCGGCTCATTGCCCTCCAAGCGTTTGGAGAAGACGAGGCCGCGGATGCTTGTCTCGTCGACATCCCTCCCGGGAGCAAAGAGCCCGGCGACCCGGGATTCTATGCCGCTCTGAGTTACTGCTGGGGCCGCAACGTCGACGCTTTGTACAAGACCGAGACGGCAACCTTGAAAGACCGGCAGGAGCGCATTCGCTTCGACGAGTTGCCCAAGACCTTTCAAGACGCCATCCGCATCACACGCCGGCTCGGCCTTCCGTACATCTGGATAGATGCCATTTGCATCATTCAGGACTCCGCAAGGGACTGGGAGCAGGAATCCGCCAAGATGGGCGGTATCTACGCCTCCGGGACGCTGACCATCGCCGCCGACATCAGCGAGGGCGTGGAAGGCGGCATCTTGGATTTAGAGTTCGACGACGCTCTCGAACACCCGGGCAGCGTGAGGATCACGAGCACCCTGAGCGATGGGAAAGAGAGCAGCTTGGTGTTCTACCATTCATACAACAGCCCACCGGGGACGACCTGGACCCCGCCCGTGATCGCCGACAGCCCTCTGTCACGGCGGGCCTGGTGCATGCAGGAGCGCATGCTCTCACCCCGCACGCTGCACTTCACCAAGCAAGGTCCGGTCTGGGAGTGCCGCGACAAGTACTTCATATACGCCCGGACGTCCACGTTTGACGAGATGTCCGATATCAAAACCTTTGCCAGCGTGCCCCGCCTACTGTGCAAGGGCCTCAGCACCGAGGGACAAATGTTGAAGATGCCGGCGCTGGAGGCAATGGGGTCTGACCCGAACAGCTTGTCCGACGAACACATCGAGCTCATAAACACCATGTGGGAGACGGGCATGCAGAAGAACTGGCGCGACCCGCCGGCGAAGCACGCAGACGGCGACAGGATCCCGGAGCGAAGCGACGAGCAGCAGCAGGCCCAGTTCGTGGCGTGGTGGAACCGCAACGTCGTCGTGCCCTTCTCGGAGCGCCTCTTGACGTACGCCTCGGATAGGCTGCCTGCCGTCTCTGGTATTGCAAAACTGTTTGCCGAACACATCAAGGCGCCGTACGCGGCTGGCGTATGGCTGGCCGGGCTGGACGAGAGCCTGGAATGGACGCGGGCGGGCACGACGTTCCACGACACCAAGCTGCCGGGCTTCCCTTCATTTTCCTGGGCCTCGCACCCGGGTCCCGTCCGCTGGCCGTACCAGATCGACTTGCGCGGTTACGGGCAAGGGTTCGAGGTCGTGGGCCACGAAGTGAAGCTCTCCGGGCTCGATCCGCACGGCCGGACCGAGTCGGCCGAGTTGACTCTCCGCGGCCACCTCCGCCACGCCAACTTTGGCGCAAATATTGAGGATAAGCAGGGTGGTATCAGTGGGATAGTGCTCGACGGAGAGGGCAAGACGATTGGGAAGATGGAGCTGGATTTCATGCCCGATGATGAGCAGCGCGCGCAGGGGGCGGAGGTGTTCCTTCTCTACAAGAACTCGATCGGGTTCTTGCGGCTGCTTCTGCTGTCACCAGTATCCGTGGAGGGAGACCCAATCCCCAGGGCATATCGGCGTATCGGTATCGGCATGATCAACAGGAAAGACGCCGCCTGGCTGGAGGGGACCGAGAAGACGCTTGTCAAGTTGATTTAGGAACAATTGTGGAACTTGCATTCAATATCTCGTTGCGATTGCCTTTTTCGCAAAGTGAAAAAGTGGTAAACTACCTCTAACATACGCGGGAAAGCACCCTTGGTTGTTTGTCCCTTCCAACCTTGGACACCACCAGTGACATTCTGTTGACGCCCTAAAATTACGAAATGATGGGCACTCTTGTCGCGGGTTTGGCTTGGTCCTTCCGGGCCAGTGTTCAGGGGTCCAGCGCCCCGAGCCGGGGGGCCTCGCTAGCCCATTCCAGCGAGTGAGATCATAAGTAAACACTGGAGGAGACGCGTCGCGTCCTCCACTCATTACAAGCTTCAAGCATCCAGGTTAGGTACTCAGCAACTTGGCACCGTTCCGACTCAATTGCGGGAAGCTAGATCATTGGCCTCATATTCCTTGATTACTTCTCTAGAACAGATACGACTCATATCGTGGGAGCAATGTCAGAGCAATTCACACAGCAGCTGGAGGGCTACCTCCGTGAATATCACCCCAACAGGCTCAATATCCCCCCAGGGAGTGGAGCAGCAGTGAGTACATGTATCCTTGGTGCCGTATACTTGCAAATTGTGGCCGGCGTCGGTTGATCTAATGCATGCGATGTTGTCGTGCTTCAGCCCGGAAGCAGCAAGAACCCGGTCGTGGTCATCGAAGGGGATGAGAATGTCAACCCCAACCCAGCTGGCGAGACCAAGACCAAGCCCGCAGCGACGAAGGCCGCTTCTTCTGGCACCAAGAAGCGCAAGTCTGACAGCGGAGAAGAGTTTGACAAGGAGCGCATGTTTCCGGACGAGCTGATTCACATGGACGACGACGACCCGCGTCTCAGCCCGTACGTCACCGAAACCTGCAACGCGGTCCGGCGCAAGATCAGGACTTTCATCGAGACCGGCGCGATGAAGGTCGGTGAGTTCCAGAAGATGATCGGCGTCAGCCCTGCTGCCTACGCCAACTTCATGAACCGCACCGGAGCCCATGACGGTGACGGCTGCGCCCTCTACTACAACGCGTCGATCTACTTCCAGAAGCGCCAGGTGCTCGGTCTGCCTCTCAAGGGGCCCGGCGGCGCAAAGAAGGCCAAGACGGCCAAGTCGACCGGCGAGTCAGCCGGCGCTGCCCCCGCGGGTGGCAAGAAGAAGGAGGCCGAGGACGCGGCAGCTGTCCTCGACGTCAGTGGCATTGAGCTGGACGGTGAAGACACCGGCTCAGTGCCCGTCTTCGACACCTGCGACGAGGTGCGAAAGAAGATCCGGGCCCTCCTGACCAAGCACGACATCACCCAGGCGGCCTTCGTGCGTGCGCTGGGAGAGGTGGCGCCGGAGGGCCGCAAGCCGTCCGCCGCGAACCTGCGCTATTTCATGGGCCAGAAGGGCCCGCGGTCGGGCAACACCTCGGGCGCCTTCTACGCGGCCTACGTCTTCTTCGAGAAGCGGCGCATCAAGGACAACAAACCCAAGACCAAGTTCCGCCTGGACATGGAGGATGTCCATGGCTGGCAGGGCATGGATGTGATAAATGGAGCAAACACGAGCTACATCGTTTCTGCGCACAGCAGGCCGTATGTGGACAAATACGGGAAGATTTCCATCTATTAGGAGTCGCCCCCGCTGGCTGGACAGCGCCAGACGGAAATGGCATCGAAGCATGTACGATAACGCTGGGAGTGAATTGAATGGTGGCGTTTGGTGCTAAAATGATTGTGGTGGTACAGCTGATTGCGGGGGAAACATTAGGCTACCCCGCTCAGGACAGGCAAACTAGGTAGCTACGAAGTAAGTACCTTGGTTAATTCGAGGGGCCCACCATCTACAGCTGAAATCCAGAGTCAGCTCCAAAAACGGAATCTTCGACTGCAAAGTTATTATGCTCATCTCTCCTCACTGACAAGAAGAAATATCGCCAACATGGGCGAGAGGCATCAGCTTTTCGTCATCGCCCGCGTTGGCAAATACTACCGCTGCCTTGCAGTCGTTCACCATCAGTGGCTCGAGGGAGATGACGTTCTGGCTACCTGCCTGCGTCTGATACGGATCTTCAACGACCCAAGCAACCAGCCCGCCCTTGCAGAAGAGATCAAGCTTGCCGATGCCTTCTTCACCAGCCCTCCCAGCTCGGAGCGGCCTAGATGCGACTGGGACGACTCTTCTGTTCATTTTCCCTTCGTCATGACATGTCTCCTGGTCGGCACTTCCTATGATCCAGCGACTGACTGGGTTCATTCTGCTTTGGTTGAGCCGCACAACATGGGATTCGACGGCGGAGACAACAACACCGGCATCACGGTACTTGATATCACCCGTCCCGGGGGCACCCGATATTGCTTTGTGGGCCTACACTTCTCAGACACGGACAAGGCTCTGTCGGCCAGGGACTATGCCGACACATGCGAGTTCACGCCAGATTCGGATCTGCTCTGCCAATTTGACACGCTGGGAGTGAATACAACCGAAGTGCTTTCGCGTAAGTCTCGCATTCCTTATGGCAATGAGCTGAAGTCGAAATGGTTCTCCATTTACCGACGGCGTGACAGAGACATGGCCATACGGAAAATGGTGCACCACCTCTACGGACGAATCCTCGTCGACCGAGCAGGATCCCAAGTCTACACGAGAGGTTGCGTCTCCAGACAATCCATCAAGCCTTGACCTGGGACGATATGCCAGAGCTTTCAGTATGGAAGAACTTTCGACAGTCGGTGCAACGCAGGAGATCGAGACACATCCTATTGTGCAGCTACTCTTCACGCGGCGGTTCGGTCCAGGCGTTAATCCCTCGATTCAGGAAGAACTTGGTTTCTCCTGCCGCCTCTTCCTTCAGGACATGAATATGAGTCCAGTCCGGTTCACCAATGCACTGCTTCAACTCATTGGAGCATGTTCGGCGACTGATTGTTGCATGCTCCCTGGCAGCATCGCTTCCCACGTTGCCTACATTCTTTCCACCAGCTCCTCTACGCTCGGCAGTACAGATTTGGTAGAGATTGGCCCCCTACCGGCAGAGATCTACAAGATTGCTCGTGAGCACCACCATAACCTCAGCTCTAGGGGTCGGTACTACTGCTCGATGAGAGACCTCATGCCAGAGACTTGGACTGTCCTCGTCCAGATGGACGCAGATCACTTTGGTAGGAGAATGGATGCCACAGTCAAAATCCGGTACGCATTTGTGCGCGCACGCAAGCAAATCATTGCCAAGTGTGACGATGAAAAGAAGCCTCCAGTCATCGCCTCCTCGGACGTGGACATCATGGATTTGGCAGGCTTCCTGACGGAGACTGGCGTTCCGGATGGAGCCCGCGATCTACAGCCGGCTCTACAGAGACTCGAAGAGAGGATTGCCGACGCCGAGCTGAGAGACCCTGCCCGTGATGGCGCAGGTGCTGACTTTGCTCTGTCCTTCATGGGCACGGATGAGGCTTGTCTTCTGCTAGGTCAACATATCGCGGACAATGCGCGTGACATCAACATTACACCCCAGGCGCGGAGGCTGTAGTTTCGGGCGAGTAAAGTTATTGTAGGAACTGTCGAACGCACTTCCTAGGTTGTATGATACTATGAGATTCTCAGAAGAAGAAAAAAAGGAGGAGAAATAAATCCCTGCAACAGTGTCACATATCACTCCCCAAGGCAAGCCATTAACTAAATCTCGCAAGGCTCACACAGTCTTCGCCTTGGCCTTCTTATCCCTCGCCGCCCTCGCCGCCGCAACCGCTCGGTTCACCCTCTCGATCTCGGTCCTCGCGCCCTCCCACGTCTTCCGCTTCCCCGTCTCGAACACCCTGAACAGGTGAGGCGTGTAGATGCCGTCGACGAGCAGCCTGCAGAACTCGCGGTCGCGGTACCAGAACTTCCAGCCCGCGAGCGTCCAGCCGAGGTACTCGTCCACGCCCGTGCCCGCGGCCGCGTTCGCCCACGCCATCCACTCGTGCTGCCGCACCCACCCGGGCACCGCGCTGCCGGACTCGGCGACGCCGCAGACAAACTCGTGCTGCCTGTCGACCGCGCGCTCCATCTCGCCGCGCGGCGGCAGCGGCGAGGCGCCCTTCCAGACCTGCGCCAGCGCCATCGAGGCCACGTCGTTCAGGGGGAAGGCGCCCGTGGCGAAGGCCCCGCAGCCCATGAAGGCCAGCGAGTCCGGGTGGTCGAGCGAGATGACGTTCTGGTACAGCCGGGGCAGGGGCTTCCCGCGGGATCCCTTGGCCGCGGCCCAGCGCGGCGTCGTGTGCCTGGTCGGGTCGACCTCCGGGTCCAGGACGGAGAAGCTGGTCCGGTAGCCGGTTGCCCAGATGATGGTGTCGATGCCCTCGAGGCGCGTGCCGTCGTCGAGCTCGAGCTCGTGCGGGCCGACGACGCGCTTGATTCCCGCGACGGACTGCACGGCGCCGGACTCGAGGTTTGCGACCAGGTTGTCTGAGATGATCGGCACGGCATGCTTGAGGGAGGGTGCGGGATAGACCTTCCACTCTGGCTTGAGCTTGAAGTTGGCGTTTTGTATCTTCTTTAGTGCTGCGTTGAACACCATTTCGTAGACTGAGGGAAGGTAGTACTCCAACAGGCTTTGAATCTTGGTCATACGGGAAGTCAGAGTATGGTCAATGGGGATTCCGCCGTTAACAGTCCGGGGCATCTAATCGGATAATCAGTGAGCCGTGTTCTCCAAGCCATGACATAGTGGATGTTCTTACGATAATAGCACCGTGGTTATGGGAAAGGTAGACCTTGTCGGCTTGGCCCACAAGACTAACAGAGGTGTCGGCACCTGTGTTTCCCAGGCCGACGACAACGACCTTCTGACCTTTGAACTGCTCGGGCCTTCAATAGGTCGCGTTAGAAATAGAGAAGAGACAGTGCTTTGAAGATAATCGACTTACCTCTTGAATGCCCGAGAGTGGAGGCACTTACCTTCAAAAGCCTCGACTCCCTCCAGCTTCGGGACATGGGGGCTGCTGTTGATACCCGTGGCGATGATCACTTTATCAAAATACTCCGAGCCGGCACCGTCAATGTCAACTACCCATTTGTTCGCCACATTATCTCTGCTAACTCGCTTGACAGAGGTACTCAACCGCAGGTGTGGAGCCAGTTTGAAGTGTTCTATGTAGCTCTCGAGATATTGCTGTACATGCCCAGCGGTGCAATGACTCGGGGTGTCCTCTGGGAAAGGAAAATCTGTGAAGCAACCCTATTACTGTATTAGTCTAACAATGAGGCTGGATCTTCATTCAGGCTGGTTCTTCATAGTCTCACCCGCTCTTTTGAGATATTGATGATAGTGGCTGCTGTGATGTGAGTACACACTTTCCGCTTCAATTTGACTCGTCCCGGGAGGACGAACTTGGGAGAACCGACGTCCTGTCGTCTTCGGTGTAGTGCCACAACCCGCCAACAAAAGGCTCTCGGTCGAAGCCAGTAACGTCAAAGCCCTCCTCAAGCAAATTCTTGACCGTCACAAGGCCAAGAACACCTAGATCGAGGTTAGTATCCGATGTTGCGTTCCATACACGGAAGCTGAAGGCACACCTAGCCCAACCACAGCAATTGTGCATTGCGCATCGCCCATCTTGAACACATATGACGCTAGTCAAAGTTCCCTCCTTTGTTAAGTTAATGAAGAAACAGTTCTTGACGAGAGTGAAGATTGGCGACGATAGTCCTGCAGCTTCTTCGCGTGCTGCTTTTTGTCTCAAGGGCGAACCGCATCGCGTCGTGAAAAGACCCGAAAAGTCCGTCCACAAGGGTTACAGAACAGGCGGTCTTGGCGACAGCCTGTAAAATGGCACGACTTTGTGAACGCCTTCTTCGGAAGACCGCGGACACCCCCTTGATTGATCTGATAAGATCTGGATGCGCCTTGTGAGTGGCTGTGTGGTGGGTGGGTGGATTCGCTTGTCTTCAGCTCGGACGACTATCGGCGACGCTAGAGCGAGTTTCTCGCTTCTCTAGCCTCGAAATGAATCGAGCATGTTGCTCCCCGAGCATGGTTAAACGGTGTTGATGTGTCAGAGAAACTGATACTGTCAGGACATGGGAGCATCACTAGACCCTCGAGACGAGCCATGATTAATCATGAGGCTAAATCACAGCATTTTCGTCGATGATTGCTACGAAATTGAATTGTAGGTTGGCAGCATAGAAAGCCACGATCTCGACAGCGAACAAGGTTAGGTAAGTACCTCGGAACCAGATCTTAGTAACTATCGGAACATTAACGGCACTGGCCACAATTTCCCTAATCTGAGAACACCTTATCCGGTACGTCTTCATTTACGTGTGCTAAGCGTTTGACTTGATCAAATCAGCAGCCTAGGTACGAGCAATCAGTTAGTTTACAGAACCAACGAGAATACAGGAATCAGGACATAGTCTTTACCTTCTCAGCAATCGCGTATACTGCCTGACACGTGTTCCCTCCTGGCAAACTCGGCATTATACTCGCGTCGATAACGCGCAAGTTCTTCACGCCGTATACCCTCAGCGTCTGGTCCACCACGCCACCCAGCTCCAGGGGCATCATGGCGGCAGTGCCAGCAGCGTGCCAGTCGCTCGGAGTGAGGGCGCTTGGGAGCCAAGCGTCGATCTCGGCATCGGTCACGACATCGGGCCCGGGCTGCGTCTCGTTGACCTGAAGGCTAGCCAATGTAGTCTCTGAAACGTACCGCCGCAAGAACTTGACCATCTCGACCAGGACGGCGCGCTCGATGGGGTTGCTAAGACCGTTGAAGTCGACCAAGGGTGGACTATCGAAGGGGTCCGCAGGGTCGACATTGATGGAGCCACGGTTAAAGGCCTGGTTGAGGATGGGCGCGAGAGGCCCCGTCGTGGCGTTGACAAGGTACCGCGCAAACACGGTGTCCTTGGAGCGCATAGCAGAGGCGAGTCCGCGCATCTGAGCCGCATACCCCTTCACTACAGTTGGGTGAGTGCCGGGAGGGAGGTAGGCGCCGTGATCCTGGTTTTCGAGTTCAGCAGCGAGGGACGAGAAACGGCCTGGGGATATAGCAGTCAGAGGCAGCCAGCCCGCTATGTTGCCGTATGCTATCGAGTACGGGCCTGTCTGGGTCAGGCTCAGGTGCATCGAAGTGGCAGTTTTGCATCCTCAAAACTCACCTGTACGGTTGGTAGCCCACAGATCTTCGGCAAGCTTGCGAAACTCAGGATCTGTCACAAGGTCATTCCCGTTTGGGTGGATTGCCTGTAGCCCCTCCACTACCCATCATCAACTATCAGTGACTATATAATATGGCGCTCAACTTATACTTACGAGTGACTTCGGCTCCAAGGTTGGCATGATCTTGAAAGTTTTGACCTACTCCCGGGAGGTCGACGAGAGTCTCTATGCCGGCAGCATCAAGAACCCTTTTTGGTCCGATGCCACTGAGCTGTAGCAACTTTGGAGTGTGTACAGCACCAGCAGCGACAAGAATCTCTTTTGTGGCTTTTAATTGGGTCGGACTAGTCTGATTTTGCATTGTGAACTCGACACCCTTGGCGCTTCCGTGTTGCAATAGAACCCTACGCACGAGTGTGTCGGCGGCGAGGTGATAGTTGGGGCGGCCAAGATTGCTGTAATGTGCGTTGACGGCGTAAGATCGCTCATGTTTGACGGGGTCCACTAGTAATTTCTTCAATAAGGACGATGGATTTGTTGATTGTATCAATAGGACATGAAAACGTACTGAAAGTTGGAAACCAATAGACTCCTGCGCCTCCTGCACCGCTGTCTCGAGTAAATTCGATACCGGGCAGCTCGCTGAACGCCCGAATCATCGGTTCTTGACCACAAGTCATGGTTAGTCTCCAAAACTCAATTTGTACGGTATTCCATATCAAAAATAGTACTTACGTAGGCCCGGATACTGATAGCTGGGAAAGCTCACATCCAGGGCGGACTCTGTACCCCAGTAGGAGGCGTCATACTTCACATCAAATTCTTCCACAATGTCGGCTGGCGGTGGATTAAATGAAAAGGCCTGAATGTTCACTTTAGTACACGATTCACTAGGGCTACTCTTTTTCAGGTGCGATTCTCGTGCCATGAGACGACTTCTCACCTTTTTGAAGTATGGCAAAAGTCCTTGCCAGTTCCAACCATGCTTGTTATGCTTGCCAAACAGATTGCCCCAACGATCATAGTCCTCAGCAGACCCTCGGGCCGACATCATAGCGTTGATGCCAGAACTTCCGCCCACCATTTTACCCAGGATGACTGGAAAGATTTGACCGCCCAGGTTCTTTTGTGGTACCGACACATAAATGTAAGACACCTGCCTCTGCGTTCCACCCCCAGTGACTGGGAGCACATCTTCGGCAATGGGCATAGAGCCAGCCTCTAGAACAAGCACGGTGGTATCCGGGTCTTCGGTAAGGCGGTCTGCCACCGTGAGTCCTGATGTCCCACCACCGACGATGATGTAGTCATACGTTGGCAGGAGTTGTGATGCGTCGACAATGCGTCGTGCCTGATACACAGATCGTGGTACCACGAAGGCGTGAGACCCCACGGCTGCAAATGCTACACCAAGGGTAAGAAGCGAGAAGAGTCGAGGTACTGGCATGGCGGCCTTCGTTCAGTCTGCTTGTCACAGTGATCAAGAGTATTGTAGATGACGATACTGGATGTGGGACCACCAAGTTCACGCAGAACCTGAGGATCACGGCGTTCGTTCGAATAAAAGATTCGACACGTATCTATAATATACTTCAGAATAAACACTTGTAAAGTACAATTGCTCGGCCATATGCTTACTCGAGCAGTGAAGCGCGTCCTGCGGATCTTTGCATATTCTGGCGACACAGGGTAACCATAGCAATGCTGGATGATGTCGATAGATACCAAATGCGGACGATGCTCAGTATTGTTTCCAATACTTGATGCAGTCACACGTAAGCCGCATCTCTATCACAGTCTTGGCGTTGATGAAACTCCATAGTGCTCTGTGCCAAGAAGGATGGACGATCCGGATAACACCTTGCCCGCCTCGTTGCAGCCTCAAGGGAGAAAGATAGCCATTCAGATTGCTATCGTTTGATGTGATGATGCACTTACTCATTATTTGCATATGCATGTAGCATTGCCATTGGCGGACTGCTCAAGATATGGGAGGTTGGACTTCACATCTCTCTGCGCTCTGGAATGGGCTCAAAGGCAACTTCAGGGTTTCATACTCGGGGCAAGTTAAATTGATAGCGATCATTAGGTCTAGATTTCAAAGAACAGAATGAGGTATAAATCCTATACCCATGAGTGTGGTGATTACGAGTCACCTACCAAAAACGGCAGGTACGCACAACGCCCCTTTGTTTTAAGCAACCGTTGGTGCTTGACAATAGGATTGGATCTGTGGTCACCACAGTCATAAGGTTAGGCAAGATAAAGCACTTTTACGTAGTACTGCTCTTTTACAGCGATTTACAAGGACCGTCAAGAACATCTTCCAAAGATGCTACTGATTAGTCATGGGTCGTTGTAGATGAAAGTATTTCGGTCTAGGTCCCGCCGTTTCACGGGGTGAGGGTGTGAGAAGATAAGGGTTGAATCCCACAGCACGGGTCTGCGCAACATTCCAATCGAACTATCTAGAAAAGCTTTAGCATCCATGGATGCGATTTACGATTGAAGTGTAAGCCTCCTCTTGGACACGAATAACATTGAACTGTGGCCTGTCAATGGTATGGAAAGTGAGGAACCATTATAAGACATGAAAAAGGAGTGTTGATGATTAGGTCTTTCTCCGGGTATGGTTAATTCCTGGGGCCCAAGAGACTTGCTTCTCATCTGGACCAATGATCTCCACCCCGAAGAGCATGAAGCTGTACGATTAGGACCATTGCTCCTATCAAACTACCAAAGCGTAGGTTTCAATTGAAACGTGGGCAGCAATTGGCTCCCGGAGACTCGGGCTGCATTCACAGTTGTAGCCCAAGTCTGACTAAGAGCTGGCATCACCTGTGGGACATCGGCTCCCAAAAGCGTGAACTGAGGCGGGATTTCGGCACCGGCTTGTGTCAGACTGCCGGCGGCGTCTGACCGTAAGCCCACCGCACCGTTGCTAAAAGCCTCCTTGGAAGTCAATCGTGACGTTGTGAGTCTGTATTCTACACGTGGGCTATATAAAGGCTTGGCAAGAGACGGCACTTTTGGTTGGGTATTCCACTCATCAGCATCGCGAAGTCAAAATCTCGCATCATGGCCTGGATACGCTTATTCAGTATTGTATCGTTTCAGCTGCTGTTATGCTTGCGGGTAGCAACCCAGGCATTACGTATCACCGCTCCCGGATTGCCTCCAGATCACGCAAGCAAGATCATCGACCAATCATTTCTTGGGTTTGCTGTAGAATCGTCGAGCTTTCCCCTATTCAACAGCACTTTTTCGCAGAACCTCTTTAATGTCTTCCACAACAAGACCGGCGCACCCGTCATATTCCGCGTCGGGGGAACTTCCATGTAGGCTGCGTTCTACAACATAGATCGGGCTCCTCGAATTAACACGCCTCACAGGGACCATAGCATATTCGACATGAATCAAGAATCCGACTGGTCGTTTCCCAACGGCCGCAAAGACAATTTGCAGTCTAACATCACTTTTGGAAAGCATTGGTTCGGAGGCTTCAAGACGCTGAAAAACATCAAGTTCATTCTCGACATACCACTAGCCAGATGCAACCTCACAAACGCCGTCAAATTTACAGAAAAGTGCCTTGAAGAGATGGGCACCATCAACAAACTGGAGGCGCTCGAGATCGGAAACGAAGTGGACGTGTACGATGACCAGGGCTGGAGGTACAAGAAGACTTGGTCCCCGAGACTCTATGCGCGGGAGTTGAAAAGCTACATGGATACCGTTACTGCAAAAGTGCAGATGTTCCCCAAGACTGGGAGAGTATTCCAGATCTACGACAAGGGAACCGAAATCGACTTGAAGACGAAGCCGAGATGGAAAATGTAAGTGTCTAATCGCTATGCCCTGTCGTGGCTCAAAGGCATGGACCATCAGACTGACAGATCCGCTACAGTGACAACTTCATGAGCAATGTATCTCAGGTTATTGATATGTCGAGAGTCAAGCAGGTGGCAGAGCACTAGTAAGTCATCCACAGGTTTTAAACCCTGAATGAGCTGACAGAATGGCCACAGCTACCAGGCCCGCGGCTCGAAGAGTACATTGCACAGTAGGTCAAATTAATCATTGGAATCACGGTCTGGATAACTGACATCCGTACTTGTACAGATGGACTCCTAAACCACGATCACACAGTCAATCTGACATCTACACAATTCAAGCCGGAAATAAGCAGCATCCGGCAGAAATACAAAGAGTTGAAGTCTGTTCTGAGCGAAGTCGGCAACACGCTGGGTAGCAGTGGCGACAAGATCAAGGATGCACAGCTCTCGTCCAGCCTCGGCAGTGCTGTCTGGACTGTTGACTGGATGCTATATGCGATGAGTATTGTGAGTCCTCCTTATTCTCAGCCCTACAACGGCTGGGACACCATGCATGATAGCAGACACGCGCCGGCCCCCGAGCTTCTGCCTGCCATATCGTACAGATTTGCTAACCGGTGCGATTTCTAGAACATCGACCGCATCAACATGCAAATGGGCCGGGACTTCCCCTTCGCCGCGTGGAACCCCAACAGCACCCGCGCAAGCCCGCCCCATCTCCTCGGCGGCTTCTACGGGCACGTCTTCGTCGCCGACTTCATCGGCCGAGAGGGCAAGCTCAAGGTCGCTCAACTGCCACAGCAGCCGCCCCGGAACAAGAACATCTCCGCATACGCCGGTTACCACAACGGCAGGCTGGCCAAAGTGGCTGTAACGAATCAAGAATACTGGACAGATGAGATGGGATCCCGGCGTCCCAGAACGAGTGTCAGGGTGACTTTGCAAGGAGCGGACGTCCGGAAAGCCACTGTCCGAAAACTCTGGGGTCCAAGCAGCACGGCTCTGAAGAACATCACTTGGGCCGGCCAGGACTGGCCCTATGACGGCGCCAATGGGCCTGGGATGCCGGTGGACGTGAAGAGCGATACCGAAGTCGTGCCTGTCGAGAATGGGGCTGTCAACATCTCCCTCGAGGCAACCACGGCGGTGCTTCTTTCTTGGTAGACACGGGCAGTCCGGCCGGTGCTGGATTTCAAGTCACTTTGCAAGCAAGCTTTCCGCTTATTCTTCGCCCAATATCATCGTCAGCAACAGCATCATCCTTCATAAATCTCAATCATTGGTTCCACAGGTAGACACCAGTGGTTCTCTTGCACCGCCATAGTCCAAAAAACCACCATCGTCACCCACCAGCAACATGCACCTACTCTTCCTCCTCCTCATGACCAGCGGCCTCTCCATCGCCCACGGCGCCCGGGCCCAGCGCTCCTCGATCCGCAGCCTCTGCCAGGACCCGACCCTCGTCGGCCAGGTCGGCTTCGCCCTCAGCTGCCGCGACGAGCTGGGGCAGTGCTACCGGACCGTAATCCCCCTCCCGTACTGCCTCGGCGCCCTCGCCAACGGCACCCTCGTCGCGCAGCAGGACGGCTTCTACCACAGATCGTGCACGGGCTGCGCCCTCGAGATGCCCGACGGCTTCGCCTTCTCGTGCATGTGCAGGGGCTCCAACGCCAAGACGGTCATCGACCTCGACGGCGTGCTCACCATCGACCGGTGGAACCTGCAGTGCGGCCAGCAGAGGGGCTACAGACTCGGCTATGGGCAGCCGGGCGGTAGGGGATCAAGAAAATGGACGTGGGCGGGCACACGCAGGGAGCCGGCAAGATTGCATGCGTAGATGCCTCGAACGCGACCGTGCACATAGACTACGAGAGAACACATCAAGGGTGGGAGAGAAAGCAAATGTATATTGCCCTATGGTTGTCAAGACGATGCCAAGCTGTATCAGCGTTGAGCAGGGGGGTAGACAGATGGCAAGCTGCAAGAGACTAATACCTCGGCTATGCCCTCCATCGTCCTTGGGTCTCTACCAAAGAAAAAAAAGATATTTTTTTGATTGTGTTTTAGTGTTTTTTTAGGGTTCCAACAACCATCATCTTGGCCTTGTGGTTCAGATGACTGGTCATTCCAAAAACCAAGGTGAGTCGTGCCCGGAAGATGGGAGATCTCCCGTGGGATAACAGGTGAGCAGGAGCACAGCTCGAATGCACCTCAAATGTTCTTGTCGCTGTTATCGGTTTCCATCGTGTGTTGAGAGCGATGCAGGACCCAGCCGCCATTGCTGAGTGCATCGCATTGTCTTTTGGAGAGGTTCGCGCGATATCTCCAGCTAACCACAGAGTAGACAGGGAATCCCCATCCCATTATTCCGTGATAGCATCAGAAGCTGACAGGCTGGCTAGTTGAGCAACACGGTGTTGAGTCGTTCGCCAGTCTCTCTTTCGTAATGTCCAGCCAGAAACAGATATGTCATCACTCAACATCGTGATCACATCCGAAAATGACCAACCCGTGACCATACACAGGTCCCAAAAACGCCATCAAGTCTCTCGCTGAGGTGCAACCAAACGCCTTGGAGACCTTTTTATCCGTAAAACGCCATTCAATCCCGAGAATACCACCAGGCCCCAGGGAGGTGCGGGGTTGTTGTCGATCATCAGAAGCAAGCTACCAAGTAGCCGCTGGTGTCAGCAGCAACAAGCCGTCCAGTTGAGAATTGTTGAGGAGTTCGTGGGCGGTGGGCTGGGTCGCAATCCCTCCTAAGGTATGAAATCTCCAGCAAATTGCTCGGCTTCCCGCGCCGAATCATTAACCGTCGTCCCAGCATGCAAATTCTATGCCGATGAGTGCTCCCCAGCCGGCGCCTTTGAGTGATGAAGGTTGAAAAACCGAGTCGAGGCGACATGGTGAACGGGGTATGATACAAAGCCAGGAGGATATTGTGCCAAAATTGGCATCAAATGCCACGTAGTAATCGAGGTTTCGAGAGTTGAGTCGCGGTCCGCCCAAGAAATGGTGTCGTGTGGAAAAGTATATCTCATCCAGGTTGAAATCGACTCGGTGTGGGTAGCGGCAGATAGATCAGAGATTGTAATATGTACATCCAACGCAAAACAAAACGCGGAAAAGAAAAACAAAGCATAATCATGGCATCTTTCGACCTCCCCAACTGTATTGCGAGGGAGAAAGGTGTGCACGATTATGACTGCTGAGGCTGGCCTTGGTTGCCCCGGCCGCCGCCCCGCGGGCCGTTGAAGTTTTGAGAGCGCTGGCCTTGGTAGCCGCCGCCGCGACCACCACGACCGCCTCGTGAGCCGCCTCGGCCACTTTGGTACTGCTGCCGGGATTGATTCCAACCGCCTTGACGTCCATTCGGGTTCTGTCCGTCCAGAGGTTGTTGCGGGCGGGGTTGAGACGAGGAGGCTTGCGAAGACGCTGGCTGAGATCCTTGGGGTGCGCCAGGCTTGAAGTTGGAGATGGGCCTGGGGATGGACTCGGGGTTCTCGTATACATAGAGACTCTTGTCAATGGTGGCGGGGATTGCCTGAATCTCCGTACCAAGATCCCTCTCGATATTGTACAGGTTGAAGCGGTCCTCCCAGTTGATGAGGTTGATGGCGAGACCCAAGTGTCCGTATCGGCCCGATCGTCCGATACGGTGAAGATATGTCTCGGCGTTTTTGGGGAAGTCGAAGTTGATGACAACGTTGACTGCCTGGATATCAATACCTCGAGTGAGCAGGTCAGAGCAGACGAGGTTCCGGCAGACACCATTCCTGAAGTCGTGGAAGACGCGGTTGCGTGCCTGTTGAGCCATCTTGGCGTGACTGTAGAAGCAAGAGTAGCCCAATTCGGTAATCTTCTTGGCCAACAGCTCGACACGGTTCGTTGAGTTGCAGAAAATGATGGATTGGTTGATTTGCAGCTTGGAGAACAGAGTGTTCAAGCAGTGGACTTTCTGCTTCTCCTCGACAAAAGCGTAGTACTGGGTGATGCCGCGAAGAGTAAGCTCATCCATGAGATTAATCTCATAGGGGCTGACCATGTTCTTGTCTGAGAAGTCCTTGACCGAGAGAGGGAATGTAGCGGAGAAGAGCATGACCTGACGGTCCTTGGGATGGAATTGCAGCAATTGCTCGATGACGGGAGTAAATTCGATGGAGAGGAGTTTGTCGGCTTCGTCCATGATGAACATGGGGCATTCGCTGAGGTCGGCAACATTTTTGCCTGCCAAGTCGAGGATTCTACCTGGTGTGCCCACCACTATGTGGACGGGGTCCTGAAGACGCAGAATGTCGTCCCTCAGACCGGTACCACCAGTAGTCACCATGACATTGATACCGAGATGTTTGCCCAATGTCTTGCACACTTGCGAGGTTTGCATCGCCAGTTCTCGGGTGGGGACGAGGATAAGGCATTGAATCTTGGACACTTTGGGGTTGATCTTTTCGAGGGCGGGGATGACGAATGCGGCGGTCTTTCCGGTGCCGTTCTTGGCACGTGCTAATATGTCGCGGCCTGTCAATGCGACAGGGATGCTCTCTTCTTGGATAGGAGAAGGTTTCTCGAAGCCAGCCTCAAATATGCCCATCAAAAGATCCCTCTTCAGGCCGAACTCCTCGAATTCGAGACCTTTGGTGTTGGTGACATCCTGAACAAGCACACCCGGTTAGTGTTTGTCCCTCCCAATAGAGATAAGGTTCCAAAGCTCTTGCCTCTGTTTGTTGCCTGGTGTCCTTGGCCGGAAGCTTCAAGCTCTTCTTCCAGTCCTCTGACGAGGCGCCATCGCTGGATGTGTTAGCGCACTACCGAAGATGCTATAGCCGGGCACGAGTACCTCAAGGTTGCCGCATTCAGCTTCTCTGCCAGGTTTTCCGCCATCGGAGGAGTAGGTTGCGCCTTTGGTATAGAGAAGAGGTGTTTGGTGTAGATGTGCAAGTGATTTCCACGCCGGAAGATATCACAAAGGGAAGCACAATTTTCGTTTGGTGAAAGGCTCGAGGGCTAGCTGGGCCCAATACTTGGTGGTCCAGGTCAGAATCGACTTCGAGGTAGTATATGTATTCCTGGATGACTTTCGTTTGACTCTCGAAGAAGCCGCAGGGAGATCAGGGTGGTTCGCGGTGCCGAGAAGATGTGCGCCTCGGGTTGGTAGATGAGGGCGGGGAAGCCTTGGGTGTGGGTTTGTTGGGTGATGGGCAGGTCAGGATGCAGACCGTTTCGCTAGATTAGATCAGAAATGCTTGAGAAAGATTTCACGAGCAAAGTCGTTGCGACTTTGGCGTTCGATTCAAAGGAGGTAGTCAAATTGGGAGGCTGTAGTGAGAGAGGAAGTAGTGTGTGGTTGGTGATTCAAGTGTGTTTTTTTTCCTCGACACCGAAGCTAGGTCAAGGTCAGTGGTGAAGGGAGAACGTGGGCAAATTGCAAGTGCACGTGACAGGAGGGGGGGTTGGGGGGGCAAAGCTGAGGTTAAATTTCATTCTCCCGGCCAGGTCACCAAATGGCAAATCCCCACAGGGTCCAAGATGCGGACGGTAACCAAGTTGCATGTAACCAAGGTTAACCGCGGTGAGGAAGGGCCCTGCCAATCCTGCTCTAGCGCAGCAATACTTGGGACTGGTGTGAAACTTATTCCGTACCTGTGAAGCGCCTTTGTACCGTTTGCGTTTGGTTCCAGGCCGTGGTTCGTGCTAATAAAAGCGCAAGTCCTGGGTACAAACCAGAGCTCTCCAGCTTTATTTGGCCCCATGCTTCAGTGCATGTGCTGTAGCATCAATCCATGGATAGGGCCAATCGGAAGGAGACGGCCACTGAAGCTCCCCACACTCCACCACCCTCACTGAAAGTCCAATCATCATCGTCATCAGGTCACGCTCGCCCCTCCACTCTCAAAGGCCGATCGGATGACATCCTTCCCTGGAGAGTTTTGCGACCGGGAAAGTAATTGACAGTATCTCCATCTACCTACTTTGTTTCACGTACTCCCAAGCGGTACTCTCGGCCCTTATCCTCGGAGAGGCAACAGAGAAGCTTGCCCCATTCCCTTTCTCTTCTCTCCCTTCAAGATGCTAGCCGATTGATCCAGCATGTATATCAAGCGGGCAGCCCTGCCCTTCTGCGCTTGTTGTCCCGTCCAACATGGCCTCACTGCGACGGGGATGTGCACCGCGCCCTTGCCGAGCTCACGGCCTATGAATCTCATTAGATCGTCGCAATGGCAGCATACATCACGACAACTGCGAGCGGCCTCGGTGCTTCATGGAAGCCACCCCCACAAGCCCGATGAACATCACCATCACTCCTCCCACCCATCCCACCCTCGTCGAGACGACCATCACCTCCAGTGGCCGACGACACCGAAGCCCACGCCCTACGAAATCTTCGGCCAGGAAAAGAGTGCCCCGTACAGCAAATCGAGATTCTACGAGCTAGCCAAGCTGTACCACCCCGACCGCCACCACCATACCTCACGCACCGTATCTCGCTCGACCAAGATCGAAAGATACCGTCTTGTTGTCGCGGCTAATGCGATCCTCTGCGACCCGGCAAAGCGGCGGCAGTATGACCTGTATGGAGCAGGATGGAACGGGCAGGCCGACATGCACAATACATATCGCGAGGCGGAAAAGGCATGGCGCCAGCACCCCGGCTCGGCCGCGCATAACGCAACATGGGAGGACTGGGAGAATTGGCACGAGCAGAGAGACGGAAAGAAGCAGCAAGAGCCATTATACATGTCCAACAGCCTGTTTGCAGCCGCGATCGTGCTGCTCATCGGGATCGGTGTATGGGGCCGAGCAACGACAGCCGGGAAGCGTTCGCTGTCTTTTATGGAGATGCAAGAGGAACAAAACAGGAAACTGAGCCGGGATCTCCGAGCCCAGCAGTTTATAACAGCTCCTCTGAACAGGCAAGACCGGGTAGACAATTTTATTCGCTCGCGAGAGGGCTCCCCGTACGAGTTCCGGCATCACCCAGGGCACGTCGAAGAGGCTGAAGGGGAGGCTGAAGGGGACCAAAGGGAGTCGAGGTCCTAAATCAATACCCAAACCCAACTCAATATCAATATCAATATCATCTTTTCAACATGTCATTTTGACGGGCGTCGAAACAGAACAAGTGTCTTCCAACCTTGTAGTCTGGTACAAAGTATGTCTGCCACAACTTTAACAAGACGGGTCCCATAGGAGGTTGAGCTTCGGCTCGAGGACTAGTCCAGAGAATCTCGGGGCAAAGAAGCATTCATATTCGGATGGAATGAGAGCCAAACACCATGGTGAATCAGAGGTCGAATAGCCCAATTTAATATCCGTTTGTTTTGTACTCACCTTGGGCGTGCCATGGTTGGTACCCGGTCCCGGTCCCATCATCGAGAGGCTGGCATCACAGGCATGCCACTGTAAAGAAGATAGCAAGAGTCATTGGCAAGCGAAGGCCACGTCATGTATGACTGCCAAGTCGACGAGACCATAGCAACTCCACGCCTGTCCTATTCCAACCCAGTGTACGGCTCCATCGCGAGCAAGAAGTGTGAGTGAATGGGAGAGGAGAGAATGGGAAGCCCAAAAGCGAGGCGCGGAATTTTCGATGGGTTCGAGTGGGGCAGGGGCCTCCCACGTGCAGCTGAGCAAGAAACGCGGGTTGTCTGTCTGACTGAAGGAATTCGTGTCGATCGTGAGGATCATGCTCGACCCTCGGCGCAGCACTGCCGACAGGAAAAGACGGCAGGACAACACGGCTAGTGCAATTTCCTGCGGTAAACCGGGCAAAATGAAGTCTACAGCCGACCTAGGTCCGTCGATTATCAGCACACGATACTTTATTGTGGGCAGGTGGTGTGGCGCTAGCAGATGGACGTCTCGGTGTTAACCCGCTTTGCCTAACGCCTAAGAAGCTAAGAACCAAAGCCGTGAAAGCTTCACCAAGCTATCACAATCTCCGATGCACCCCGCTTCAGTTCTACGTTGTTATATAGAAGGAAGTCTGTCCACACTTTGCAACAGCAAGCTTCGTAGATAGTCGTTTCACCTCAATCTTGAACTCTAGAACTTAAATCACCATGGAGTATACGCGGTATGTACATTTCCACTAGGGACAAGTCTCCCAAGCACAGGGACTGGCGCTAATTTATTGATCGTGTAGACTTGGCAACAGCGGCCTCAAGGTGTCAAAAGTCATCTTGGGATGCATGTCCTATGGTTCCAGTAAATGGAGCCCCTGGGTTCTCGACGAGGAAGAAAGTCTCAAGGTCATCAAGAAGGCCTATGACTGCGGCATCAACACCTGGGTGAGTCGGCCTTCACGGATCAACCGGTCTTCCTGGATGAGTCACCTAACTTCGTGGTAACCGCCCGCTCAGGACACGGCCGACTTCTACTCCAATGGCAAGTCGGAAATCATTGTCGGCAAGGCGTTGAAGCAATTCAACATCCCCCGCAGCAAGGTCGTCATCCTGTCCAAGGTCTACTTCCCAGTTCCAGATGACGAGGGCTCTCGACCGCTTCCCAAGAACGACGGCCCACTGGTCAACCAGATGGGTCTGAGCAGGAAGCACATTTTTGATGCGGTGGACAAGTGCTTGGAGCGGCTTGACACTCCTTACATTGGTATGGCATTCTCCATATTCTTCTCCCCTTTCCACTGCCGGGACGCCCCCAACTGACTTCCTCCATCCAGATGTTCTTCAGATCCATCGTCTAGACCGAGAGACTCCTCCAGAGGAGATCATGCGTGCTCTGCATGACATTGTCCTCAGTGGCAAGGTCCGCTATATCGGTGCCTCGAGCATGTATGCCTGGGAGTTTGCCCGCCTGCAGTACATTGCCAAGCTCAATGGCTGGACCGAATTCATCAGCATGCAGCCCTTCTACAACCTTCTCTATCGCGAGGAGGAGCGCGAGATGCTTCCTTTCTGCCGGGCTACGGGCGTCGGTGTCATCCCGTGGAGCCCTCTGGCCCGCGGTCTCCTGGCCAAGCCCCGCGAGGAGCAGAAGAGTGTGAGAGGCCAATCAGACAAGATAATCGACGTGTGGTTCCGAGAAGCCAACATGGAGATTATAGATGCTGTGGAGAAGGTCGCCAAGGACAAGGGTATCACCATGCCACAGGTGGCTACCGCCTGGGTCTTGCACAAGGGATGCTGCCCTATCCTGGGTCTCAGCAGCGAGAAAATAGTCGAAGACACTCTTGAAGCTTTGAAAGTCAAGTTGACAGAGGATGAACTGGAGTATCTCGAAAGGGGGTACAGGCCCAGGAAGGTCGAGGGGCATTAATGTGATCTGGAGGCTGCTGCCAAAGATGGATCTACTGACAAAAGAAGCTTTAGATCCAAGGTTGCATTTTAAAGATGTTTTTGCTGTCACTAGGACTCAGCGGTGATTTCAACGCGCACGGATTTGGTACTCGGTACTTTAGGCATCTAAATGATTGGGTGTAAGCTGCCGGTGATTTATCGTGCGCGTCAAGGCGACCATCGTGCTGGGTATAAATAAAACCTCATAAAGCCCTCGTCCATATCCAGGCGGCTAAGTTCTGTGCTTTCCGTTTCCTCAAGCAACACACCCCGTGACCGAAACCACCATGGTCGAAATACCATTCATCACCGTCGCACCCAAAGCGGCGCACACGCATACCGTGGTCTTCTTGCACGGCCGTGGCGGTAACGCGCGCAATTTCGCTGGATCGCTGTACCGCTGGCGCGATTCGCGCAGCCGAACCATCATGGATGCCTTTCCCTCCTTTCGCTGGGTCTTTCCGCAGGCCCCCTTGAGCAGGTGCTCCAGCTCGCCGCAGATCTGGAACCAGTGGTTCGACGTGTGGAATGTACGCAACTTTGCAGAGCGCGAAGAACTGGCCATCGAGGGCCTTAAAGAAGTAATTCCGCCCTTGCGGACGATCTTGGCAAACGAAGCGGCTACTCTAGGAGGCCGCTGGGATCGTGTCATCCTGGCCGGGATCAGTATGGGTGCAGCGACAAGTGTGCACATGCTAATCAACCTGGATGTGCCCCCGAATCCGGATGGTGTCCGGAGACTGGCTGCTTTCATGGGCTTCTCTGCTCGTTGCCCTCTTGCCGGCCGATCCCTTGAGGAGATGAGATCTGCTCTCAGCCTGGATGATGTTCCGGCTCACAATGAGGTTCTTCAAAATACGCCCATGTTGCTTGAGCATTGTGCCAATGATCCGCTAGTCTGGATACCGAACGGCCGAAGATTGAGAGACATATTGAGTGAGTTTGGTGCTCAGATTGAGTGGAAAGAATACCAGGCTGGAGGACACTGGTTCAATTCCCCTCGGGGTATGGACGATGCGGTGGCATTTCTGAACCAACAGGTGCTTGGGATGGACGATGGGAATCGATCCAAACTTTGTCAAGTTCTGTGACTTTTGCGCCTATATAGACGAATCCAAACCTCCAAACAATTTTTATCCAGTTGTTATCTAGGTACGGTGGTCATGTCCCATCGCACTTGACAGTCATAAAGGTCTACCACTCTGAACAAAGCCGCACCACTAACTCTTACCACAACGCTGTTCACAAACATGCACACTGACCTGCAGTTGCTTCCTAGAAGCTCATCTTCTAATTTCCCCTGGGCTGTGACGTCGAAAGAAGTGGCACGTGCTCATGATGCGATAAGTTGTTCGATACTTTTCAATTCACCTCCAGCTTGAATCATCCCATCTTCGACCTGTGACAAGGCTAGGTCCGAGCTCTAGCCCAGCCTATTCTTGAATATAAATATCTCTTGATCCTTCATCCATCTCTTCTCCAGGCCTTGACCAAACTCTTCCATTCCCACCCACACTGGGAGATCGAGCCCAACCCCTTTTGCACATTCATGAGACATCTTGACCGTGCGTCTTTCGACAAAGAGCTACTCGCAAACCTGTAAGTAATGGCCATTTCACAGTGTGTCGTCTCGATTGCATCTGATGATGCACTTCATTCTGAGCCTGAAGTGAACACCATCTCATCGGTTTCACCTCGAAGCGCTCATCACGAGACATACATCACCCAACTGTCACGATACATCAGTTTCATATCGTCTACGTTGACTGACCGAAATCTTTTGTAGACCCAAGCACCAAGATGCCTCCAAAGAAGCGTAAGCTCAGCACTGCTCCGCCAGCAGCCCAGGCTGGCAAACGGGCCAAGGGGGAGGACTCCAAGGCTCTCAGAGCCAGTCAGCGACTGGAGGAAACCCCGACTCTCTTCAAGCATTTCGCCAAGCTCCCGGCCGAAATCCGATTCCGCATCTGGGAGTTGGTCATCACGGACAATGCGGTCCATGGTTTCCGCGTCCGCAAGGTTCTGACCACCCCTCACCTCTGGGGCAGCTGGTCAATCAAACTCCTGGTCATGCCCAAGCACAAGGACGACTCGATTCATCGCACTCGGCACAACCTAGACGCCGTCTCCAGTCTCAAAGGCGACGACCCCCAAGCTCGCATAGCTGTCGGAAAGAGCATCGAGGAGCGTGCCGACCCGGCGCACGTCAAGTGGAAGTATCTCCAGTATGTCGACCTGGCGAACGACTTGGTCTTTTTCGACTTGCAGAACGGCATGGCCGGTGTCAGCCAGGTGGAGAGCTTCCAGTGGAGGAGCCATCAGTGGAATGTTAGTCGGGACAACACGGGTTACGATAATATTCTCGAGGTGATGCGACCCTTCAAGAAAGTCGGCCTTTTCATTTCCCGGGACATGTTGCCGTGCTACACCAGTAAACACAGGGGTCTTATGACCCCCTTTGCTTGTTGGTGCGTCAGGATTGACACTGAAGTCCACCATCGTTTCAGGATGTGCCCTGTTGAGGTCTCGGGCTTCCTGGACTGCTTCGAAAATCTTGAAGAATTCTATCTCATCTTTCGCCGGGGCCGCAAGGACAGTAAGATTACATCAACGTACCGAGGCAATACCGCATGCTGACATTCCCTTATCACAGGGCCCCTGGAACACACCGAGGACGAGATCGCCTTTCGCTCGTTGAACAAGGTATACTGGCCTGCCAAGCCCGAGGTCCTGGGCCCCCAACTCGGCGGTCTCCTTGAGGCAATCCAGAGCGAGTATACTGCCGACCCCGGCCCACTCGTTGTGTACAAACTCGACCTTGAGCGACGCAAGCAGGTCAAGTTTCGAGTTGTGGTCGAGGAGCCGGCTCCGTTCTAGATATCAAGCAATCGTGGCCACGAGAGAGGATATGGAGAAGGACCGGGACAGTTCGGAAGGGTACGGCAAGCAATACTAGCACACAACGGATCGATGTCAGGAGAACGGAAGTGCTCTTGGCCTCGAAAAAAAAACAATAGCTATCCATCTGGTTGCAAGGCAACTAATGAATTTTGGCGCATCGCGAACCAAAAGCCGGCGAGTACACGCTGCCAGGTAGAACAAGAACAGGTCGAATAATAAAAGTCTATGATTCCTTTCTTTCACTCAGTGGTAATTCTCTTCGGGAAAAACAGAAGCGAGGTCACGTCATTTGAAGTGCGTTACTGTCCCAGTGAAGGTCTAGCATGCGTGTAAGCACCCTCCGCAACCGGACCGACCGGACTACGAACGCCGCTAGCCCGGGTCTTGCCGCGTTTTCGCCGAGCGAATAATAAATCAGTTAATCGCCATAAAAGTCCATACCTCTCCACCGCAATAGTCTTTTTCTGCTTTCACATGTGGAAGACCGATTTTGTACGCCTGCTTACAGGCAATGGCCAAAAACTTTGACGCGTTCCGTTCACTGCTTCGAGATGGAGTGTTGGCTGTCGCTCTGGTACGAAAACCTCCTACTCTGTCTTGGCCCAACGTACGCGAACTAACCCTGTGGTTTTAAGGCAGTCGAGGCGTCTGCGCCGTCACTTTTGCAAGCTTGGCTCTACGTCCCACTTGGGATCGTCCTGATACTGCTTGTATGCTTTGGGATGGATGTGCTTCTCAAGCTCGGCCAAGTACCCTTCCCGTCGTCTGTGGCTGTCTTGATCTTACTCTTCTTCGGCCTCCTGCTCTCGGAGTGGCTCCTTGGGAATCGGCGGACACGTAGAGCTGTTGCTCTTCTTGACGTGCCGGTAAGTACTCTACGCTGTTATGTCATCAACAATCCAAGCAGCAGTGGCGCTGATGAGTTGGCGGTCCTAGGCCAGCTGGTCCCTGCGATGGATCAATGTCTTCTTCACGCCCACCTTCGTCTGCCTTCCTTTAAGTTCGCCCATTGAGGCTGGAGAAGTGGGAAAGATGATTGGTGTTTTCAGTAGGTCGATCTCAGCTGCTTTATGGCCACAACCAAACGCTAACTAGTGAGTCGTAAAGTCGTCGGCTTTGTCGTCATGATGATCATCACGGCCTATATGACTAGGGCACTACAGCTGCTCACCAAGTCGACCAAGAAGGCCGAAGTGGAACGAGCCGAAGAGCTGGGCGAGGACCGTGACGAAATCCCCATAGCCGAGACCCCCCTCGAGGACGAGTCGCGCCTCACCTCGGCAGCTGGCTCAACCGTAGCTCTTCTCAACCTCTCCGCTCCCCCACGCGCCCAGGAACCCGTATCCATAGCTGGGAGGCAGTCCGACCCGCCCAGCAGAGACGAGGAGCAGAGCCCAGACCCAGGCCTCATGATGCGCCGGCAGGTCCCGCCGCCGCCAGCCCGGTGCCGCATCTGGGCCGCCCACATCTCCAACCGGATAGACATCCTCACGTACGCCCTCATCCTGCTCTTCGTCGGCATCCCCGTCTTCTTCGGGGCGGGCTACTCCATGCCCCTGCACCTGTGCGTCAACGTCCTCGCCTACTTCGGCGCCTCGGCCATCCCGCACTCCTGGCGCCGCTTCCTGCACCCGGTCATCGTCAGCGCCTTCGCGACCGCCGTCACCATCTACGTCTTCGGCCTCATGCGCGGGCAGGGGCTGCCCGAGACGCTGCACGAGTACCGCACGGGGCTCAAGTACCTCCAGCTCTGGGAGGGCGCGCGGGCGGACGGCGGCGAGAAGCCCGGCGCCGGCGACATGCTCGGCACCGTGCTCGACGCGAGCATCGTCGCGCTCGCGCTGCCCATGTTCCAGTACCGCCGGGAGCTCAAGGAGCACTTCCTCGCCATCGTGGTGCCCAACGTCCTGCTGTCGGTCGGCACGCTCTTCTCGCAGCCCTACATATGCTATGTCCTCGGCATCAGTCCCCAGCGCAGTCTCGCCTTCGCGGCTCGCAGTCTGACGCTGGCGTTGGCCATACCGGCCGTGGAGAACCTCAAGGGAGACCACGACACCATCGCTGCGGTGGCGATCATGAGTGGTGTTGTTGGTGCCCTGGTAGGGCAGAAGATGCTGGACTGGCTCAAGATTCCTGATGGTGAGTGTCTCTCTTTGATAGACATCATTCTGTATGAGTTTCCACTAATTCTGACCGCTTTCATAGATGACTACGTCACGCGAGGCGTCACCCTGGGAGCGAATTCTTCGGCCGTGGCAACTGCACTGCTCTTGCGGACAGATCCACGCGCTGCGGCCCTTTCCAGTCTATCGATGAGCCTGTTTGGCGCCATTACTGTTCTCTTCACCTCGATTCCGCCCATGACAGCGGTCATACGCTCCCTCGTTGGCTTATAGACTCATAGATCATAGATTTCCCATGCATCAAGCATCTGTAAAAGTCGCATTTAGAATTAAGATGCCTCAATTGGCAAAGGAAATACGGCACGAACGAGAGAAAGCCCATCCATCTATATGTGAAACACCAATGTTACAAATCCCAGAGATGCCCAACGCCTCATACACATGTGTAATTCTCATCAATACTCGGCATCGACTTCCTCCTCATCCAAGAAGCCTAGCCCACTGTCATATCGTCTCCTCTTCTTGCCGGCCCCAGACTTCCTCCGGGCGAGATCACCACCTAGAAGCCCCTGACCTGCAGCGCCGCCCTTCTGCGCGCTCTCGGCCAGGCTCAGGCTCGCCCGCGTCTCTCTATTCTTCTTGGGCGTCTGCGCCAGGAACTCCTGTCCCATTCGAGCGACGCGCTCCAGCTCTGCCTTGACGGCGTCAATAGCCGCTCGCGCCCTCGTCTTCTCGTCCTCGAGCTTCTTCTCCAGACCAGAGTTCTCGACACGCAGCTGCCGCACCGTCTCGTGAGCAGAGCGCAGCGCGCTGTTGACCCGGTCGACCTCCTCCCGGAGCTCGGATACGCGAGCGTCGCGCAGGGCCAGGGCTTGGCCGTGCGACTTGTTCAGAGACGTGAGGCGCTCCTGGTGTTTCTCCTTGGCCCGCTGGTGTTCGTCCTGTGCGGAAGAAAGCTCGTTCAGCAAGCTCTCGGTCTGCGTCACCGCCTCGGCGAGCTTCCGCTCAAACTCTACAATGGTCTCGTCTTTCAGCTTGGCGGCTTCGAGGTGAGCTTGGACTTGTTGCTCCTTTTCCTCGCTGAGCTTTGTCGCCTCGGTGACTTTGTTCTGGAGATCGCCTTCGATCCGCTCGACTAGCCGCTCCAGCTCAGAAACATCCCTAGTATAACTGGCGACGGCACCCTTGAGCCTGTCGACACCAAGCTCGAGATCCGAGATCTTCTCGTCTTTGGCCTTTGCCTCTGCTTCTAGGCGGTTGACCTCGCGCACAAGCCCATCCATAGCTTCGACTCGGGCGCCCAGCTGCTTGCGAAGGCTCAGCTCCATTTCGTGATACTCGTCGATCTCGTCATCCGCCTCTTTGCTTTTGCGGGCGAGGTCTCTGAGCTTGTTCAGGAGGAGATCTAGGACCTCGGCGCCAGCAGAGGTGAGGGGGAGAGCAACCTCGCCAGGAGTGAGATACTCAAGCTCCAGGCGCGCAGTTCGGAAGGCTGTGGACAGCGAAGTGACAATCTCGGATGCATCCGATCCCGGGAAGCCAAGTTCGCTTAGCGATGACGATAGAGCAAGCAAAGCTGCGGTCCGGTCTGACAGAGACTGGAGGGCGTGCTTTAGATGCCGTTCTAAGTCTGGCTTAGGAGAGCTGGCATTTGTCTGTTGTTCATCGGATGATGGCAAGTCCGCTGGTTGCGGAACCCCAGACAGCTGGCTTGCGAGCCGATCAGTCAGAGACTGGTATGATTCGAGCGTGCCAGTGAGCTTGGAGATCTCAAGCTGAAGCGAAGCAAGCTCTTCTTCGATCTGTTGCTTCTCTGTATCGAGCATTGCGACTTGCACTCCAGCATGGGACCGTGGCGTCCGGCAGTGAGAGCTTGGCGTCATTGGCATCGTGGTTGGGCTTGTGAGGGGAGGGCTAGGGAACGAGCTGATGGCACGGTTGCGGCGGGTGGGTGTGCTGCAATGGAGATCCGCCATGGTCGTCTCGCCGAAGTCATCCTCGTTGTCGGCGTCCATGGGATCACTGTTCAGATCCATCATGGTGTAGTCCTCGGCGAATGGATCTCTGGCAGCCATGGTCCAATCGTAGGTCTTGTCGTGAGACCCAGATTTATTCTCTAGTTGCTGCCTCAGCTCGTCCACCTGCCTCTCGAGCTCAATGATGCGCCCGGTGTCCTGGGCGACGGTATCATCAAAGGTCTGGAGCTGCTCGATCTCAGCATCCTTGGCGGCAAGCTCGGCTTTGAGCTGCTCAATCTCTGCCCTCGTCTCTGCGGCTCTCCTCTTCTTCTCGGCATGGATCAGGTTCATCTCTTCGCTCAGGCCATTTCGCCTAATGCGGCGTTTGACACGACCGTCGAGGACCTGTCTGAGCGGCAGAAAAGTAACCTCTCCACTGAGAGGCACCGAGGGCGAGTCCAGATCCAATCCAGCGCCGTTTGCTGGACGAGATGGCGTTGAATGGCGTCTTTGGGCAGGGGCAGATAGAGATGTCCGCCGGATCATGGGCGTCAGGCCTGTCGCTGCTGGGCTGCTAGAAGACCCCAGTGATGGTCCCGGGTCCGAGAAACGCACGTGTTTCTTCGGTCTGCCTCGCTTGCGTGGTGTTGCTGTGAGGCAACATGATGAACCACTTTTGATAGCTGTGCTATGGCTATCTGCATAAGCAGCACTCGTCCTCCGGGCGCGTCGTAAAGAAACCGGCAGATCCATTGTGTGTATCGGTGAGTGTGCAATGAAATTGAGATGCGACGTTCAGATGTCAAACACACTCAGCTCCGCCTTCGATTATGCAAGACACATGTGAGTAGCAGGTCTTCCTATAGACATCACACATCAAAACAAAGCAGGAGTAGGATGGGAAGGGAGCACAAAGGTCCGGCGCGTCGTCGCGCCTCCGCATTAATAAATGTGGTCTCTCTCGAGTCGTCGATGCTGTGGTTTGTTTACACATTGCCTGTTTGGACCTAGCGGTTAGGCCCTGCTAAAGCGAGACTTTTAGTGGAGGCGGAAGCCGGGCCCAGGCTAAAGTACTGCCTAACGGGACCACAACCCCACTAACACTGCAGGCACTTCCAGCCCTGCAGCAGCCATTCGGTAAATCTCGACAGGGTTGTCGAGAAACAACGGCGTCTGTGATTGGCGTCGACCAGTCGCGAGCGTGCAGAAACATCCTTGCCTCTCACAACCACGTCCACCAAACACCACGGTAACCACACTGAACAGAGGCCGGTCAAGCGTGAATGACAGGTGTGGAGTCTGCAATGGCACATCATCCTCTCATGCAGCTTTGCGAGGCCACACGAGCGGGACTCTCCTGGGATTCACACAGTGATAGATGAGCAGAAGTGGCACCATGAGCGCTGCAAACATGCACCCTAGGCCCTGGCCCGGTAGTTCGATACCCGGCCATTTATGCCTACCGTATTTTCATCATGTCTTGGGTCTGTGGCACCACGTCAAACCGCATCCTCTCCTGTGTACTGTCCGTCACGTACTTAGGACGATGCGGGATGTCCACGATCGCGATCTTGGTGGTAGCCAGCTTCTGTCGACTGATTTGCCTCGCTCATTCATTCGATTGCGTTATGCCTTGTTTCTCCTGGTGGCCCGTTGTGCAATCTCAGTCTAGTTTTTGAATCACCGTTGTCTCTAGACTCGGTTAATACGTGTATAATACCTAGGTAGTATAATATCCTTCAATGGCGCAAGAACACCAATCAACCATATTCGTTAGATCTTCCGTCCCGTCTGGCTTTTTGCAATGACTCTTTGAAGCTCAAGGACAACCTTATGAAGTAGGAGGCATGGCCTGTGTGCTTCAAGCCCGAGATGTGCAGGCCGTACAGTCGATACGACCTATGTTGTGGATGCCCCGCGAGGAAGATTCTCATGCAGGACCAACACGCAGGTCTGCCTGTCCCCTTGAGTCGGTGCGAGAAGGCCTTTCAGACTGGCAGGAGCTGCTCTGCTCTCCAATTGCCTTTGAACAACACACCTTGTCCGCGTTTCGCGTTTCGCCGAGAACTGTGGGCAATGTGCCCGGAGCACCATCGATACTACGTCAACTCCAATCTCAACCTCCTCAGACGATACCCAGAGCCTCTAGTATACCAGTTCAAGGGCGCGTTTGATCGGATACTGCTGGACTTGGACAACAAAGACGCAGACACATGGGCCGACTATAGACGCTTCAGCGAGCGGGTGGCCCAGACTCTCGCCGTGGTGGCAGATTACCTCGCTAACCCGCCGTGGGATGCACCCCGATCACTTACCCGAGAGCCCAGGGACAGGCGTATCAAGAATCTGCCCTGGGGTATGCCAGACTATATGATGCCGAAGCCAGATGGTGGCTTTTTCATGAGATATCACATTCCTGAGGGATGGTTCACGTTGGTGTCCAGACGCGAGATCCTGACTGACTGGAAGATGGGCTCCGCGTATGAGCTTCTATCTGTGGCTCTTCCGAGTCCCTACGTCTCAAGGGAACACTTTTATCGAGCTGGTTTGCTGAGGCGACTGGTCCACACAGTAGTCATGGAGCTGGATTAATCTCAGCGGCGAAACAACGATATGTCACGGGTTGGCGACATCACCTTCCGCAAGGATTAGAAGTGCCAAGAGAACAGTATGACTGGTCTGCAATCAGAGATCGATGTATATATGAAATCTCAATAAAATAGCACCAGAGAATGAAGAGGATTACTATCACTGGGTATAGAAACGTGAAAACCAACGCATGTCACCAGCTCGACACGAGACTCCCGAGTGAAACCCGCAAGTCATAAACCTAGCAAGGAACACGCAACCCAAGCGGCCCGGGCCATTTCCTTCACGCCTTGGACAAGAAATAGCACCCAGCAACCGCCTTCCCAAGCCCCATCTTGGCCTCCGCCTGCTCCTGCTTCCAAAACATCCTCGACGTCACGGGGATCTCCTCCTTGAGCCCGAGGAGCCCGCGGACCTTGCCCGCGTCCAGCCCCTCGGGCTGCTCAAACAGCATGAACACGTACCGGTGCGCGCTCGACATGGGCGGCGGGCCGGGCCCGATGTACGGGACCACGGGCTTGGCCGACGTCTCGAGCGCGGTCCACCCGCCGTCGTCCGGCCCCTTGCTGCTGCTGGCGGTGAGGTCCAGCTGCAGGCCGTGCAGGATGGGGCCCAGCAGGGGCAGGGACGGGAACGGCGCGTCCAGGTCGGTCGCCAGGACCATGTACTTCTGGCCCGGCTTGGCGAGGGTGCCGGGGACGGACCAGGTCGGCGGCTCCTTGGCCTGGGCGGGCGTCAGCGAGACGCCGTTCTCGGTGACGGTGGCGCCGCTGGGGAATGTCGCCCGGAGGGTGGTGGGCTGGCCGGGCCTGGAGAGGGCTAGCTGGAGGCTAGGTGTTTCTTTGCCCATTTTTTTTTATCTTTGTTGGACGATATGAGGGTGATATGTGACAAGAGTGTAAACGGTTGATAGGAGTGCCCAAAGTGAGGCTTGGTGGTAACAAAGTCGTCAAACCTGCGGCCGGCGAAAGGGGTTTTTGTCTCGAATGAGAATTCCGATAATTGAAAGTTGAGGAATCAGTGACAACGTAGAGGCGGGTTGAATCGACGTTTAATTCCATGTTGTCCTTCGTCATAAGTCCGGCAAGTGTGTGATTAGTGGACTTCTGCCGAAGATCCTGCCGTCGTCGGCACCGAGCTTACAAAGTCCACACTTAAGTCCGGCATTACATGGAGCGGACTGCTGGCTCTCGGACCGCAGTCGGCGAGCGCCTGTTTGATATTACTGCAATATGATCTCCGCAGCAGACCACAATCCAGCTTTACTTGCACAATGAGCCCTACTGGACAGAGTAGCGGCTAGTCAATGCGAGATGTCAAAATGTCAACTTGCGATTTGGCTATGAGGCTACAGTTTTCCCTGTGTATTCATGAGATATCACAATTCATGCCAAACCGATCTACCATGAGCATCGCAAAACGGCCTCGTTTTTCTTCAATCGTCGTCATAGTAAGCTTCCTCATACTCCTCCTCGTACTCCTCTCTCGCTTCCTCGAGTTCCTCTAGGTCGCTACTGCTGGCGCTAGAGCTCTGCGCCTTTTCGAGCGCCTCCTCGTATCTATCGCGGGCCTCCCGGAGAGACTCGCGGTCGCTGCTGTCGATCTCGTCGCCATACGCATCATACGTGGGAATAACTCCGGGAGGGGGTTGCTCGTAGGTCGGCTCGGGAGCGTAGGCAGGCTGAGGGGCGGCGGCGGCAGCGGCAGCTGCAGGCGCAGCTGCAGCTTGCTGTGCCTGACGGCGCTCGTCGTCCGAGTCATCTACGTCAAGAGTTTAGTAGCGGATCGACAACCGTCACAATGAGCCAACTTACCGAAGGCATGAGCAAGCAAGGCACCGCCGACAGCACCAGCAGCCATTCCTCCTGCTACGCCGAGGAGCATGCCGGAAGAGCCCTTCTTCTTCTCTTTTGTCTGTGCGCCGCCGTCACCGCCGTAGGGACTCTGGCCGGGCGCGCCATAGCTACCGCCGTAGCCCGGGGCCGAGGACTGGGAGCCGCGAGCGTCAGACCCGGGCATCGGAGGGCGCGGGGGCAGACCCGGCGCCTCCCACTGTGACTGGCCGGTCGCCTGCTCGTAGTAATACCAGCGGCGGTGCTCATGGGAGTACTGAGGGGTCCATCCTTGGGGAATTGGGGGCTTGTCCGAAGGGGGAGAGTAGACGGGATCCGGCCTTGAAGAATCAGGCGGAGGCGGGGGAGCACCGTAGCCACCATCACGCGTTCCTGGTTGCGGCGAGCCATAGCCGGGCTGAGGAGGGGGCTGCTGGTACTGCTGCTGCTGGTCAGGGTAAGGACTCGGACCGCCAGGTGGAGGGTAGTGGCTCGGCCCGCCACCGTAGGGCGCCTGTTGAGGCGGGTAGTCCCGTTGGGCTGCGAGGTGAGATTGGGATTGGTGAGCCTCGACCGGGATTTGAGAAGGGTTAAAGAAGAAGGAAAGCTGACAAAACTGACTGACCTGGATACTGGTCTCGCTTCTTGTCGTCTCCGAAGCCGAGACCCTCGAACTCTTTGGTGATCTTCTTGAAGAACGACATCCTGGCCCGTCTCGTCTCTGTGATCAAGTGTGAGCTTGGGGTGGCCTTTGAGAGAAGGGCCTATGCTGCGACAGGCAAGACTGACTGTCTGGCCAGTGTTGAGGGATATTTGAGGACGAGAAATGAAGGAGGGGTCCAAGATGGACATCCGACGATACCGACTTATCGATAAAGAGTCTTGGTACGAGGCCTCCTCGGAAGACAAGACGTTCCAAGCTTGCTTCCTTTCCCTTGACAAGGAGGCCTCTGGGTGGTGAGTGTGAGAGCTTGTAGTGACAGGCGGCTAGGCAAGCCGATTAGGGTGTAGTACGGGTGGTGATTGCAGGGCTCACGAGTCACACCCGATGCGCCTGCTACAGAAGATGCAATGCATTGCTGAGCTGTTCACTGAGCCGTTTTGCTTGGCAAACGGCCTGAAACAGCTTCGGGACTGGACATCTGCCCACGAACGTTGCCAACAGGGATAGCGGGTGACAGATGGGTGGGGTGGGGGATAGCCTATCCCCTAATTCAGGTCCCCTCAAAACCCGGGTCTCCATTGATCGGCCCCTCGTAGCGATCAGCGATCAGCGCAGCGCAGCACTGGAGGTCACTAGCACAAGCGCGTAAACGGCTCGCTCCCTTCAGCTGCTAAGGTGGTGTTTTGCGTCAGCCCGAGTGCCCCGCGTTTGCGCTACTTGGACTGCGAGACGGATCGGCAACTCCTCCGAGCTGTCTACCATCTCGAGTGTGGCATTGTTGGTCTCTCTCGACTTCCTCAACAATCGCATTCAAATACCCCCCTTGGACAGCTCCTCACCCAGTGCAAGGCACTTTTCCTCGTCTTCTTTTCACTGTACTTTCCCTTGCAATTGACCATCATGTCGTACGGATACCCGGGACAAGGTTACGGCCCAGGAGGTGGCGGCGGTAACTACGGCCCTCCTCCTCCCCAGGGATACAATCAGTATCCTCCTCAGCAAGGCTACGGCCAGTATCCTCCTCCGCAACAGGGCTACGGCCAGTACCCTCCGCCTCAACAGCAGGGCTACGGTCAGTACCCGCCGTCTCAGCAGCAGGGGGGCTACCAACAGCAGGGCTACCAACAGCAGGGCTACCAGCAGCAGCAGCCTCCTCCGCAACAGCACAACCAGTACCCTCCCCCGAACCGACCTCCCCCGCCGGGCCTCGACGCCTACGGCTACCCGCTCGACACAGGCGCTCCGAGCTACAGCGACCCGAACCGTGCCGCTCCTCCCCCGCCGTCTAGTGCGCAGCAGTTCGGTCACGGCGCCCCCGACGGCTACACCTTCCAGTACTCGAACTGTTCTGGTTCGCGCAAGGCGCTCTTGATTGGCATCAACTACTTTGGGCAGGATGGCGAGCTGCGCGGCTGCATCAACGACGTCAAGAACCTCTCTGAGTTCCTGGTCGAGCGATACAACTACAAGCGCGAGGACATGGTCCTCCTGACGGATGACCAGCAGAACCCGGTGATGCAGCCGACAAAAGACAACATCATCAGGGCGATGCAGTGGCTTGTTAAGGACGCCAAGCCCAACGATGCTCTCTTCCTCCACTACTCCGGCCACGGCGGTCAGACCGAGGATCTGGACGGCGACGAGGACGACGGCTTCGACGAGGTCATCTACCCGGTCGATTTCAAGCAGGCGGGCCACATCGTCGACGACGACATGCATCATATCGTCGTCAAGCCCCTGCCTCAGGGATGTAGATTGACAGCCATTTTCGACTCGTGCCACTCCGGCTCCGTCCTCGACCTGCCCTACATCTACTCCACCAAGGGTGTTCTCAAGGAACCCAACCTGGCTAAGGAGGCAGGTCAGGGTTTCCTTGACGCCATCGGTGCGTACAGCCGCGGTGACATGGCAGGCGTCGCTAGCACCGTGTTTGGATTTGCCAAGACGGCTATGCGCGGCGGAGATGCCGCCCATCAAAAGACCAAGGAGACGCGTACCTCACCGGCGGATGTCATCATGTGGTCGGGCAGCAAGGACGATCAGACCTCGTAAGTAGTTCTCCAGCATGTCTTGCAGCCTGGTTGCAGTGTGTACTGACTTCTCCGACCCCCTTGGCAGAGCCGATGCGACCATTGCTTCTCAGGCCACCGGTGCCATGTCCTGGGCTTTCATCACTGCCATCAAGCAGAACCCGCAGCAGAGCTACGTGCAGCTTCTGAACAGCATTCGCGACGTTCTTGAGACGAAGTACACCCAGAAGCCACAGCTCTCGTGCAGTCATCCCATGGGTAAGTCTCTCTGAGTTGGGTTTCGCGCTCGAGACACCAGCTAACCTATGTCAAGACACAAATCTGCTGTTCGTGATGTGATCGGTTTGTGCACCGTCGTCAGTGGTCCGCACTGGCTATGTGTGGAGAATGTCGAGTGGTCCAGAATGAAAGGGCAACATGTCGTTTGAAGAAAAAGAGCACCGCCTTAGGCGCAAGGAACAAGGGTCTGGTTTTGCAAGCATTGACTATGGTCATTTCAAAAGGGAGCACGCGATGCGTTTTCTTGCTCTTATCACATGCATGTGTTCGCGCAGAAGTTCCAACTCGAAGTACAAGACACAATGTGCCCCGCGCCCAGATCGGCACTCGCCGTATGAAACGAACCTGTGCGAACGGAGTCTGCCCACAGTCTTAATCAAGTCCACGAAATCTTGGCATGATGAAGACCCCACTACGTATTATACGAGTCCTCGAATCGCATGGACAGACGGTGTTTTCAGTGCCATGTCGTTGAAGGGAGTACCTATGGACGAGCTTAAACCCGTCAGCAGCGAAGAAAATTGTCCATGTTCGCCGGCCCCTGCCCTGCGGTATTCAATACGCTAGATGGCAATCGCAACGGTATTGCTCACACAGCGAAGGTCACGTACTTGAGGAAATCCCTCGATGAGGCTGTCTGGAAACACATTCGCGGCAGAAGATGGATATCTGGATACGGCTTCTCTCAAGAAGCAATTGACTTGCATGTTGCCTTGACGAGCCCTGCACACTAGTGGCTCGTTCTAACGGGACTCACATCCATATAACGGGACTCACATCCATAATTGCCATAGTCTGATAGCAATTCATCGCGGTGTTCGCTGGCTCCAGACTGCCACCTATTGGCTTTGGTTCCGACAGTTTCTGCTCTTAACTTCTCGCTCAAGGAAAACCTACTTCTAATCCATCCGGTCTCAGGTCCACGGAAAGAGTGGCTATTTGTTGCTGTTGTGGTTAGGCGATATTTCTATTCTGGATGTTGTTCAATGTGATAAGTCGAACAAATCCAAAATAAGATTGCTTCAGCACTTCTTGCCGATGATCTGTCTCCAGATATTGGTACTATCACCTGTATTGAACTTCATATCGACAGGGCCAAAGCCTGGTTCAACGCGATTGAGACTATCATATAATGAGCCTCATAAGAAGACATGGCATTCCAGTCTGACAAACGGGCCGATATTACAGAGTGTGAGAGGTGTTTCGAGCGATTCATATCGAGCTCCCGATTCCACACTACATCATCTTCATCAGGAGCATCACCAGTCCTCTTTTTTCCCTTTGCGAGAAGACTTGACCTTGTTCGTTGTGCCACTTATTTCTTGAGCCGCTGCCGTATTGAGTTGGCATGTATTGAATGTCTGTGCACACGGCAAACCATCGGATCACCAAGGCAGGGGTCGAGGACTGGAACGGTTCTGGTTGCAAAAGGGTGTCCAGCCATGTCAGTGTGTGTCCGTGTCCCAAGATCAGCAGAATCTACTGCACATCATCAAGAAGATACATTCGCCGAGCAGGAGAGCGTCGTAGCATCATTCCCGCTATTCGCACCTGATCCCTCTCTTTTCACATCATGCCCTTCCGCACTGACACCTTTTGATGGGCCTGGCACTGCAACGCCATGACGCGCGGCATGCCAAGTAGGCGAAAGCACAAGTCCCTTCGCTGGCATCTATCATCTCGCTCTCGCAGTGTGTGCGACAACGGCACACGCCCGCACACCCTCAAAAGCATCGTCTCGAGAGGTAAGCATCCCGTGCTGTCGAGACACCTTCCTTGATTCTGATAACTGGCCCGCCCATCGCGCGGCAAATGCTTAACACAATCATAGAAGCGCACCTCCACCCTTGAAACCCTTGATCTCGATTCCTAAACGGATGCTGTTCCCCGCATGTTCGTCAAGAGTTGGGAGCACATCCCGGCCCTCAACCAAGAGTTGGGAGTGATTGGGTGATTTACCCAAGACTAGTCGATCGGTTCATCCCCCAGCCGCATGAACATTCGCAGGACCCGTGTGCCGCATGGACATGATACCTGCAGCCACAGCCCGCGCCAGCAGAGAACGGCTACTGGGTAAGAGAATCGGGAGTTGGTTCTCTGTCTGTTCTTCTTCAGCTCATCAGTGGCGCTCATCTGTGAAACACAATTCTCCTTGTTCCGCCCGGGTGAAGATGGGGCGAATACTTTATCTGTACGATGGAGCCCTCCCGTAGGAGACCCTGGTCTTACTTCACCAGTCCCTCACGAGGTTCAATAACAGCGACTGGCCATTAGCACTATAAGCTGCATGAGGGCTCAATATGGCGTTTCCTGGAGAGAATCCAGCCCTGGATGCCGAGACCAGAGTCTCGATATTGCTGGGCGTCTCTATTGCCTTTATTATCGCCTCGACCGTTGTGGTGGCGCTGAGGCTCTTTACCCGACAATATGTCGTGCATGGACTTGGGCCTGACGATTACACCATCGTTCTTGCGCAAGTATGTTGTCCTCCAGACTCGACAGTGCTTTGCAATTGAAGCTTACAGTGTCTCTTTGCTATACAGTTCTTGAACTTCGGGGTGTCTGCAACGACTATACTTCGTAAGCTTGTTCCCAGCCTACGACTTCAGCCCCTGAACAATAACTGACCGGGTACAGAGGCCAAGTATGGTCTGGGGAGACACGTATGGCTTGTAGACAATGAATCCAACATGCAGCAACTGAAGGTATGCAACTTGACATCGAACCCTGGAGCTTAAAGTGGTTACTGACAGAAAGCCATAGTCGCTCTTCGCAGCCATGATCATTTACAACCTCTCTCAGATCATCACAAAGATATCATTTCTCTTACAATACCGCCGCATCTTCCAGGACAAGTTCACACAGCGGGCATGCCTGGTTCTTCTCGTATTCCTCGGCACCTGGGGGTTCGCTCAAGAGTTCCTCGTCGGACACGCTTGCGTCCCCGCCTCCATCATCTTTCCGAGCCTGGTCGGAAAGTGCATCGGAGCACTGACGGTCTGGTACCTCACATCGATCATGAACATCGTCACCGACTTTATCGTCTTCCTAGTACCCATGCCGGCCATCCGGCATCTACAGCTACGCCGCAAGCAAAAGCTCCTCGTCACCGGCGTCTTCTGCCTCGGCTTCTTGTCAGTTGACTGCTTCCGTATTAACTCTCTCCCCCTCACCTGTCTTCTAACCAACGTGCAGTGTGTGAGCTGACAACGTCGCTTGGCGGACAATAGCACCTGCATCATCTCCATCGTCCGCCTCTTCACCCTGCGCGGCGCCATCAACACGGACGACCCCACGTGGGACAACGTCCCGACCTCGTACTGGACGGTCGTCGAGCTCAACTGCGGCATCATCTGCGCCAGCATCGCGACCCTGCGGCCTCTGCTGCGGCACGTCTTCCCGAGCCTGTCCTCGCACAGTGCGGCCGACTACTACCTGAAGCAGCCGTCGACGCCCAAGGGCTCGTCCATCGCCGCCGGGCGGAGGGTCAGCAGCGGCGGTACGGCCTCAGCGGCGGCGGCGGCGGCGGCGGCGGGACGCGGCATCGACGGCATATACGCCCTGCGGGACGTCGAGTCCGGCGGCAGCCAGGACGGGCTCAACAAGAGCGGCGCGGATGAGTACTACGGGTGGACGGGGTACGGCTGGAACGGGGTGCCGGCGTCGAAGCTGTCGACGTCGGTCCGGGGCGGCAAGGCGGGACGGGAGGCGGGTGCCGCCGGCGAGGACGGGAGCTTCGGGTCTACGCTGGCAGGAGCCAGTCCGAGGCAGATCAGGGTCACGCGGGAGACAACATTCAGAGAGTCAAGGAATGACGTCTCTTGGAAGTGAAAAGGGATGGCTTCTACTTTCTCGGTTTGCTCGACATCTTAAAAGGGGTGGTGCATTCCAGGCGGTCTGGTGCAATGGAAGGTTTGCATATTACGTGCAAAATTCAGTACTACGATAATGAGAAAACTTTGACATATTTCAGGAGTAATTTTGTTCTTCAAAATGGAAGAGTAGCCTACCATCCATCCTCTCACTCACGCCCAACACAATCACTCATCTATGTTCTGGCATGCTGAGTAAATGGCGGATCAAATTCTGAAACAGTTGTAAGCTCGGCCGAGATGTGAACGGGTTGTACGAAACGCGGCGAATCCATGTAGTGAACATCTAGGTACCTCAAAGTTAGTCAATAGCTCACTATTGCCTCTATCTCAAGTTGGCCAATACTAGCTTCGCCATTATTGCCGCTGTTTCTTTTTAAAGAGACCGATAAAACCTGGTACTTCCTTCTGAGAAGAACATGTTATACATAAAGAATTCGATAGAATCTTATCAAAGCTCGGAGATCAATGTAACTGTTAGGCTCATTCCACAACCATTATTGTAACGTGAAGTGTTGGCCATTCGAGAGTTGAGTCATGACTGTTGTTTCAAGGATAAGAGCGGTATCAGTCCTAATCCTGCAAGGATAGGCTGGGATATTGCTCAGGTTCAGACTGCCACAGAACACAAGTGACCACAGCGCAACTGTTCTGAAGACCCCTTGAGCTGACCAAGCTCGAGGAATCACCAAGTGGAGCAGTTCATCAACTTCAACTGGGATTAGGTTACTAAAGTCTTTAGGCAATGCCAATAGCAATACGAAGGCTACTGTATCTTAGTGCTTCTCCCAATACAAGTTAGCGGCAACCCTGGTATCAAGGTTGATACCACGGTGCCAATATTAGCTAGTATGATAGGTATGATAGGGTTATGGATATGGAACCTCAATACTCGTAGTAATCTGATCGTATTCTTGTAGGGCCGAGACTTCCTGCTAACCAGGAAGTTTTTTGATGACAATAACTTCGGTCCTGACGTTGTTCAAGATGGAGTGGCTGGCAACGGCAACCCGTAACACGCCTCCGGAGTTAGATCCATCAGCTATGCAACACCGACATTGGCTAAACGGCCAACCTTACAATGCAAATCCTCAAGGAAGCCCGCACTAGCGCCCCGAGGAGAAAGCTCTTACATCACCAGCCACCTTCCCAAAGCCGCGTCATGATCATAAAGATGCGTTGCACCCTCCGAACTGGGGAGTTTGTAAAGAAACCAGACCAGGGCAAACGTGTTTTGTTACTTGACTTGTGCAAGAGGAAGATCAGAGTATAGACCTTGTTTGGCCGGCTTATACTAGAGAACCCGATTTTCTGTCAGTCCTGTCTGGTTACCAACCCCTTTTTCTTGGAAAAGGCTATCCCACAAGATACATTATACCCCTAGGTCAAGTTCATTTCATAATGAGGGATGGTGTTTTTCTTATACATCTTGGTCACACATCTTTCCCGCCTCAAGCAAATCGCTATGCGGCTCTCCTACGGCGTGAACTGGTGTGTCCCGCAGCTCCGGTCCTCGAGCTGCTTATTCCCCATGGACCTGTGTGTCTCGCGTCTGAGTGGGCGGGATGTGTTACTCCGGGGACTTGCAATTGGCAATTTTCCCGCCTCATTTCCGGATAGACGCGAGACGAGACCGATTGGTCTGCAACGGGACAAACGCCCGAAAAGGTCTGTGTTGCCAAGCGCCCCGGAGCTGCAAAACACCGACTGTGCCTCCCTCGTGGTAAGCCCGTTCGCTACCGAACCATCGTAACCTCTCGCTTTGCGTCAAGATCCTCCTACGGAGTACAACTGTGGCCACCTTCAACACAGGGGAAGCAGAAGGGCTTGTTCCACTCGCAAGGTTAGGAGGGAGGATTTTCAGCACTAGGAGCCTACTCCGGCCGAACTATCCGGAATCTTGGTATGGAGATGTTCCTGCGCTAGGGCGCGTCAGGTTTGGCAACCTTACCCTGGTCAAGGAGCTGAAAAAGTATGTGTGTGTGTAGAGAAAATCCCGCATGCCATCTGCGGGATGGTGGTGTGTTGTTGGTTATTCAGTGGGGGTAAGTTATGGTTATGTTGCAAGCCTAATCATGCAAGCCCCTGAAATGCGTGAGCCACCCTGACGAGGAAGCGGACTGGGGGATTGGATTCAGACTGGAATTTTTACCAAGGTTTCCTTCGTTTAAAGAAACATTTTGAAGGATCGGGAAAATGGGGCAAAGGAATGCCAAACATCCAGGGCCCCTCAAGTCAGCGTTACAGGGCTGGGTGGCGCTGTTTAGCTCTCCTGATCCATCACGGCCGTGTCGACTACTCCTTTGCGGGCCGCCGGCCTACGGGCGGAACGAGGCCCGGACAGTGGCTAGCTCAAATACGGGGCCGCTAGACATCACTAAGCCCGCTCGTATTAGTCAATAGCGAAGAAAGATCGCGTGTGAGGATTGATGACCGTTTCACGGTCTTACGATGGTCCTTCCACATAGCAGGGGCTAGGCAAGTAAATGAGAGTGCAAGTAGAAGGCAGAAAATATTCCGATTGTAATCGAATGACCCTATCTAACTAAGGCTGCCGAGGCAGCATATCCGAAGTGCTTGGCAAATGTACAACTTTTTTTCAGCCCTTCCAAGTCGTCCTGAGGATGACCCCCTGAACGATGGGACAATCCAGAGCAATCGTGTAAACCTAGTTTCCCTAACGCGCCATGCCTGCTTAAGAATAGACTCGTATTTACCGTGTGGAATAAAGAAGAAAGGAAGAGAAAACAAAAGAACAGACGTGCACCTCTATCGTCGGTCGTCGTAGGTGACTTCGTACTGTGTGACTTTGTGGATCCCCCGGTATCCCGTCTCGACATCGGGCGTCGACCTGCCGCCCGAGAGCTCGTGGGAGGAGGAGCCCTTGCGGTGCAGGTTCTCCTGTGCCGGCGTGGACAGGATGTACTCCTCGCTCGTGTCGTCGCTGCCCACGGGCTTGCTGCTCCCCCGGCCGTTGACGGTGGTCAGGCAGATGCCTCGCTCCTTCTCCTCGGGGACCCAGTCGTTGCGGCTCGTGCCCGCGTGGCGAAAGGAGCGGTTGCCGGTGCCGCTCATGACCCCCCCGCCGATCGTGCGGCCGTGCGAGTTGGAGGCCACCGAGTTCTTGGCGTTGGTGCCGAAGAAGCGCGGGAAGATGTAGGTCAGGGGCAGGCGGCACATGGGCATGCACGCGCAAATAATGCCGAGGTGTTCTTCGATGATCGTCCAGATCGTGGAGGCAACGTCGTCTGTAGTGAAGGGTTAGAGGGCGCGCGTGTTAGACATGGAGACGGGCGTCTGTCGAGAGACCGGTGGGATATCGAGGAGGACTTACAGGTTGTGTCAGGGCTAGTTGTGGAAAAGTCGATAGTTTGCATGCGGAAGATACTCGTGATAGTGACGCTGCAGGCCTTGTTAGTGGTTTGATGGTACTGAAAAAAGGAGTGGCATGACGAAGGGGAGACACTTACAAGCCACCCAGAAGAAAGACGGCCATCAGGGCGATCTTCTGGACTCTGGGCAGGGCAGAGGTGTAGAGCGGTTGCAGCGGCAAGATCAGGATGAGGACATCCGTGGCGATCGAGTAGCCGGCGTTGGCATACCAGTTCTGAGTGATGCTGATACAGGTGCCGGGGACGCGCTTGTCCCATGCCCTCACGACCGGGGTACATTGCCAGATGGCAGCGCAGACAGCGGCGATCATGTAGGCGACGACAACGCCCAAGAGAATGTAGCAACAGACGCGGAACCATTTCTGCACAAAGATGCGAAGATACAGCAGCAGGATGGAGGCTTTGGTCATGTTGATGGTGAGTTTGTAGAAGATCTGGGCGATGTAGAAGACCTGTGGTCGTGACACACAAGTCAATCATGGGGTACATGAGGGCGTCCTTGCTAATGCGATTCTCACCTTCAATGTCATCAATTTGTTGTCAGTGGAGAGGTTCTTGATGTGCTGGCCGAACCCATATGCACACGACACCATCATGAGTGCCGAGACCAGCTCAGCAGAGACCTATCAGGCCCTGTTAGTTCCAAGACCCAGACAAGGCAACACCAGACCATCTGAAAGGAAGATCCGTCACTTACGAACGAAGCTGCGATGGCCCAGTCGTCAGCACCGATATGGTGCCCTCGCTGGAAGCGCGACCATATCCGAATACCCAGGAAGATGGGCGTGACGATGAAGAAGACAATACAGGGAATCTGAATCTGGAGAGCGTTGCTCGGACCAGGAATGTTGCCCGGGACGGTATACATGGTTGTCCGTCGTGGCCTTGTCGTTATCGTTGATTCTTGGCTTGATCGTCCACACTCGGCGTGTATTTGTTGTCCGGCACTGAGATGACAAGAATAAGCTCGCGATATCGATCTCCCACAGCCAGGCCTTTATGGGGAAAAGATCATCGGCAGACAGCGGCAGACTGAACAGGGGAGACAGTCTAGACGGATGGGACAGGGTCGGTGGTGACAGGGCCCTCCTTTAAGGTTTCTGTGCAAGAGGATGCGCTTGTGTGGAGAGCTGGACTTGTGACACCACACGACGATCACCTTGTAAAATCTGGGAACGGGTTGGGGAACTCCAGGAAGCGAAGCAAGGGGTAGATAGGCATGGGAGACGCTCAGAAAGTGATAAGTGAGCTCTGGCTGGAGGATCGATCAGGGCCTGGGACATGGACGGTCGCCTTCAGGACCAGCCCCCCTAGTGTTCCTCAACCGCAACCATGGACGACGGTGCATTCGGACTGTGGGAGAGAGCACTTCGCTTGTTGCAGCTTGCATGAGGAGGCGCTGCGGCACAACGGGATCGACCGGATTTGCAACCCTCTTTCCAAGCTCGGCTCGAGTCCACAATGAGCCCACCGAGGCTGTCTTGGACTAGGGCAGCAAAGAGAAAAGAGAATCCAGACTTTGTCCAAGATGGACTAGTTGGGGATGCATGTCGGGCCACCAATTGCTTGAACTTGCTGAACCTTTGAACCCCCACTGGAGGACCAGAGACCCGGATGATACAAGTACAAGTAGATCTGAGAAGAAGCAAATTACCTCGGCGCACCCACCTGGCTGGGCCTGGCACATTTCGTGTCACATTCCGCAAATCCTGGTCATCTTTCAGCGAGGCGAAGTCGAATCGAGTCGAGTCGAACTACACCACACCCATATGCTCAAGATGGGATGTCCCTCTTTGACAGACTGCTGGCAGGACTCCACAGCGAGTGACGGGAGGCTACCAGAACCAAGATAGGGCGGGCGTGGCATGAGGCCATGGACAGACTTGGTATGGGCTACTGCGACCCGGCCGTTTTGGAGAGCACAGACACCGCGAACGGTCTGGAAGATCAAGACTGGCGCGGTACGCTATTGCCCCGAAACCCGGCGCTTGAGGACCGTAGCGTGCCCGCCGAAACGCCTTCAGGGCTGAAAGCCAGTGGCGCTGGTATCAATGAACAAGCCTGGTACGACGCTCTCTTTCTTGGCCGGTCGGACATTGAGAGCAGTATTGTTTGCCAGGGTCCTGGAAGACCACGTCCCCTCCGGCATCCTGCGAGGCCGGACTGTACAACCAAGGACACGCAGGAGTGGTGCATTTGCTGTGGGCTCGCTAAGCTCCAGAGGGGATAGCCATTGTCGAGATGTTTGGAATCAAAAGGACAAAGCAGCGGCACAGCAGGAGGCTGGGTTAGATTCGATCATGCTGATTAGGTCGGCTTTGGTCGGATGGGGCAGGTGGTGGAGGATGGAGATGAAAAAGCAAATAAGGGGGCCACTAAAACCTAAAGTGTGTTCACCATTTTAGGAAAGAAGGAGAAAAAAGAAAAGAAAAGAAAAGAGCAACCCCTCTCCATCTTTGATTCATGACAGTCGAGTCGAGTCAATTGACAGAGGCTGGTTCCGAGACAGTTCTGGGACAGTTCTCCGTTGACCGGCCTGCGAATCGCCAGACCTGCATGCACTCGATAAACAGAGAGATCGATCGGGGATGCATTGCGCCCAAAGCTCCTCTCTCTCTCTCTTATCTGATGCTGATCAGCAATCCACTCCAGCTGGGCTCCCAGGAAAAAGGGACCGTCCCCATGACGATACCCACAAGGACAGGATCAACACAACGATCAAACCCACCGATTGAGGGCCCGTTGCCCGCCAGAAAATAGACTTAAAAGCAGCCCTGGAGCTCGGCGTCCTCGGGTCAGCCAAGGCCCACATAGTTACTGGCCAGTGCACCGTTGGGGATCATGCACTTGTACGGAGTAGGTAGACCCCCCTACATGGAGGAAATCCTGGAGACACCATGGGCCTCAAGGTAACCTTGCAGCGACTCTCGATGCAAATCTCGGCTGGAGCCCGCCTTATCGACAAGTACCTGCCTACCCTGCTACGGATGAACAACCAGCTGACCTAACTGCCCCTTCTGGTAGTGAGAGCAGGGCTATCTACAAGTATGGCGGTCGGATAGACCGGCAGGCAAGCGATGTCGCAGACAGAGGCCAGCGCTTCTTAGCTACAAGTAGTAGTGCTGACTTGGACTCGGCCGAAAATTTCAGGGTTCTATTGCATCAGGTACGTTACCTGAGGCCACTTTCCCAGGCAATTGATCAATCATGCCAGCATGCTGGCGGACCTGCATTGTCGCCTCGCAAGCGATGATGTCCTACCTGCGTCTGGGGGGGCGCCATCAACGGGGCAAGATGTCATCCTCCACATCACTACCTAGTCTGGTGCTTTGGTCCCATGTAAGGGAGGCTGTCATGATTTGGTGACAGCATCAGCAAAAGAATGCAAGGGGCAAATCAAGTTAGCCAGACCTTCCAGAGCTCTTTTCATCCACAGATACGCCTTCACCTCTGGTGGTCTGGGCCACGCCAAGAAGAGCACAGCCAAGGGACGCCAATTGGCCATAGGTAGCCCATTGTCTGCATCTCGAGTGACGTGAGTTCGCTACCAGATGCCGCGTCTGTACTCGAGCTTTCCCACGCTTGCCAGTCTTGGACAGGGTCAGTTATGTCGATCTTTGTGAGATCTGACCTTCTTCTAGAAGCTCCTCCTGGCTCCTTGGCTATCAAGGAAGTAGGTAGCGCTATTGATGAGGCTGACGATGCTTGCTCCCCAAAGATCACGGCCCAGACCCGTCACCATTGTAGGCCTACGACTTCTCTCCCTCTCACCACGCAATTGCCACGCCTCGATGATTTGAGACTCGCCAAGTGGTGGTCAAAATAGTTGGCGAAAGTCCATCAGGAGAGAGCTCAATGCTTATCCTTGCTGCGGAACTGGTCAGGGTTCTTCACTGCCTAAAGCCCATGGATTGGTAGGCAAGTGGTCAAGAACTTCTGCTAACAGCCGGTCAACTAATCTGCCTGGTATTCCTGCCTATTCCTGCCTACGGAGTAGTCCAGCAGGCGCTTACGAATCGATCGTTATGCGCATATCATGCTTAACTAAACTGCTGTTCCCAGTCCTGGCTCCTCTGCCCAGGGACGAGTCGAGCGAACCCTTGCTAGCAGGGGGGGGGGGGGGGGGAAGAGATGCAAGCTACCTAGGTATGCAACATCCAGCAACGGCTCCATCCCCCGCCCAAGCCATCTCTACGCTTCCCCCAAACCCGGCATCGCGCCGAAATTAGTGCCCTTCGTGGGATGATCCGTCATTTACGGCCCTTGCGGCCCTAGCACGGGACGACTTCGCCCAGCACATTGGTGCTCACTTCGAGCTACTGTACTGGCCGATGCGGGCTCATGGCCGACAGTGGCCGACAGAGACCAACAGAGACCAACCCCGGTCCAGGTCTCTCCCCGGCCCGCCCAATCTGCCTGTGCGTCTTCCTTATATACCTGAAGCTACAGCCGCAGTTCTGCTTCTTTCATTCCTTCTGTGTCCCATAGCCACCGTCCCTGTGGTTACATCAGTCTCTCCCGGCCATTCCATAACGTGGTAGCTCCCGGTCTTCGCTGCAGATGCACTGCAACGGTCCCTGGTAACCTCGTTGACAAGAAAGGGTGAGTGCCTGCGATCAAAAGCTCGGATTCCCATTGCCCAATCGGCTCCAGCTTGCTACACATCTGCCCGTCGATGCACAGTGAGCTGCTCGAGCTGCGTGATTTGTTGCATGTCTAGTGCTGCACATCTCCACCCCCACGTGTGTTCAGCTTGCTGATCTGGCTCTCCCTTTCTAGGTATTTTGTCACTCTCAAGCTTGCTTGGCACTGTCATCCTTCGTCGAGCACTCTTGTGTGACTTTGGGGTCCCGTCCAGCCAACCTTACTGCCTCTCTGGTCCTTGTGTCACGGTCCTTTCTCTCTCTCTCGTCACCATGAAGGCCTTCACTCTGCTGTCCGCCGTCCTCTCGGCCGCCCTCGTCTCGGCCCAGGCCGTGCACGTCGGCACCATTGACAACACCACCGTCCTGCCCGAGGACCTGAACGGCTCCAACTTCACCTACCCGTGGCCCGTCCAGCTGTACAGGTTCTCCTCGCAGCGCCAGGACCTCGAGATGGCCTTTATGGACGTCGCGCCCAAGTGCAAGCCCAACGGCAAGACCGCCGTCCTGCTCCACGGCAAGAACTTCTGCGGCCCGACCTGGGAGCAGACCGCGCGCGTCCTCGCCGCCAACGGGTACCGCGTCATCCTGCCGGACCACGTCGGCTTCTGCAAGTCCTCCAAGCCCCAGGCCTACCAGTTCTCCCTGCAGCAGTTCGGCTTCAACATCAACGGCCTCCTGCAGGCCCTCGGCATCAAGTCCGCCACCGTCATCGGCCACTCCCTCGGCGGCATGACCGCCGCCCGCTACGCCCTGATGTTCCCCGACCAGGTCGACGAGCTGGTCATGGTGGACCCCATCGGCCTCGAGGACTGGAAGGCCAAGGGCGTCCCCTACATTGACATTGACGACACCTTCAAGACCGAGAGCGCCAGCACGTACGCGTCCATCCGCGGCTACGAGCAGGCGACGTACTACGTCGGCCAGTGGAAGGACAGCTACGACACGTGGGTCAACATGCTCGTCAACATCTACAAGGGGAGCCAGGGCGCAGCGTACGCCTACGATCAGGCTCTCGTCGTCGACATGGTCCTCACCCAGCCCGTCATCTACGAGTTCGGCCTCATCAGGCCTCGCGCCCTCCTCATCACCGGCGACAAGGACAACACCGCCATCGGCGCCCAGTGGTCCCCGCCCGACGTCAGGGCCAAGCTCGGCCACTACGACGTCCTGGGCCCCGAGGCCGCCGCCCAGCTCAAGAACGGCACCGGCATCCACTACCCTAATCTCGGCCACGCCCCCCAGCTCTCCGACCCCGAGCTTTTCCACAAGGATCTGCTGGGCTGGCTGAGCAAATAAAAGGAGACAGGACAAACAAATAAACAAGCTCGACGTTGTATCATATTGTCACAACTTGTCCAAAAATACGATCGTTTACATATATATACCCACCCTCCTTTAGCATAGTACATATTCCCTGAATAGATGATAATGTATATTCGTATCTCCATGTCCATTTGGTAGGGGACGAGGCTTTCTGCTCGACCAGACCTCACAAGATGTCGGATTACTCTCGGCAGTAAATAAGAAAGTGCGTTTACACATGATATTTCCTACCTATGGCGACTGAGTCTTGTTCTGATATACATCAGGCTACGCTGCTCCTATAATAGCAGGTCCGGGCCATTGACTGCCAGGCTATCACCATAGTATGAGTGGCCCGGTATATACGTTCATGTTTGTCACGCTATGCTCGTCTCATAGTTCGAGCCACGTTAGTGTGTACGATTACATGGGACATTAAAGGGTTCCGTATATAGTACACATTGTGGATTATATAAAATGTTAATATCAAAGAACAGATGAGTTGGGTGTACCCTGTTTTCCATTTCACCAACGAGTCCTCTTGCACAAGACAAACAAGACACACTCCCTTTCTCAAGCTTTGACGCATTCCAAGATGGCAAAGGTGCCCTCCCTGACAACCTCTTTGATCTTGAGCCCGGCCCTCGAGGTGATGCTCTCGAACCCGGCTAGGTTCCTCTCCTTGCCCCCTATCGCCAGCATGTTGATGTCGGAAGCTGCCGACTGCGGAGCTGGCGGGTCGTCCAAGAGCTGCTCCTTGATGAGGACCCTGCTGTCCGCCGCCATGGCGTCCGCGAGCCGAGCCAGCATGCCCACGCACTCATCGTCGCCATAGTCGTGAAGACAGCGGCTCATGTAGTAGGCGCAAGCTCCTAGGTCGAATGGTCGCTTATCATGCCCCTGTTATGGAGTCATTGTGTTTTTCAAGGGATCAAAAACATACCCTTGATGGGCTGCTCCCGGTGGAAGTCGAGGGCCACGAGCTGCGCGTCACGGATCGGCCCGTCGGCAGCCTCCCGCACCGCGTCGAGCACGGGCTCGAGGTCCTCGAGCACGCAGCGCCTGATGTCGAGCCCGGGCGTCCGCTCGCAGATGGCCACGAGCGAGTGGCCCCGGCCGCCGCCGACGTCGACGACCAAGGCCCGGCGCGGTGACTCGGCGGCGGCGGCGACGACCCAGTCGAAGCTGTAGCCCGCGACGACGGGCACGGAGCTCTCGAAGAGCGCCATGGCGGCCATCATGCGCGCCTTCTTCGCGGGGTCCTGGTTGACGATCTCCCAGACCGTCAGGCCGTCCTGGCCGTCGGCAAAGGCCTTGGGCGTGTGGCGGCGCGAGGCGGGTTCTTTCCTGCCGTGCTTTTCAAAGTACGAGGGGAATGAGAACATGGGGATCAAAATGCCCTCGACCCTAGTTTTGTTGTGTACATTTCAGTAAGTCCTACTACCAGAGACGGACAGCAGTGAAAATAAGGATGGAGAGAACAGAGACTGGGATGCTAGAGAAGCCCTACCCGTAGGACATTAATGCACCGCCTATACTGCCGCTTGCATAGAACCGGGACCGATCGGTGTGAGAGATGCCCTTTCCGTCGTATTCGAAAACGCCTGTAGACACCAAGATCTGGGCCAAACGTCCTTCCCGATATCATTAGCAAGTACGTGTCATGGGGAGAAGACAGAAGCTCCATACTGATCAGTGATACATCGGCATCAAGCTTGCTGGCGAGTTCTTGATATGAAATGGTCCCTTCCTCCGGGATGACATCAAAGGCTTTCCACTGAATGAATAGTGCCAGGGCAGCATCTTCGGTGTAGATGACGAAGCGGTCCATCAGGTGCTCAATGGGCGTTTTCGTTAGGTGAGCCAAAGCATGCGCACTCTTGGCTATTACTGCTCGGTGTTGTGCTTCTTCCTCAGGAGACTTGTTGTCACGCTTCAGGGATTCGACAGAGTCGGCGATTTGCTTCGCTAGAACCTCCATCTGGGTTGACATAGCAAGGGTTGTCACTATATTGTCACAACAGAGATTGTATATTTGGGTAAATGATATGATAACAACGGGCAAATTATTGGGAACAATGTTCCGTCTTGCCCTTTGCCGCAGCCACCCTATATATACTCAGTATTGTCCGAAGAAATGCCCGGCCAAACAGGTGACGACCCGAATTTACGGCCGACTCAACCAGTAACATGGCAAACATCATGCCCGTCTCGTCAGGCCCAATAATTCATGGTATTAGTTCCCATAATCAGGACGCGTTAGTGGGGTTCTGATTCGGCCTTCTCGTTCTCGGAGGACCTAAGAAAGGTCGGCCTCGGGGATAACTACTACGGCACGGCCCTCCATCGATGGCACTAACAGGTCTATGTCTGATACGAGGGAAACTTCTGGATTTCTCAGGTCTCCAATAGCTCCTTGATCGTCATGGGTGAAATAGGAAAGAATCCTCATAGTTTGAGAAGCTTTGTCATTGAACTCTATGTATTGCCCAGCCAATGTGTGTCCTCTATACGGAACCCTTGAATACCCTATGTAGTCTATTCCATGCTGAAAACAAGAGAAAACGCCAATATGTGAACCCCAACTTGCGACACCGAAACCCAAGAACATCGTTATCGACAGGCCTCCTATGTACGGCCAGACCCTTAGATGACAATAGCAGCATACATGGCCATCGCACCGGCCGCAGCGACAGGAAACGCCGTCCTAGCCGGCGCGGCGGCATTCGTGGACTTGGAGCCCATGGCCGATGTCACGACGGAAGCCGCGGCCGACACCTGCGACGGCTGCGCGCCTTTGATGGCGTTGCAGATCTGGGGCGCGACATCCTTGGCGGCTGTTGTGGGTGTCGAACGATGTTAGCCATCGTACATAGAACATACGGGGTAGTACCAAGTGAGTAAGGGGAGTGGGAATTCACGCATAGAACAGGGAAAGTAACGACAGGCGGAAAAAAAAAAAAAAAGAAAACATGAAGATCGGAAACGTACTGTTGATCTCGGCGGGCTTGCAGGACGACGTGATGATGCAGGGGCCGAGGGCGGCGAGCAGCTTGGACTGCGCGGCGCACAGGCAGGTGAAGTCGCTGGCCTGGCAGTTGACGCTCTGGGCGGCGGACTCGAGGCACGGCAGGGCGCACCTGGGCAGCTGGCTGACGAGCGAGGGGAGGTCGGTCGACGACGCCGAGGCTGCCGACGCCGAGGTGGAGCTCCCGCCCGTCGACGCGGCTGTCCCGGAAGCGGCGGCGGCGCTGCCTGCGAGGAAGAGCGGGATGGACACGCTGGAAAACTTCATTGTGGTTGTGATTTTCCGGAAGTGGAAGAAGAAAGTCTCGGAAGATGAGAGAGTTGCAGGCCGTCAATGTATAAACGAGTGCGCTCGTATCCGAGAGATACCGGTCCTGCCGGGTTTTATGCTGGGCCCTTCTTGTGAGGCGGTCCTTGCGTAGCTGGAGAGGGAACGATTCAGAGTCCGGCGGTCGTCTATTTTGCACCCGAAACTACGGAAAGAATCGTACGAAGGCAAACGCGATCTAACAAGATATCTCGCAGGTCTGAAAGGAAAAGAAAAGACGTCGACAATGGCAGCAGCAAGATGAATGGAGCACGAAACACGCAAGCAGTGAATGTCTCATCATTTTTAATGCGGACCCTTTGACAAGAAGATATGATGTCAGTTCCACATAAACCAAACAGCACTGCCTCACCAAACACGAAGCCTCTAAAAAAAAAACCGTCCATCCTTTGACCTGTAGAAGGGCCACGGTGGGGGTTTGATGGGGGCCGCTAGAGAAGCACCCGAGTCGTACGCGGTGCAATGTTCCTGATGATCAATCAATCACCTGCAATGGAATGATGATGCCTAGCGCTTGGCGGTTCCTCGAAGCGCCAAGAACAGCCTCAGCATCTGCTGCTCTCTGGCAAGCGGCTTCCTATCCCTTTGGCAGGGTCGAAAGAAAGACTGACGGCCCTGCAGAAGAGACGGCCGGGTCTGGGAGGCCTTTGCCTCCATCTCTCGAGGCGCCTCGATGCCTGCCCGGTAGATGTGCCGCGCGTCACACAGCCGATCCCAATCCGGCCATGTTTCCAACTGTTTCAGACTTTCGATCTGCCGTTTACTCGGCATTCCAGATATCAAGACATGTGTGTCCACAAGTCTCGACGGAGGGCTCCAGTCATGGAACGGGCTATTTGAAGTTCAGTTTCTCATCTTCAAGTCACGATACAATAGGGAAGCCGCCATCATTCAAGAAAACCGTGGTTTCAAATCCTTTCATTGAATGCATTTCATTACACAAAGTCGCCCACAGAGTTTCCAGACTACCCAAGTGACCTTTACACATGACACTCATTACCAAGGGGAAAAACGAAGAAAATAAAAAGAGGCACCCTAGACATCATGGTCGTTCCCACCCGCAGCATCATCTAAGCTGCTGCGTCAGCTGTACAGTCTGATTTTGTTGCTGTTGTTGCTGCTGCTGCTGCCCCGGCCTGACTATGTAGTCCTGGTTCTCAATCGTCACGCTCTTGGTCATATGGTTGACCTTGTAGACGCCGACGAGACGAGCCGCCAGCTCAAACATGTTGTTGCGCAGGGAGATGACAATAAACTGGGCGTTCTTGGTCCGCTCCTTGATGTAGTTGGCAACAATCGAAACCTGGAGATCGGGGCTCGTTAGAACTGCAAGGGGACAGGGGGAGCGCAGAGGGTAACTTACATTGCGGAAATCCAAAGCAGCGTCAATCTCGTCCATGACGTACAGAGGCGTGGGCTTGTAGTGGTGCAGCGCAAACACCAAGGCCAGACTGCTCAGCGTCTTCTCACCACCAGACAGGTTGCTGATGTTCTTCCACGACTTCTTGGGGGGCATGACGCTGAACAGGATGCCCTCGGAGAAGGGGTCGAGCGAGTCGACGAGCTCCAGCTCGGCGTTGCCGCCCATCGTGATCATCTGGTACATTTCCTTGAGACGCAGCGAGATCATGCTGAAGCCCTCCATGAAGCCCTCCAGGCGCAGCCTGCGCAGGTCGTCGCACCGCTTCTTGGCGGCGTCGCGCGACGACACGGCGGTCGCCAGGTCCGAGGAGCGCGCCGCGTGCTCTTCGACGCGGCGGCGGTACTCGGAGAGGACGCCCAGGTCGACGTTGACATTCTGGGTCTTTTCCTCGAGCAGGGCAATCTCGCCCTTGAGCGTCTCCTTGCTCATGTCCGCGAGCTCATCCTTGGAGTAGCGAGGCAGCTCCAGAGAGGCAGCGCGGTTGATGACTGCGGTCGTGTCGGCCTCAAGCTGCTCATTGGGGTCGGGCTCGGGGGTAGACTCGAGTGAGCCTTGCTCCTCGTCGGTGGGCTCGGCCTTAACGAGCGGCTTGCCGTATTCGAGGTCGTGAATGTCTTGCAAGGCCAACTTGGACAATTTGTCGTCCCAGTACCGCTGGCGTTTCTGGTTCTCGACAAGAACCTTTTGATTCTCCTCGAGCTTGTTCCGCATCTCGATCTCAACTGCACGAGTCGTGTTGAGCTCGGAAGTCTTCTCGTCGAGTTCAGACTTGAGCTCGGCCAGCTCTTGCTTCTTGACCTTGAGGCTCTCCTGAGCCTCGGCGACCGCAGTCTCGAGGGATTCGGCCTTGTCGCCCTGGTTCTGGATCTCGTTGTCCAGCTTCTCCATGTCACGAGTGCTGGCATCCAGCTCCTTGGTGGCCTTGGCGCGGTCTTTCTCGAGCTTGGCCCGCTGCTTCTCGGCCTTGACTTTCCTGACCTCGGCGTTAGAAATCTCCTCGTTGTGAGACGAGATTTCTTCCTTGATAGAGTCGACCTTGGCCCTCTGAGCCCTCAGCTTCTCACCACCAACCTCCATGATCTTGTCTTGGAGCATCTTGATCTCCTCCTCGACGCTGGCCGTCTCCCCGTGGAGCTTCTCAACCTCCTTGTTCAGCTTGGAGATCTCCTTCTGCAGGGCGGCAATGCGGTTATCGTCAGACTGAGATGGCTGGTGCTCCTTGCTGAGTTCCTTGATGCGGCGCTGGGCGTCGGCGAGGTTCTTCGCCGAGCTGCCGAGCTCAAGGTTGATCTTTTGCATCTTGGTCTCGAGCTGAGGGATCTGCTCTTTCAGTTCCCGGAGACGCGTCTCCATCTGGCGTTGGTAGTCCTGGAACTCTTGGAACTTCTTCTCCCACGAATCTCTGTCACCCTCAAGCTTGTCGACCTGCTCCTTGGACGTATCGGCGACAAGCTTGGAGGACATGAGACCTTTCTTCTTGGACGAACCTCCACCGGACATGGTACCAGACTTGTCGATGAGCTCTCCGTCAAGAGTGACAACCCGCCATCTCTTGGCGCCGTAAGCGATGCGATTTGCTTGCGCGAGATCCTTGGCTACAAGAGTGTCTTGCAGAGCATGGTAGAAGGCAGGGCGGAACTTGTCCTCCTTGGCACTAACCAAGTCGAACAAGCGCGGCGCCTTTTCAGGGGTCTCAATGGGGTTGAGGTCTCGGACTCGAAGCTTGTCCAAGCAAATGAAGTTACCGCGTCCAAGGTTGGTCTTGCGGAGATACTCAATGCATTGCTGGCCCGCCTCGACGGTGTCGGTGACGAAATTGTCGAGGGCACCACACGCAGTGGAGATGGCGACGTCGTACTTGGGATCAATCGTTCCCAAGTTTCCGAGCCGTCCGTGAAATCCCTCGATACGGCCAGATTCCTTCATACGCATGAGGGCAGTCAGGACATTGCTCTGGGTCTGGGTCTGCGCAAGGCTTGACCTGGCTTCGTCAGCCTTTTGCCGAGCATTGGAGAGCTTTGATCGGATCTTGGGCTCTTGCTGGGCAAGAATGTCCAGCTCAGAGGTGCACTCTTTGGCTTCTTTCTCCAGCTCGTCCTTCTGGACCTGGCACGCCTCGAGTTCCTCCGTCTTCGCAGCTCGTCCCTCCTCGATAGATGCAATCTTGTTCTGCATCTCCTCAAGGGCCACAGCGCCTGCATTGGCCTTCTCCTGGAGAATGGCAAGCTCACTCTCTGCAACAGCAATTGCCGACTGCTTCTGGTTGATCTTTTCGTTCCAGGGCTCGAGAGACTTTTGCTTGGCGGCGATCTTGTCGGAGAAGGCTTGAGTCTTGCCCTTGAGACCCTCACGAATATTTGCGAGTTCCGCTTCCTCCTCAACGACCTGCTGTTCAAGGTTGGTGATCTCCTGGCTGCGGGTCTCAATATCCTGGGTGCATTCCTCGATGGTCTGCTCGGCCTCCGCTGTGGTGTTCTCGGCATTGGCAATGGTCTTCTCGAGCTTCTTGCGCTTGTCGGTCAAGAACTTGCGCTTTTCATCGAACTTGACGCGCTCCTGATCAAACTTGGCCATCTCTTTGGCTAGGCTCTGGGTCTCCTTGTCCTGAGCCTCGTATTCTTTGCTGCCTTTTGAGTATGCCTTTTCGAGGTCCTTGATAACCTTCTCGCTGCCTTGGTGTTTCTCGAGTTCGGCATCGAGCTCTGCTTGGATCTGACCAATGGCTTCTTCGGTGACGGCCACATTGTCGCTGCATTCGCTGATGTACACTTGGTACAGCGCAGATTGCTTCATCACGAGCTCGTTTTCATCCCGGATGTAGGCAATCGCCTTGTTCTTCTTGTCCTCAAGGCTGTTCTTCTCCTTTTCGACGTGCTGCACACGCCCACTCTTCTCCATGCAGATATCGTTTAGAGTCTCCACCTCGGCTGCCGATTCTTCGATTGGCGTCTTGTACTTTGATGTGCCGATGATGTCTTCGAGGTACTCCAGCAGACCATCTTCGTGCTCATTCGCGGCCTTCGGCTTCATCTGAGCAATAGACTCAACCTCGCCCTGAAGAATAAGGAAGCGCTTGTGGTCGAGATCGACGCCTCGCTCACGGAGGAGAGTGGTGACGGTCGTGAAATTTGATGTCTTGCCGTTGATGTAGTATGTGCTCGAGTTGTTCTTGAATGCTTTTCTCGAGATGACGAGATCCGAGTCGGGGATTACATTGTGACTGCCACCAGGCTATTTGGGAGATGGGTTAGTATACACGTCATCCTGAGCCAGCGGATTAGTTTCTTACCATGTCCATAACCTCCTGGAAGTGTACAGCGACCTCGCAGTAATCCAGGTTTGGATACTGTGCCGAATTATGGATAAGGGCAGACAGCTTGCCCTGTCTCATCTTGCTCGCCCTGAAGCCAAACACAAAGAGCAGAGAGTCGATGACGTTGGATTTTCCGGAACCGTTGGGCCCGACGACGGAGGAGAAGGTGGAATGGAAGGGTCCAACCTCTTGCCTTCCGGCGTAACTCTTGAAGTTGGTCAAGATCAGATAGGTAATGACGATGCGCGACTTCGGACCGGTGTCCTCAATGATGGGAACAGTCATGGTTCGCGACTTCAGCACGATGTCCATGGGTTTCTCGAGGATGGTGTCCATGGCCTTGATCGGCTTGACTGTGGCAAGCGTCTCATCCGCCAAGGACGTTGGAGTGGGCTGTTCATTGATGGTTGTGCTGGTGATATCTCCCAACGGGGTCGCGGGTGGTTGCACCTGGGACGGCTCGGGGGACGCCGAGGGCTGGGGAGTCGGCATTGCGGGCGGCAGCTCTGGTGTCGCTGCTTTGGAAGCCCTCGGCGCGACGCTCTTGCGCTTACGCGGCGATGCCTTCTTTGGAGGTGAGTCGACATCCATCGCCGTCACGGTCTGGTCTGCCTCGAGAATCTCGCTGGGCTCGACACTGGCGGCGGGCGCGACGCTCTTCCGTGGCCTCCCTGGCTTCCGCGGTGTGGTTGGCGCTTCGGTCGTGGTTTTCCGCCTGCCTGCGGAAGACTTTCTTGGGCTCTTTGCGGGCGCCGGTGTGAACTCATCTTCGCTCTCCTCTGCGACCGGCGGCGGCGCGTCGACCATGTCGTCGTCCGAATCAATCACGGCAGTGCGCCGGGTGGCGCGTCTGGATGGCCGGGTCGACATGATGACAGCCGGGGAAGGGCTCGGGGAAAACAACAGAATAAAAAAGAGTGTTGAGTCTGATATGTGAAAGAAGAACCTCCTTCGAGAAGCGAAAGAAGGACAGAAAGGTCGGCTGCAACTTGCGCGCCTGACAGTGGTGATCGCAAAACCAATTAATCGCGATGACCAGGCGGTGTTGCTCCTGCCCCCACTGTTGATATTGCTTCCCGAATTGGGGTGTGGTAAACAAAACATAGGAGCAAGCCACGTCGCAGCCACACCACCATAGAGTGCGCGACGCCCGCTAAGTCTCGCCTTGACATAGGCGCGTTTGTGGCTGGTCCGCGCAAAGCAGCACGAGCCACTGCGTTTTATGCGCTAAGTCGTTTCTGGGAGCACCCGACTCCACACCAGCATCAGTAGCTACTACATGTACATACAGCAATCCAGATCATTGCGATTGGGTGTCTCGACTCAAACTCAACTACAGCATCGCAGGTTTGCCGCGAACGAGGTCAACATGGCTACAGCACTGGACTACGCGCAATTCCATCAGGTATTCAGGCCCGATGTCGGCTCTCCCTATGACCAGCACCTCATCCGTGAGGTTGAGGCCAACCGGAAGAGCATGAACGGGCTCCTGTTTATTGATCGAGTTCTGAAGGCGATGGGCATCACCAAAGGTGCGCGCATGACGCAGATGGAACATTGAACTCTTCACATTTGCATGCAGTAGCTAATCACCATGCTCTCTACAGCCAAGGTCTATCCTCCTCGAGGCGAAAACGGCCTGCACGCCCTCCATCAACAAATATGCGCGGCCAAGATGTCAACCCATCACAAGCTCTCCGTCCTCTACTATCTTCTCCTTGATCACGACGACGCTCATCCAGAGCGGGCCCAGGGTGCATACACATTTGCATTTCAAGCCGGAGTGCCTACGAAATACCAGCTCTTCATGCAGGGCTTGTGGTATATGGATCGACGGCAGTTTCCGGTATGGCCTTTCCACTCACGCTCTTGTCCCGGCTAGTTGTCTGACCAGAGAGAAGCTCGCTCTCGAGCATCTAGCTCACCCGTCACTACTCCCCGAGTTCTCCGACGATATCATCACCACCCTCGTTCATCAGGCGGAAAACAACGATTACAGCCTGGCCCTTGCGTACTACTACGCAGTCCAACCGGTGATCAAGGCATCCGAAACGTTGGAGCTACTTTTCGGGGCCATCGCAAGGACCAATGTGATCGAAGCTTTCAATTTCACGCGAGCGCAGTCCGAGCCGGCGCGTCAGCAGCTCTTTGAACAACTCATCGCCTCGGTCCTGGGCGGCGCAGCATCCCAGGACATCACAACGAGATCCTCTGAGCTCGTGGGCCTCCATTTCGACTCGTCCGAAGAGAGTTGGTTCCATGACTATCTGACGACTGGCGAGGGCCGAAAACTTAAAAAGGCAAAGGACACGGTGATGATGAGGCTGCTGGTCACTGGACAGTACCGTTCGGGTCTAGGCGAAAAGCAGATGGCCGGTCAGTGGGGTGTTGTCCTCCAAGGCTTCAAGCAAGGCATGGGCGGTCGTGCCGCCTACCAAGCATGAGCACATGGAGCACATGGGAAGAAAGATTTGCATAGCATTGGCGTTTGGTTTGGGGCATTAGAATGGGGATAGTGGCTATTAGCTACAGGCGCGATACCCTCCTATGTACATTCGGTCTTGACTTCCTCTGGAACCGTCTCTTAAAGTTTATGCTTAGTGAGAATATGGGGAGCAACTCAAAATAAGTAAAGGCCAGGATGAATGGTCCACTGATTACCATATGCAATACTACATGTCCCAATGTGGGCGCATCCATATGTTTATCTCGCTGTCCGATACAGCAAGGCTTGGCAGCAAGGCGTTCAGGATATATGAGTCTATTTCACGGATGGACTGGTATGCAAATGACAACGATAGTGTAGTATACTCAATATCAAGCTGAGTTGTGATGGAAACTCTGATCACTGTATGCATCCTGTCAGGTAATCCACAAGGCTTTATATCAGTCAAAGTCAGTCATCACATATGAAGCTAGTCAGGTTGCGATTGGAACACTGATAGGGTTTGAAGTAATTTGAAGTATATGCTCTATATTCTAGATGCAGTATTCATACACAAAGGTATTACAGATGCAGGCTGATGTGTGCTCGACAGTGAAAACTGGAGCATGATGCTAATCGTGGCGTAACAAAATAAGAAGAGAAAAAATCATTAGAGATCAGCATCGAGGACATTAAGCGTGATCGTTCAAATGCAAGTTTTTCCATCCAAGCTCTCGTCTTCATCGTAAAAAGGCAAACTCGATCATGATAGCGCGAAACCAGCAATGGCAGCAATGACAAGGGCCAGGGCGTTCAGTCCACCAAAGGCAGACTTGTCAGCACCGGCTGTGACGACAAAGGTCGAGCCCGTGGCGCCCGCTGTGCTGGTAGCGGTGGTGGCGTTGGCGGCGGTGGTGGAATTGGCGACGCTTATGGGGCCATTGATCACGCTGATGGGCGCATTGGCAACGCTGCTCGGGGCATTGAGGAAGGTTCCCGATCCGGAGGCGGTGGCGGTCACGAAAGCAGTGACGGGCACCAGCACGTAGCGAGTGGTGGTCTGGTCGATAACCGTGCGGACGGTGCTGTAGGCCGGGTCGTAGTAGATAATGGTCGGGACGTTGGCCACAGCAGTCTCCATGGTACCGTCGGAGCAGGGGACGGTCGTGGTCACGGCCACAATCTGCGTGAAGGCGGAAGAGATGCAGGGCACGGTGCTGGTGGTGAACAGCGAGTCCGTCACCGTCGTGAAAGGCGGGATGTCAGAATTGTTGGGGCCGTTGACGACAGCAGGGTCGGCCGAGGCGCCGGCGGAGCTGACCGGGATCACGGGAGCAGTGGTAGTGGTATCGACCGGCCCGGGGGCGGCAATCAGCGTGGAAGTGGTAGTGGGGAGGGCCGAAGTCGTGGCAGTGTTGGGCGCCGCGGCGGCGTTGCCTGTGGAAGCGACAGGGGCAGCTGCACTTGATGCAGGGCCAGCTGCGCTGGAGGCAGGGGCCTGGATAGGAGCTCCGCTGCCGTACAGCCAGACGGAGTAGATGAACTCGAAAGTGTTGGGGTCCATGCCACCACATGATTGCGATGCGTCCGCGTCGCAGGCGAAGGCGCAAGCAGAGTCGGCATACTTCTGTGAAACAGTGGGAGCGGCTTTGGAGCAAGAGCAGAATCTGAGACAACCATGTTAGTTGATGCAAATGGATATCATTGCGAAGATACTTACTGTGCAGAGAGTGCGATGTAGTTGTAACCCTTGGCAGTGCAGTAGTTGGCGCAGGCCTGAGGGCCATTGGGAGTCAGGGGATATGTGTCATCGAAAGTAGAGCTGACACCAACGCAACCCTGGTAGGTTCCTTGAGCTTGAACACCCGAGATAAGAAGGGATGCTGCAGTAGCAAGGGTGATGAAGGTTGAGGAGATCATGGTGGGTGATGTTCGACAGACTTGTCGATCGTCAAGTAAGGTAAGAGACGGGGTCCAGTGAGAGAAGGGATGCAATGTCTCAATAATAGCTAGTAAAGGGCAAGTATTGAGCAGATACTTGTCTTGAATGGATATCAAGGGTCTGATGAGATGAAGGAGATGAAAAAGATGCACCTAGGGAGGAGACGAGCCGCCCTTATGAACCCCTTCGAAGGGCCATGAAGCCCCTTGGAGGCCATGATAGCCACCACCGAGGTTGCAAGCTATTCTTGTCACCAACCTCACCGGAGAAGGTACCGACCACTCTAAAGCCCGGCCGCTATTGAGCGTTCATGGCTAAGACTCTGGGCCATGGCGGGCACATTGTCGGCGCAACAGCGCCAGCCAGGTACCGGCCAATCAGGCTGACGGACACAAATCCAGGAGGCTGTCAAGGAATGCACAAGACAATGGCCGGGTGCATTCCTGGAATAAATGGCCAATCAAGTTCCACGCGTGGCGCGGCGGCAACATTCCAGAGGAGAGCCGGCGCCGAGAGGAAGCCGCGCATCTGCCTGACAATCGAAGCAAGGGGACCCACGGAAGGCGTGAAGACCTCTGTAAAGCTGGCCCAGAGCTGGACTTTCTCAGGGCACTTGCCGTGATCCGGGCGCTGTTTCGCGGTGCATCTGCCTCCCCATCGCGGTCTGCAGTGGGCAAGGGATGGCGTCGGTCGCGACAGGACGGAGCTCAAGGGATGCAGATGGCATGTGGCACCCAAGCTGAGCGAAGAATTTCCAGCCCGATAGTACGACTTGTAACTGCTGACGGTAACGCAATGCCAGACAGCAAAGGCGATGGATGGGAATGCAGAATCCGATCATCCGCCGCCGTCCGCGCGGATGTGGCTTTGGATGCTCGATCTTCTCCGCGTGGCATTTCTTGGCATTTTCACTCTAAATTGGCGTGAGATGACTGCCACTCTGAAGAATGAGGCTACAGGTTAGCGCCCTGTGGCTAGTTAGTATGTCCTGCTAACAATTTTATGTCTGGCCTACCGCAGAAGCTGTTAGTGCCAACTGCATCTGTGGCTGAGGCTGGGATCCTCGAGGTGCCTCCCAGCCAGTTCCCAAGATCCATGGATGCCTCTCAAGTCTTGAGACGCTCCCCAGGAGCCTGAGAGAATGGAAGATCTCATGCCAAACCTGAAGTTGCTGTCGTAATCTCAATCCAGCATGGGGCTCGTCATAGTTCAACGCAGCCAGGTCTGCATGGACTCCCACTTCCCAGCACCCTTAGTCACATCACCCATTTAGCAACTCAGCCATTGGACTCTCGTGTGACAGCCGAACTTCCGGTCGACAGCACCACTTAGACTTACCTATGTCAAGGCATGTGGACCTGATAGTGGTGTTTTTGAAATAGTAACAGCGGCCCGAGTATCGAAGTGACACATGCCAGAAGTCTTTTCGCGACTTTGTCAGGGGTTGGAGCTAGCGAGGTGAGAATCCGCATCGATGATGACCTCTCGGACGCGGACACACAAACATTGGTACCCCCTACTAATTTGCTGGTCTACTACCTGCCATTGTTATCTTAAAAACGAAGAGTTGGAGAAGTCGAATTGGCCGGGAAGCCAAGATTCTGGACCCGAGCGGTGGAGGAACATCTCGAGTATCTTCTGGAGCTTCAAGCATGACTTGCATGAGCGTGAAGGATTCCTAGTTTTGCACGCATGTAAATCATTCAATGATAGCTGAAATCAAAGAAGAACAAAATCCATGAGGTGACATGAGAGACCGGGCGTGACACAAACTTTGGAAGTGTTGCAATTGCCATCCAGTGATCCATATAGCTCCGTGTCAAAGCTTAGCTCCGGAACTTTGCTACTACCCCGGATCATCCCAGCTGTGGTGGGCTTCTGCTGGGGTTCTGGACTTTGATCCCTTTGAGAAGACACCTGCTTCGTATGCCATCTCTGACTGTTGGGCAGCGTTTGCATCCCACCGTAGGGCTGGGAGCATTTGATCACGACAAATGGACGATCCGGTCTCGGTGGTAGGCATGCTAGTAGCTGGGATGGGGGCTGGTCAATTCGTCCCTAAGCCACCCTGGATCAGCCCAGAAATTCACAAATAGTTGCGTAGGGCCAGCTCAACTTGTGCGGTGAGCTTCTTGGCCTAGTCAAGGCGCAATTACGACCATCTGGTAATTTCTCACGCTTTTGGCTCTCTGATTACTGATTATGGAAGGTCGATCCGAGTTCGGCACTTGATCAGTCCAACTCCTCCAATGACTGCCTACTTGGACTTAGTTACGCTGGGCCGAGGTCTTGTTGACCCGGATGGTGGAGAAAACCGGGCCCATGCCCCCCCGCGAAACACACCGTGAACGCTATCCGTATGGCCTAGGCGCGCCGATGTCGACACACCAGAGCTACCGCCCGATTCGAGAGCTTCCCCCAACCCAAACCATGCAACTGCAATATAAAAGGACTCAATGAGCTTTACTTGAGAACTCATCGAACAAGACGCCTAATTTCTCGCTTGATTTCGGCACCATGTCTCGCGTGCTTGGCCAGAGATGCGCACGGCAATTGCTCCCCAGAGCTCGAGCGGCCGCCGGACGCCGGACCTATGCCGCTGCCGCTGCTCCGGCCTTCGACTGGCAGGATCCGCTCTCGTCCAAGTCACTCCTGACCGAGGAAGAGCAAGCTATCTCGGAAACAGCTGAGAGGTACTGCCAAGAGCAATTGGCGCCCCGCGTCCTTCGTAAGCTGCTCCTGATTTGAGTCCGTACCCCCCTCCGGAGCTCCGGGCTGACCCGGGTGGTTTTCAGAGGCCTACCGCGACGAGAACTACGACAAGAAAATACTCGAAGAGATGGGCGAACTTGGGCTTCTCGGGTCAAGCATAGAAGGGTACGGGTGCGCCGGAGTGTCCACCGTGGCCGGGGGTTTGATCACCCGTGCCGTCGAGCGGGTGGACTCGGGGTACCGGTCCGGCATGAGCGTACAGTCTTCCCTGGTTATGGGAGGCATCCATGAGTTTGGATCCGAGGAGCTGAAGGAGAAGTACCTTCCTGGCATGGCCAAAGGCAAGATTCTCGGCGCGTTCGGTCTGACGGAGCCGAATCACGGCAGCGATCCCGGCTCGATGGAAACGACGGCGAAGCCTCACCCGACGAAGGAGGGATACTACTCGCTCAGCGGGTCCAAGACGTGGATCACGAACAGTCCGATCTCTGATGTCCTGCTGGTATGGGCCAAGCTTGCCGAGACGGGTAAGATCCGGGGGTTCTTGGTAGATCGGAAAGACTGCCCGGCGGGGACGCTCGAGACGCCTGCCATCAAGAACAAGAACGGGCTGCGCGCAAGCATTACGGGAATGATCCACCTGGACAACTGCCCCGTTCCGAAAGAACACATGTTTCCGGAAGTGGAAGGTCTGCGAGGACCCTTCTCATGCCTCAACAGTGCCAGATATGGGATTGCCCTTGGTGTCATGGGTGCGCTCGAGGACTGCATCGACCGGGCACGAACCTACTCCCTCGAGCGGAAGCAGTTCAAGGGCAACCCGCTTGCAAAGTATCAGCTCGTCCAGAAGAAGCTTGCGGATGCTGCTACGGATGCCGCTTACGGTACCCTGGCCGCTATCCAAGTGGGCAAGCTCAAGGACCAGGGTCTGGCAACACCGGAGATGATTAGCATGGTCAAGCGCCAGAACTGCGATAGAGCGCTGCACCACGCCCGTGTGTTGCAGGAGATCTTTGGCGGGAATGCCGTGAGCGACGAATATGGGATTGGTAGGCACGTGGCCAACCTTTATGTGACCCAGACGTATGAGGGCCAGAGCGACATCCACAGTAAGTCCACCAATATCTGCAACCAAGATGCTGTCTTTTGTGTGTAAAATTGACATTTATTCTTCTAGGCTTGATTCTTGGCCGAGCCATCACTGGCATTCAGGCGTTCGTATAGAGCTTGGCGCAGAACACATAGTTTATTGTTGGTCAGGGGGAAATATCTCGCCTGGGAAAAAGATGAGCCTCAAGGAAGTGCATGCATGTACATGCACTATGATTTTCAATGGGATATCTCGGACCGCGTGGTCTTAACAATCCTGAGTCAGCGTAGCTCTGTGATTTGTCAAAAGAGGGCCGTCCTTTGTCGGATGCTGCCGGTGGTCGTCATTCACTGCTTGGCCGTATCAACTACCAGGCTTACATAAAGTATCGGTCACCATATATGAGTAAAAGGAGAACACCATGGCAGAACACCATGGCAGATTCACAATTGCGATCATATGTGTGGTAGCCATGTAAAGAAGAGTGCTTGGTGGACTTTTGAATCCTTATGATTAAGCCAGCTCGAAGATTATGTCACCTTCTTGAGCTGTTGGAACAGGGTGCAAATGTGTGCACAATGGAAATCCGTAGATGGCTGTGGAGTCGAGATTTGTTTGGGTCTGGGACGGCGTTGTCCGAGTGGCGTGGGCTCCAAAATATCTAGGAGCAGGTATCTTCCTGATGTCATTTGTCGCGTCGAGGTACACGAATGGCGATAGTGCCTGAACAAGAATTTTGGGTGGCGGTGCGACATTCCCGGTGCTGGCGGCTGCCAGGCACAGAGAGCACAGCCATCCACTGAACCCCAGCACTGCAGCACTGCAGCACTGGAGGGGGGCGTGCCAGGTCACACTTTGGGCGCGGTTAGGCCAGCAGGGCGCTGTGTTTCCATGCCTGATAGAACCTGATGATCGGGCTGCCTTGCGGTGACCCACCCTGCCAGCGACCCATTTTCAGCCAGGCGTCAAAGTTGACTTTCTCACTCGTCACTCCTCCTTCTTCCGACTTCTCCTCCGTCAACTCACTCTCGGTCCATTTCCCCCCTCGTCGCGAGAACCTCTTCGTCACCAGCTTCTGGCACCTCCTAATACCCCCCGGGTACGTCTGTCCTATTCACCTTGTCGCACTGTCGACTATTTCGAGCGTCCTTTGTCCGCCGTTGTCATCCCGTTCTGAGGTGGCAGCCTCCCGCAAAATTCACCCACTTTCTTCCGCTTTCGATTGTGGCTGACTGTTCATTTAAATTCAGCACTCGCCCTCCGCCATCACCACCACAAACCTGACCGACAACACTCGGAAGCCCACCTAACGAACCCAACCCAACAAACACATCAACACCCTCGAAAATGGCGTTGAAGCGAATCAACAAGGAGCTCGCAGACCTCGGTCGGTATGTTTATCCCCTTCAAAAACAGCGCACATCCTCTTTCCATGGCCCTTCAATCGGAGGTGGGGCAGGAATGAGCGGGGGGCGAAAGCCCTGCCCGGCGACTCATTCTGTCTTCATCGTCACCATCCTCGAGTGCCAGAGACCTCTTTCTTGTCGTCGTTTTTTTATGCTAACAAAATGGCTCTGTAGCGACCCCCCTTCATCATGCTCTGCTGGCCCCGTCGGTGAGGATCTGGTAAGCATCTACCCCGCCCCTCCCGATAAGCGCCCGATTTCGCCCCGGCTGAAGCGCCGGGCAGTCTTGGAGCCTCACGGGTCCGAAAGGAGGACATCATTACTGACTATGCGATGGCAGTTCCACTGGCAAGCGACTATCATGGGTCCTGTAAGTTTGGCAGTCCGCTGTTCCCTCTTGCATCTCGATACCAAGCCCTCGCCTCTCCTGACTCGCCATGTTTTGGACGGTGATATCGGCGGGATATCTTGCGCCACGATCCATGAAACCGTGGGCTGACACATTTCTACAGAGCGACTCACCATACTCCGGCGGCGTCTTCTTCCTGGCTATCCACTTCCCCACAGACTACCCCTTCAAGCCCCCGAAGGTCAACTTCACCACGCGCATCTACCACCCCAACATCAACTCGAACGGCAGCATCTGCCTGGACATTCTGCGAGACCAGTGGAGCCCTGCTCTGACCATCTCAAAAGGTATGCCTTCCTATCCCTCCTGGGCGACGATGTAACAAAGCCTCTGACAGCACGTCTTGTAGTCCTGCTGTCGATCTGCTCCATGCTGACCGACCCCAACCCCGACGACCCGCTCGTTCCCGAGATTGCGCACGTGTACAAGACCGATCGCGCCCGCTACGAGGCCACTGCCCGGGAGTGGACCCGGAAGTATGCCATCTAGGCTGGAGGAGTCTCGGTTGAGGATTGCTACGGCTGTTATGACACGTATGGAAATGGGCGGTGGGGTTTGTGCTGCTGTAATGCGGCGATAGATACGGTTTTCGCTCCCTCTTCGTCTTGCGGCGCCTGCGATATGACATCATTGCGGGCAAGGTTCTATCTTCTCGATCTCGCCTCTTGGGCGAAACAGGGCTGTCTCGTGGACCCATCTGCACCAGACCGGCTCAAGGTCTACCTACCAGCGGTTGCTGTCATGGGAAGTCCAGAGAGTAGGAGGAGAGGAGAATTGGCGAGTCCCCGTGGAGGCTAGTATGATACAAACGTATTTCACAACATGGGATCGGAAGCGGCTTATGGTATTGCATTACATTACACACCTGTTTCTGTCTACGTTGGTCCTTCTTGCAAAACTTGACGTCCCCGTTGCATTGCCCCGAACGAATGAATAATTGATTGTTCCATTACCTGGTCTTGGGCTGGCTCGCGTGACTGCTCGTGGTGCAAATCTGTCGTGGACCGGGCAGATCATACTCCTGGTTCTTCGAAGAGGTGAGTGCTGTTGGTTCGATGCCTCGACTAGTAATCTGTGACAGCCGTGACACACAGAGGCCCTTCCGATACTGAACACTAAACACCGTACGACCAAGTCGGCCTGGAAAGCGGCAAATGAATGGATCTTGTTTGGGTAGATGCCGTCCACTCAAATTGCGCATCGACAGGCGCCAGAGCCGGAGCCTGCTGAGGAGCCTTGGGCTCAGAGCGGAGATGTCTGGCGATAAAGACTACAACCTCCTTACCTAGTAAGCAGGGGAAGCCGGAAACAACACGATCAGGCTTGTTTAGATAGTTTGTACGGGACATTGCAGTAGATATGTCCATCTCTGCAGAGATCGCCGCAAGGGATGTGCGGGAGGCACTGAGGCTCTAAGTAGTGTAGGGTGGCAGCAGACCATGAGTGAGTCGCTTAGAATAGCTACACTGCACGAGTGTGAGTGTGGGCAGAGAGAGACGGTGCGGACGTTTGGACGGGATGTCCGTGAACAGAAGGTGTAGACGAATGGGACGCTGGCGATATCGACAGAACAATGTCCTTGGAAGTAGCACGCTCGGCACGTATGTTGGTGGTGTTTCAGATATCCCTAGCCGGCCTGGACGTTGGCGGCTCCACCGCCTACCAGATTCTCGAGGATGGGGTTGCAGTTGCTACGGAGTACTTGTACAGCACAGCTTCCTCGTGAGCACGTGGCCTGGCCGACTGGCGAAAATACCGCCGAGTCGACGGGCTATACATCTCTCGAACGTTTCTTTGACGGCGATGCAGCACGAAAAAGACCACCTGGGCGGATGGGGCCCCGTCTCCAAACAGCATTGAAGCATTGCGAGGCGATGTACAAGAACGAGTGGACAAGGCCGTGGGCTTGGTCTTGGTCAAATCTCCGAGTCGTGTTAGAGAAGACCCCTGGCGAAACGACCTGCGACACGGGCGTAAGCGACCTAGCTGGCGGCCAGCCAATTAGCGCCCCAGGGGCTCTCGCCAAGGGTGGAGCAGTCGAATTGGGGGGCACTGGGGGGGCTCCTTTCCCATCCCCCCACCGCAAGACAAGAGGTGAACCAAGCTCAAACAACCTTAACCCCAGGCCTCGTGTGCTCTGAGCACAGGTCGTCGTCGACAACATATTGATCTCGCCGTGCGAGCCGGCCACACCCCGCTCCCCTCCCTGTGGCGCGCTGCCGTTCGCCGCCCGGAAAGTTTACCTCCCCCCCAAGCAGGAGCTGAGGTCGACATGAGGCACACAAGAGACTTGAGAAGCCTGTGTCTTTGCGAAAGTGGTGTCATTACCCACCTGTGATCCCTGGTCCGATGAGGCGATCATCCTTTTATCACAGGCTGAAGGGAGATCAAGAGGTGCGAATGTTGCCTTCCAGAACTGTGCCTGCACGCATTTCCAGACTTTGACCGTGCACTGCGGCTCTTCTCTCTTCTCTCTTTCTCCCTCTCTCTCCCTCGCTTCCAAGTCCCGCGAGAAGGCCCAGCCAGGCTCGACTTGAATGAGGACAGCGAAAGCGTCTGGCCCTTGCTTGCCTCTAGCAGAGTAGAGCGATCGAAGACGACAAGGACGGCGGCTTTCATGACTCTCTCGGCATCGAAAGAACCCCTGTCGGTACTTTGGTAGTGAAGGTGCGATAACTTGCATTGGTGTACCGCTCTGACACAGCACCGTCCATGGAACCCTGCACGTTCTGGGCCGTTGGAACCGTCCTAGTCCGCATTGGGCGGTTTGCTCGTTTCGACTTTGCCCTCTTCTTTGCCATCCCCTTTCCATCCAGGAGCCTCACACGGGGTGTGTGTTGATTTGTCTCGCAATCCGGCCCGCGTTCTGACTGGCTGGCCCAGTCTTCTGAAGTCGGTGACTGTGCCCTTGCGTCCTGTTCGTACACGCCCCGGGTGAGTTCCGGTAAAAGATCCAGCCATCCCCTAGTTCAAGATTCAACGATACACTGCCCATTTTGTTCCTCGATCATACTGAACTGTGGTGGCGCGTACGTGGTCAAGGTTTCCTCTGTACTTCGTATGTTTGACAGGTGGGCTTGACCAGGGCCTTTTCTCATTAGTAGATTCTCCATTTCGCTTCTCTTTTCTTACCGTCCTCGCTCTTCTTCAAGAACCAGAATAAACCTCCCGAGAAAAAAAAAAAACTTCCGTGCGAGTAGTAGTTGGTCGTATCGTTAATAGCAGCCGCCGGGTGCAGGCATTGTGTGCAGGTATGATCTACACCACATCACCTCATGTTTCTGAGGGAACCGCCGCTTGGCATCTCCCATAACCACTCTTGCACCCGCCCTCCCTCCTTCCGATCCTTCTTTCGCTCGTTCTCACTCCTTTCTCCCCCTCTTGTGCCGTATGTCGTGTGTTGCTGCTTGCGTGCGCTGACCAACTCGCTGCGTCTGCGCGGCATCTGCAGACTCGATTTCCATTCTTTCTAATCCCTTCAGAGAACAACCTTTGATCTTCCTTTCGACTACCCTTTCGTTCAATGCATCTTCTCCGGTTCAGCAGGCTCTGAATGTTACGATATTGTCTCATCACTTGAGGATTTCCGGCCCGATAACATACGGTCATAATCGCCGAGAGTCAAACAAAAGGGGGAGGACAACTGGCTGTGTCGAGGGAGGGTTCTGGATCAGTCTCTGGGTAGTGAAGGACATCCGAACCGAAACTACGGCTCTGCTCCGGCACAGATCTGGGAAGCGGTTAGACCCAACTGAAATCACCGCAGCTCTCAACGACCCCGACAATGGATGACTACTACGGGTACTCGAGATACGAGCAGTCGGAGCGGTCAAGATGGACGCCCTTGACGCGGATGTTGTTGTCTGGTGAGATGACACAGGAGAAGCAGAAGGAGCTGAGCGGGCGGGAAAAGTTCGACCGATGGATGATCAACGAGGGTTACCGACGAGTGTAAGCATTTGGAGCCGTCTGCCTTTTTTTCTTATTTCTTTGAAAGCCGTTCTCAAGACTCTGACCCCGTGCAATAGCTTTGTCCTCGTTTTCATGCTTCTGCATGCCATGGTCTTCGCTTTCAGCTTCGTCAACTACGCCGTCAAGGACAACTTGCAGGGGGCGAGAGATACCTTCGGGCCCACGTTTATGATTGCTAGGTCGGCAGCATTGGTGTTGCACTTTGATGTGGCTCTGGTTCTGCTGCCAGTCTGCAGGACACTCATCTCTCTCGCCAGACAGACTCCGCTGAACGGCATTATCCAGTTCGACAAGAACATCACCTTCCACATCACCACGGCTTGGTCGATCGTGTTCTGGTCCTGGGTCCACACGATTGCCCACTGGAACAACTTCGCCCAGATCGCAGCCAAGCAGAAGCTGGGCATCTACGGCTGGCTTCTGGCCAACTTTGTGTCTGGGCCCGGCTGGACTGGCTACATCATGCTGATTGCACTGATGGGCATGGTGCTGACCTCCATCGAGAAGCCCCGCCGAGCCAACTATGAGCGCTTCTGGTACACGCACCACATGTTCATCGTCTTCTTCGTCTTCTGGTCGATCCACGGTGCGTTCTGCATGATCCAGCCCGACTTTGCCCCCTTCTGCGTCTCGGTCGGCACCACCGCCATCGGTGTGTTCTGGCAATACTGGATGTATAGTGGCTTCATCTACCTGGCCGAGAGAATCGCCCGCGAGATCCGTGGCAAGCACAAGACCTACATCTCCAAGGTCATTCAGCACCCCAGCAACGTGTGCGAGATCCAGATCAAGAAGGAGCACACCAAGACGAGGGCTGGTCAATACATCTTCTTCTGCTGCCCCGAGGTTTCGATCTGGCAGTACCACCCCTTCACTCTGACCAGTGCCCCCGAGGAGGACTACATCTCGATTCACATGCGTGTGGTCGGAGACTTCACCAGGGCTGTCTCGAAGGCGCTGGGTTGCGAGTGGGAGAAGAAGGCCGGCGACGGGTCCAAGGTTGTGGGTGTCGACGGACAGAACTCGGAGATCGACCCTGCACTGAAGAGGGTCCTGCCCCGTGTCTACATCGACGGCCCCTTCGGTTCGGCCTCGGAAGACGTCTTCAAGTACGAGATCTCGGTCCTCTGCGGTGCGGGTATCGGTGTCACCCCCTTCGCCTCCATCCTCAAGTCGATCTGGTACCGGATGAACTACCCGCAGAAGAAGACGCGTCTCGCCAAGGTCTACTTCTTCTGGATCTGCCGTGACTTCGGCTCCTTCGAGTGGTTCCGCTCCCTGCTGCTCGCCATCGAGGCCCAGGACGTCGACAACCGCATCGAGATCCACACGTACCTGACGGCCAAGATCAAGGCCGACGACGCCACCAACATCATGATCAACGATGCCAACGCCGACAAGGACGCCATTACCGGTCTCCGCGCGCCGACAAACTTTGGCAGGCCGAACTGGGACATGATCTTCCGCGGTATCCGAAAGCTGCACACCCCGTCCGAGGCCGGTGTGTTCTTCTGCGGTCCCAAGGGATTGGGCAGCACGCTGCATATCTACTGCAACAAGTACAGTGAACCTGGGTAAGTGGTTTTTTTTCCAGACGCCAAATCTTGAACAAGATTCTACAAGAGAAAATATGACGGCTGACATGTTTGGCTTAGTTTCTCGTTTGTCTGGGGCAAGGAGAACTTTTAAACAGTTCTGCGCTTTTACTTTTCGAACCGAGAGGGAGCGTCACAGATCTTGACGACGAAAACTACGGCCCTGTATTGCATTCGCGCCGGACGCAATCAAAACGACTCGAACAACGCGTGTTGCCTTTTTCCCTTGCTACTTGCCATCACGTCTATTGGAGTTTGTAGGCTGGGTCTGGAGTGATTCTACGCCGGAGGAAACGCTGGTTTGGTGGCTTTTTCTATCGTGCGGCAAAACGAAGCCGGGGATATCGCCTGGTGGTGAGGAATGAAATAGAGTGGCGGAGGGAGAAGAAGCAGGGGCGGCGGCGGGCGGCGGCCTTGCGCAACCGAAGTGTACTACTTTGCGGTCCAACCTGGCGCGCTGGTGCAGTTTTCGTTGCGTGGCGGGACGGGAGGTAATCTGGACGTTTTCCCTCCCTTGTCCTGCACACGGCTTTTGCTGCGGACATCCATCCATCCATGGTGTCTGCATACATATCTCTGTGTATCTAGCGAACATATATACCAAACACATTTACAATCTAGACTTTATTCTTGTAGTTGGACACCAGTTCTCTCTCTCTCTCGCTGGTCATAGGTAGGGAGGGGCCCAACTTACTGCACGTTCACCATCAGCCTGTATCGGTGCGCGATTCTTCGTCATACAGTAAACCACGATGCCGGGTCCTTTTGCGTTGGCTTGGCCCTGGAAGAGCCCCCCTTTGTCCCTTGGTGCTGACATAAACAAAGTGTCGGAGACCTGGGACGTTTTCTCTTGGCATTCTTTCTTTTGAGCCGCAAGACAGACGTGCGCCCGGGGTCCCGAAACACTCTGGGTCTGAGACGAGAGCGCCAGTCAGGCAAAGTGGTTCGATTTTGACATAAAGAAACCAAGCACGCTGTTTGAGGATTTCCTGCGCTTCTTCACTCTTTCCTAACTTCCCGAAAGGGGGGGGGGGGAGGCGCACAAACAGACGATTCCGGAAAGGAGAGCAGGCCGCGGACACCGATGTAGGATCGCAGCTGAAGCGCTGAAGCTGACGAAACACGATTAGCGACCTCGCTCGCAAGGGATTTCCATTCTTGGACGTGCTCGGCTTCCCATTGCGGCTCTCTATCGTATCAGGTGGACCTTTCTGTCGAAGGCAAAGAGCGTGATGTCGGCTTCGGTGTTCGGCGTTTATTGAGCTTGGTATTCGGCGTCTCTTGAGATTGGTATTCGGTTGTCTCTTGAGCTTGAACAATCGCTGCTTACGTTTGAATTTTACTCAATGGGCAGTCAAGCACTCGTCTATTCTCCGCTGATCCGGGTTCTCGAAAACTCCCCAAGCTCCCCCACAACGAGAGGTGCTCACATCCATGACGATGCCTCCCCAGTCGGAGCTCGTTCCTGCAGGCAACCAATCTCCGCGTCTCGGCACCGGTGAAGGCGTCCGTCTTACATACATAAGCTTTTATGTATGTAAGCTTATCCACATGGGGTATTGATTTGATCACGTCTGCAGAAGAAAAGTCCCGGAAGAGGATTTGCACACTCCCGCTCAGACCGGCTCGGCTGTGCACAAGCTGAGGCCAAAGGGAGCTCCCTGGTGGCAGGGATGACCCAGGTAGCAGACAAGCGCTATCCTCCACATAACAGCAACATCGTGATAGTTCCTTATCTCCTTCAGCAGATTAAATCTCAGGCTTGACTGGAGACTCATCCTTAAACATCATAGCCTGGCAATGGCCCCCACAAACATAGTCTACAACTTGGGAACTAGAAGGTTACTGTTGACAGAACCCCCCCTGCTTTCTTCATAACAAGACACCAGAGAGCGAGGGCTATGGCCGTTCCTACGTCAGCGGAGCTAAGCATGCATGCAGTCGCGGCCCGGTGAGGAGAACCTCCCGGGCTGTGATTTGAACAAGCTTTTCAGAGAAATTGGGATCTGCAAAAGACTCAATCGAGGCCAGAGACTTGAGTATGCCGCGTGATGTTGGATAGTTTGTCCAACCGATATGGCTATCCAGTCGTAGGACTGATTGGATATGCACTACGAAGCACCATCTCCGAGATGCCATCCCGCTTTATTGAAAGATCATCATTGCTCAGCATATGCTTAGATCTTAGGCCCCCAAAGATCCCCGCACCAACAAGCGTTCACAGCCGCGACGATGGTTGGTGGTTAATTGGCGGCCTGGTGTCCGTTCCACTCAACATGCGTGTCGAGCGTGTCAGCTTACCCCGGTTCGGCGACCTAGAGTTCCTCCATGATCTACGGGACACAAGGTGAAGACAAGTATGATTGGCAGAAAGGTGCCGCAATGCTTGCAAGCTCAGGAGGCCGCGGAGGATGAGAAGAGATGAATTTAGAACTACGACTAGCTGTACAACGTGGAAAACAATGAGGATTGGGCGACGCAGCCTCGCGCGGCGAGACCAGGCCAGGCCGGGAGGCGAGACGAAGGCAGGCGGAGAAGACATAACTAGAGCCCTTCGAGAAGGTGGTACAGTTCACGACAACTTCTGGTAAGCAGTAGGCAAGCCACGCTGACAAGTTGCAACATCATTAGATAATGTAAATCAAGGTTGAGTTTAAAGGAAGAGCGAAAAGCAAGTGATGATGTCGCTTAAGCGGAGTACTGCTTGCCACGACTATCGACTATATATAGAGGGTCGACACAACACTCTATAACGTTATACTATGAGCTCTAACCATCGCCTCTCTCGCCAACTTCTCTCTATTGCAAAGAAACTCTTTCACCATGATCGCCATCAAGTTCCTCGCTCTGGTCGCTCTGGGCGCCTCTGTCACGGCCACCCCAGTTGCCAGTGCCCCTGACGCTGCGACGACAGACTGGACTGCTCTTCCTATCCCCGATGATTGGATTGACTGGACCGGCGTCGACAAGGCCGCCATGAAGAACCCGGCCAACTGGAACTCGTCGGCTTCCAGCGACAAGGTCGAGGCCGCCCCGGGCAAGGAGCTCATCGTCCAGTCCGGCCCCTGCTCCCAGGGCACCTGCCCGGACTTCCACGCGGCCTTCGACCTGGTGTACACCTTCACCGCCGTGCCCGTGCCCGGGGACCCGCCCCTGACCATCTTCTCGTCGGACTCGGACATCCGGGTCAACGACTGCGACAAGTGCCTCCGCCACAAGGTCGGCAGCAGCCTGGGCAACTCCGTCCCCGGCGGGTGCTACAACTTCAAGACCTGCGGCCGGGACCAGGTCATCTGCGTGGACCCGGACAAGTACCGTGCCCACCGCATCTGGAAGGACAACGGCCACAAGACGTGCTACAACATGAAGGTGGACAGGCTGGGCGATTGTGGCTTCATCAAGACGCGCATCGTCATTCACCCTACTGGTGAGACTGCTTGTACCTGGTAAACTGGGAGCAGGCCCTGGGGGGGCGGGGGGTTATTCATTACATTTATTTATTTATCCGCTTGGTGGATAGGCCGGTCGTTTTCATACTTTGGTCAGGCAAAACACACAAGGACTTTGGCATGCCAGAACCTTGAATTTCGATTCGTAGTAAAATTCAACTTACTAGGCAACAATAAGATCTCAGCTCTCTCTGAGCAATTATAACCAGTTGTTCGCCAGGTTTTCAGAAACTACTCGGGGCGAATATGTGATATCTCTGTTCATCTTCGACCATGTTGAAGCAATCGGGCCTGACGCTGGAAAGGCGCCGAAAAGCCTGTTTCTACCTTTGAAGGGACTAGTCAAGGACAATTTGATCTTCTAAACTACTTCAAACAGTGAGATAATGGTGTGGCTTGACGGAAGCAATAGGGATACAATAAGGTCGAGTGGTTTACGTGTGCATGTTTGGCTGGATGCTGGCTCATATTTGTTTCCGTTTCAACAATAAGCAGTATGATGAGACCTACATTGAGGTATAATCTAAACCACTTTCACATCGATATCCATCTTTACTCTCAATCAATCGAGTAGTCAACTTAAGAATTGACCCAGCCCATAGTAAGCTCCTCGGAATAGTGAGGGAGCACCACTGAGCCACCAATGAGAAACAACGACCTTCCAAGCCAGCATCGCCAACGAGACACCAATGGAATGGAATGTACGCTTATCCCCTCTGTCGTATTAACAACGACATTTGTGACCTCCAGACCGCTGGCGCAGTATGTCTCATATTAGATGCCACGCCTTGTACTTCCGCGGAGCTTGACGCTCCACGACCGAGCACTGAAAGGTTTTGTCGTGGTCACCGTCCATGACTGAGATATCATGAATCTAGCATACCTAAGAAGTAGGCACTCTCTGGAACAGATAGTCCGCCAATAGTGTTGCGGCAGCCTATCAGTTCGTCAGGGTTGAGGGCGGCGCCGGAGCCCGTCTCAGTGTCCACATTTCCCATATCAAGTACCGAAGAACGGAACAGAGGCAACGGTGGAGCAGCGCTAACGGAGACAGTGTCAGTCCCTGTAGGACACTGAGTCCTGCCGCCGGGGAGGCTTGCCAAGTGGTGCTAATGAACGCCGTTCACTTCTGCCGCGCACTGTTCCCGCGGTGGGGTTCCGTCTGGAGGAGGACACTACTTCCTGCATCGCGGCGCCGCTAACCTGCCACAGTCTGGTCTGGCCACCGACGCCCCCCTTCCAGAAGGCTTCTCTGCCCATCTTTTGCGTGGTGCGTCCTGGTGATGAAATGCGACGATAGGGGAGGGGGCGAGAAGATACCGAGACCAGCCTGCCGAGTGAAGGGATTGCCAATTGCCAATCCTCGCCCTCCTTCCTTATCGTGCGGGGCCCCAGGCTAGCGGACAAGAAATGATGATTCTGGTTGCAACCCCAGAAGCAACACGGCTTTCTCCAGACATAAAGTAGTCTTGGCTGCCGTTTCTCTGTATTCGACTGGGAATCTCCATCTCGCAAACTCTTCAGGGTGCATCGTGAGAAATTGGTCCGCTTGCCCGAGGATTAGTCCCACCACGCGGAAAACCCATCTTTGTGTGATTTTGTCGGTCCAGCAGCATTCACGGCACTTGCTGAGAATATACACATAACTACACGGGCTGCAGCAGATCTTGCACTTCTGATCTGCCTTGCATTGGCGACCTCTGTTGTCCGGGATTCTATGCAAGATTGACTGGATCTGCTCTGTTTCTGCGCTCCACAGCACACCTACTTTCGCAGAGAAGCCGCACATCATACATACCCATCCGCTATCGCGACTTCGGACGGCATAGCCAACGAGAAAGCCTGGACGCATTAGCGGATCATACAGCTTTAGCGCGTGGTCTTTACCACGGTTCTGATCCTGTCATATCTGCACCTGCATCACTAGCGGACCATGAGTGCAATCGACGCGTCGTACCCGGACGACACCAAGCACGAGGACGGTGTCCTCGGGCCTGCCCAGATGCAGGCGCAGGCCGGCCGGGGCTTCGGGGAAGGGACCACCCTTGCCGAGACGGCGGAGCAGCTTGGCGTCGATGAGAGGAAGCTGGTCCGGAAGTTGGACATGTATCTCATCCCTTTTGTGATGCTGTCGTATCTCTTGAGTTTCCTGGACCGGTACGCTGTTCTCCTTTTTCTTGTTGTTACTGTCTTGTATTTTTCGTAAGCGGCTCACCACTAACAAACCATGCCCTCAAAAGTGTCAACATCGGCAATGCGCGCCTGTACAAGATGGAGGAGGACCTCGGGCTTGTGGGCAACCAGTTCCAGACCGCCGTGTCCATCCTGTTCGTCACCTACATAACGTTCGAGGTGCCGTCCAACCTGGTGCTCAAGAAGTTCACTCCGAGCCGCTGGCTCGCCTTCATCACGACGTCCTGGGGCATCATTGCCACTCTGACCGGTCTGGTCAACTCGTACGGGAGCTTGATCGCCTGCCGTGTCCTGCTCGGCGCTGTGGAAGCCGGTCTCTTCCCCGGCATGAACCTTTACCTGACGCTGTTCTACACCAAGCACGAGCTCGCGCTGCGGGTTGGATACCTCTTCGTCTCGGCGGCCATCGCGGGCGCGCTGGGAGGGCTATTGGCCTTTGGCATCGGCAATATGGATGGTCTTCAGGGCATGCATGGCTGGAGGGTAAGTTGCAAGACCTCGCGTCGAGGCGTACATGTTTTTTTTTTGAGACAAGTTCACTGAAACCACTCCCCTGCAGTGGATCATGATCATTGAGGGCATCCCGACGGTCCTGCTCGGCATCTCCATGTGGTTCTTCATCCCCAACGACGCTCAGTCAGCCTACTTCCTGACCGAGAACGAGAAGAGGATGATGATCATCCGCCACGGCCGCGAGTACGGCAACACGACCAGCGCGCAGGAGTTCAGCAAGAAGGACATGATGAAGGCCTTCAAGGACTGGAAGGTGTGGATCTTTTGCGCGTCGCAGTTTGGCGCCGACACTATGCTTTACGGTATGTCTTTTGCTTCTTCTGCCTGCCTGTCTGTCCGGGAGGATCTGCGTGGCCATGGTCGTGCTCGGGCTGACGTTCCTTGACCTGACAGGTTACTCGACTTTCCTGCCTACCATCATCAAGGGACTCGGCACTTGGTCGTCGGCCGAAGTGCAGCTCCTGACTATTCCCTGTTACTTTCTTGGAGCGGCCATGTATATGAGCGTCGCCGTTCTTTCGGACAAATTCCAGAGACGCGGACTCTTCTGCGTCATCTTTGGAACCATCAGCGTGGTCGGATACGGCATCCTGATGTCGAACACGCCTGCAGGAGTTCATTACTTTGGGTATGTCCCTTTTCATAACTTGTGGCTGCACCCCGATCGAGACGCTAACCTTGCATGGCAGCTGCTTCCTCATCGCCGCAGGTCTGTACATCCTCGTTGGTCTGCCACTCGCGTGGCTGCCCAACAATTGTCCGAGGTACGGCAAGAGGGCTACGGCCAACGGCCTGCAACTGACTATTGGTAACGCTTCCGGCATCATGGCGCCATTCATCTAGTACGTCTTCCCCTCTCTCCGGCCACTCGCCGACGCATCTCTCACAATGCTGACTCCACACCACGTAGCACCAACGGGGAAGCACCTCGATTCATCCGGGGACACGCGGTGACCCTGTCGCTCGTGGGCATGACGACCCTGATCTACCTCTTCATGTGGACCTACTTCTCGCGGGTGAACAAGCAGAGGGCTGCGGGCAAGATGGACCCCAAGCACCAGGGCATGAGTGACGATGAGCTGGCCGAGCTCGGCGACGAGAGCCCCCACTTCCGCTACGTGATTTGAGGTCTACGCTGGATGGATGGCCAGGACAGTGTCCAGAGTCCTAGAGTATCAGGGGTAGGAATCAGAGTTCTGGGGGAAAAGGGGTAGCTTTTGGTGTCGGTCGCACCTCTAAACGGAGGCGACTGTCGTGTATTGTAAAAAGGCATTCATCAAATTCAGATGTTTGGTTTTCAGAATTCTTGGGTATCCATTCTTAATCGACAAGCTGTATTGCATGAAGCTAATAGTTCAGGCCTCTCCTTCTCCAGGCAGCCATCACGAAATGCGGCATGTCAATGGCCACATTGAGAGCAAGTGACGGGGTTCCTGAAAGGGCGCACACACGCTAATGAATAACTAACTGACGGAAGGCGGCAGGCAGGGATTTAAATGGACGGCAGGAGCGACCCCCACCACTTGCTCTCGCCAAAAGAACGCGTCGAAAAGGCAATTAGCTCCCACTGGCGCGTCAGCTACAGCTCATAACGTGACATCACCATCTTCACGCTCCCATACATTTGTTCCAGAAGCAAGAAAAGCTTCAGCCTTTCCATCGCATCTGCAGACCGCAACTGACACCTTGACTTGATTTTGAGCAATTTTTTCCGCGTCGCGGGCAGTCCAGGATGGGTATCAAGCAGCTCTTCCAGATCATCAAGGAGGAGGCTCCGGAGTCGATCAAGGAGGGCGAGATCAAGAATCAATTCGGTCGCAAAGTCGCCATTGTAAGTTGATCATCCTGCAAAAAGTGCTGTCGCACTCGGATGGACTCCTTTGCTGACCCAGTTCATTCTAGGATGCGTATGTTTGCCAGATGCTCCTCGCGATGCGACTACGACGTTCGTGCTGGTGCTAACTCGCTCCTTCCCCTTCTCTACAGGTCAATGAGCATCTACTCCTTCCTCATCGCCGTGCGCTCCGATGGCCAGCAGCTCATGAACGAGAGCGGCGAGACGACGTCACACCTGATGGGCATGTTCTACCGCACGCTCCGCATGGTCGACAACGGCATCAAGCCCCTCTACGTCTTCGATGGCGCCCCGCCCAAGCTCAAGTCGGGCGAGCTCGCCCGCCGATACATGCGCAAGCAGGAGGCCACCGAGGGTCTCGAGGAGGCCAAGGAGACGGGCACCGCCGAGGATGTCGAGAAGTTCTCGCGGCGGACGGTGCGCGTCACCAAGGAGCACAACGCAGAGTGCCAGCGCCTGCTCAAGCTCATGGGCATCCCCTACATCATCGCCCCGACCGAGGCCGAGGCCCAGTGCGCGGTGCTGGCGAGGGCGGGCAAGGTGTACGCCGCGGCGAGCGAGGATATGGACACCCTCTGCTTCGACGCGCCCATCCTGCTCAGGCATCTTACCTTTAGTGAGCAGCGCAAGGAGCCCATCCAGGAGATCTTCCTGGACAAGGTGCTCGAGGGCTTGAACATGGAGAGGAAGCAGGTGAGCTCGTTGCGACTAGTTGATTCCATCCGGTCTCTTGACATTCTCTTGTCTCTAACAAGGTCTCACTACAGTTTGTCGACCTCTGTATCTTGCTGGGCTGCGATTACCTCGACCCCATCCCCAAAGTCGGCCCCAACACCGCCCTCAAACTCGTCCGCGAGCACGGCACACTCGAGAAGATTGTCAAGTACATAAAGGAGGACCCCAAGCAGAAGTACACGATTCCCGACGACTGGCCGTACGAGGATGCGCGCGACCTCTTCTTCACCCCGGACGTCCGCCAGGCCGACGACCCGGAGTGTGACTTCAAGTGGGAGAAGCCGGACATCGAGGGCCTCGTCCAGTTCCTCGCGATCGAGAAGGGCTTCTCGGAGGACCGCGTGCGGTCAGGCGCCGCCAGGCTGGAGAAGAACCTCAAGAGCTCGCAGCAGGCGCGCCTAGAGGGCTTCTTCAAGCCGATTCCCAGGACGGCCGAGGAGCAGAAGGCGCACAAGCGCAAGCTGGAGGAGAAGAACGAGGAGAAGAAGAAGAAGCTCAAGGAGGAGAAGAAGGAGAAGGCCAAGGCCAAGGCGAAGCCCCGCGGGGCGTAGATGACAGGAGCGCAGTAGGCATGAGGGCGTGGGGTGTGTTTTGATAGGGGGCCACAAACGTGCTTGACGATGATACCTTGCTGGGAGGGGTCAGCAGGGACAAAAAGGATGCTTGCTTTGAAGGACCGGCGTTTAGATTTGAGCACCACTACATCTGGAGTTCTGGTTTGCTTGCAAGGGTAGTTTCAAGGAGGCTTTTTATACAAAGGGGCACGGGAGGATCAGCCAGTCTTTCCAGCCATGCACGATGCTCGCTTGCAGAGGGGTTGCACTCGAGGACATTTATACCAAGTCTTGATCTGCAATTCAATTATTGACGGACCACGGAGGAGGACTCCATTTCTTGCTCTACTTTATCGTCAAAATCAAGACTGGAGGTGAAGTGAAACCCCCCACCTCCCATTTGTTGGGGAAATTCGATCTCTGATATCTGAGGTGGTCCCCGGCCAAATTCGGTCGGCATCAAAGCGGAGGAATGGCCCTCCTTCGTAGACCACCAAGAAGCCGTGGAGAAATGAGGCAGTTTGACATGCCATGCCGTGCCATGCCATGCCATGTGCCTAGGCTATCTCGGCCGCTTGGGGATCTCACGGCTAAGTGTCCGAATGTTCTTGGAAATTGTGCCTCGGCAGGTCCACTTTTAGCAATGCCCCGAAGCACATTGGCTGCTGGGGTGTTCATGACATCAGCAGCCTCTTGACTCGCTTTCACATGCCGGTCCTACTCGTACAAAGCTACATGCTGTTTCTCCCTCGACCTGGCCTTTTACAGTACTGCTGACCATCCATCCAGGGATGCGGCGCCCCAATGTGTGCCAATGCACGCCGCTCCAGACACCGGGCCCACGACGCAAATGCACACATGATGCATTATTACTGACACGGAGCTGTTGGCTGGAAACGGGGCCTTTTCCCTTTCCCTTTCCCTTTCCCTTTCCCTCTGGTCGTCCGTTACCCCACAACAAGCCCCAGATCCTGGAGGAGCACGGGGAGTGGTTAGTTGCTTAAAGTACTGAACCAAATAAAACTAACTGTCCGTCTCAGTCATCACATGTGAATTCTACACCTTATTACCCGGCACGCCCGCCCTTCTTTCTTTTGAAACCTTTTTTCCTCTCGTGAATTGGAATGTGCTTGTATTCTTGCTCAATTGTAAAACTTGTCCTCTTCTCTTGAACTCATACTACTTGCTTCCATCTCCTCTTCCCCTTCCTCTTCTTCTTCTCCATCTCTATCACCCATCCGTACCCTATCCTTTCGTCCTCGCAGCCACGCGACAAGGCACACAAGATACAATGTCCAAGACGTTTACGCAAAGCGACGTTGCGTCGCACAACAAGTCCGATTCCCTCTGGATCACTGTCGACGGCGACGTTTATGACCTGACCAAGTTCCAAGATGAGCACCCTGGTAAGCTTTGCTCAACCAGTCCCAGACCCAACCAACCCCAGGCTGGGCCGACTTTGCCGAGCTTCGCCGGCGTCAGCACCCAAACCCCAAGAAGGAACCTCCTGGCTGACCAAACATTCTGTCAAATCGCACAGGCGGCAAGAAGATCCTGACCCGCGTCGCCGGCAAGGACGCCTCCAAGCAGTTCTGGAAGTACCACAATGAGGGCATCCTCAAGAAGTACAAGCCCTCATTACAGGTTGGCTCCCTAGACACCAAGCCCAAGACCGAGCCCACGCCTGCTGCTGCTCCAGCCCCAGCCAAGAAGGCCGCCCCCAAGGCTGTGGCCAAGTCTACGAACCAGGAAGAGTCGGAGGCTCTCGAGCCCTTCGGCGCCCAGATCCCCTTCGCCGACCCCAGCTGGTATCAGAGCGTAAGTGACTTGCTTGACCGTTGTCCCGCCGCTTCGTTTCGTATACATTGGTAGTTGCGAGACGACAAGAGATCTAACATTGTACGCCTCTCAATTAGTACCACTCTCCCTACTTCAATGAGACGCACGCCGCCCTCCGCGCCGAGGTCCGCGAGTGGATGGAGACGGCCATCGAGCCCAACGTCACCGAGTGGGACGAGAAGAAGGAGGTGCCTGCCGAGATCTACAAGGAGATGGGCCGCCGCGGCTACCTCGCCGGCCTGCTCGGCACCCACTACCTGAGCGAGTACACCAAGACGCCCATCAAGTGCGTCGACCCCAAGAAGTGGGACCTGTTCCACGAGATGCTCCTGACCGACGAGCTGTCGCGCGCGGCCTCGGGCGGCTTCGTCTGGAACCTCATCGGCGGCTTCGGCATCGGCTGCCCGCCCCTCGTCAAGTTCGGCAAGAAGGCCCTCGTCGACCGCATCCTGCCGGGCATCCTCAGCGGCGACAAGCGCATCTGCCTCGCCATCACCGAGCCCGACGCCGGCTCCGACGTGGCCAACCTGACCTGCGAGGCCAAGCTGAGCGCGGACGGCAAGCACTACATCGTCAACGGCGAGAAGAAGTGGATCACCAACGGCATCTGGTCCGACTACTTCACCACCGCCGTGCGCACCGGCGACAAGGGCATGAACGGCGTCTCCCTGCTGCTCATCGAGCGCTCCATGGGCGGCGTCTCGACCCGCCGCATGGACTGCCAGGGCGTCTGGTCCAGCGGCACCACCTACATCACCTTTGAGGACGTCAAGGTCCCCGTCGAGAACCTCATCGGCAAGGAGAACCAGGGCTTCCGCGTCATCATGACAAACTTCAACCACGAGCGCATCGGCATCATCATCCAGTGCCTGCGCTTCTCGCGCGTCTGCTACGAGGAGTCGGTCCGCTACGCCAACAAGCGCCGCACCTTTGGCAAGAAGCTCATCGACCACCCCGTCATCCGCATGAAGCTCGCCCACATGGCCCGCCAGATCGAGGCCTCGTACAACTGGCTCGAGAACCTGATCTACCAGTGCGAGAAGATGGGCGAGACCGAGGCCATGCTGCGCCTCGGCGGCGCCATCGCCGGCCTGAAAGCCCAGAGCACCCTCACCTTTGAGTTCTGCGCCCGCGAGGCCAGCCAGATCTTTGGCGGCCTGAGCTACTCGCGCGGCGGCCAGGGCGGCAAGGTCGAGCGGCTGTACCGCGACGTGCGCGCCTACGCCATCCCCGGCGGCAGCGAGGAGATCATGCTCGACCTGAGCATGCGGCAGAGCTTGAAGGTGGCCAAGGCTGTCGGTATGAAGTTGTAAGGGAGTTGAGTAAGGGCGGCTGTTTGTCTCTGGCTTTCTTGGGGTTGGGGGTGGGGGGGTGGTTTTGTTGTTGTTGTCGTTGGAAAAGGGATGGATGGATGGCTTTGGATGGCTTTGATATAGCTGCTGGCTTTGCCCCATAGGAGTTCTTTTGCACATCTGGGGAGTATGATGTACTACCATTTAACAATACATTTTCATTGTCTCGCTCGTCCAATTTGGTATCCTCGTGATTGGCACTGCCTGCCTACCATTTTCAGGCTCGTCTTTTGGAATTAAGCTACATCGCGCACATGTAAGGCCAAGATGCAAATTTGAAAAGGTCTTTGAAAGCAAGGCAAACCCGCGGATATCATTCCCCTTTATGAACAGCCATGTGTCTCTCCTCCTTGCGCATACCAATCAATATGCAATGCTGTTGTGACTTCCACCCCGCTCCTTGCAAGAGACCCCAGAGACAGTTTAGTACATAAGATACACTATTCGTAGTTTCGACACCGGACTTCATTTCCTCGCCCTCACCCTCAAAACCCCCCCAATCCCTTGACCCAACCAAGAAAGCCCAGGGTCTGTCAGGTCCGCCTACCTGCCAGACCCGATCGTCCATGGGTAACACCTTTTTTAACCACCGGCAACGACAGCCAGGCCGTCGTAGATCATCTTCTTGACGGCGTAAAACGTCCCGCCGACCTGCGTGGCCGGGCCGCCGTCCGTCGGCAGGCCGATGCTCTCGACCTCGACGCGGCCCGTCGTCGTCTTCCGGACGGCCACGGCGCCGTCGACGACGAGCGTGCCCTCGCCGCGGAACTCGGCCGTGTGGCCCGACGACTGCATCGCGCGCCGCAGGTCCGCCAGCCGCAGGTCGCCGACGTGCAGGGGCTGCGCGGCCGCGGACCGCGCCGCCGACGTCATGGCCGTCGGCAGGACGTCGAGCGTGGGCAGGGCCGCGGCGGGGGCCCCGGTCTTGGCGCCGTGCTGAGGGTCGTCCTCGGAGTCGGCCGAGACGTTGTGGTCGCCGCTCTCGGTCTTGATGCGCTTGTTGGCGCCCTCTTCGTCCCCGGCCTCGTGGTGGTGGCCCGACGGTGACTCCTCTTCCTCTTCCTTCGCGGCCGCCGTTGCCGGCCCGAGCAGCTGGCCCGTCAGGGTGACGATGCCCAGGCCGCGCAGGTTCTGCCACTTGAGGCGCTTGACCAGCTGGTCGGCGAGCCGGACGACCCAGGCGTTTGTGTCGACGCTGGCGTCGACAGTGGTGCCGATCTCGGGCGTCAGGACGTCGACCTCGTCTTCCGAGACGCCGCGGCTCGTGCTCACAATGTTCTTGTACGTGGCCGTGACGGCCGCCGTCTCCCGGCTGCTGCCGCCGATGAGGATCAGCTTCCTGGGCTGGATCAGCGGGAGGAGCATCTCGAGGTTGCGCTCCGAGTGCAGGCCCGAGTAGTCTACGTAGGCGATGCGCAGCTTGATGGCCAGCTTTTCCTTGGAGGTGATGAGCTTCGACGGACCCAACGGCTGATCCTCCTCGTCTTCGCCGGCATCGTCTAGGTCGTCTGCAGGTCCGTCTGGGGCTGCATCAGCGGCCTGATCGTCCACGGATGCCGCCCGGTTGAGCTGGGGTCTTTTGCCTGTGCCTGAACCGGTCTTGTTGGTTGCGATATCATCCCACTTCCTCTTCTTGCCTAGGTTATCTTGGTCACCGCCACCGGTAGCCTGCGCCTCGTTCTCTTCCTCTTCCCGTTCCTCGGATCGCAAGTAGTCCTCGGGCCTGATGAGCTCACCAAACTCGTCATTCCGTCTTCTCCTGATCGTGACCGGGAACATCCTTTCGCGGCCTTTCCTGTTGCGCACGTCAAAGTCGTACACGCCCTTCTTCTTGAGCAGGATGTTGATGCCCAGGTCCTCGTCCGTCAGCACGACCTTCTTCCTGCTCGCCTGCCCGATAGTGGTCGACAGGTTGAGCGCTTTACCCTGCTGTTCATTATCCGACTCATCCGAGTCTGAGGATGACTCTGAAGAGATGTCGTCGTTCAGGTCGGCGGCTGCCTCGAGCGAGGCCCCTCCCCCGGTCTGGAGCGTAGCCTGCAGTTGCCGCTGAGTTGCAAGCCACTGCTGGTACAGAGTGAGCTCTTCGCCTGCGAGCGCTTGCCGAGTGACTTCCGTAACTTCAACCTCCCGGCCATTGCCGGATACGGGGTCGCTTGACTGAGGCTTGTCTGCAACATCAGCGCCGTTTGTTTCCGCCCACCATCCCCACAAGGTCCTGGCCAAGGAAGGACGGTTGTTGGTACTGAGATTGGGCACCTCGGTGAGGATGACCATATTTCTCGGATCGTCAGCAATTCGTTTCAGGACGTCCTTGGAAAATCCCCATTCTAGACTTGTGTCGCTTGCGAGGATGATCCTGCCGCTCCCTTCCCCACCTTCGAGCTCCTGGCCTAGCAGCTTTTCGACTTGAGCTTTCCTCTCCAACAAGCGTAGATGTCGGAAGTCAAAGGGCCCGGCCTCCTTTCCCTTTGATCCACCAGAGCTGCCGTTGACCCGCCTCGATGTGTCTGCAGCGATTTCAAACTCTTGCACGATGCCTTCGTTCATCCATTCCAGCATGCTCCGAGCGTGTCGCATGACATTATTGACGCCGCGGCCAGCTAGAAAGAGCTTCGACCTGGAGAGAGCAGCGTTTTCCGCCGTGGAATCTTTCCTCCACTCGTGCTCTAGAAAGTAGGCGAGCTCGACGACCCGCGCATCCGAGTTGACGGGGATGAGAACGGTACCGCCGCGTTCCAGTGCCAGCCGGGCCGTGGCCAACAGCTCCTGATCCCTTTCGCCTGGGCGTGCGATATTGGGAGACTTGCTGCTGCACACCAGCGCGGTCGGTTTGCGTAGAGCCTCAATGACTTCTGAGCCACCTCCATGGCCGCCCATCCATGCAGCGCCAGAAAAGACATTTTCCTTGTACTGACCCCAGTCGCATGCATAGACTATAGACTCCAGGCCATGCTGGATGTGCCAGATCGTACCACCCAAGGATCTTCCAGAGTTGTACGCGGTGATCGTGAGGCCGTTGAGCGGAGATGAGAAGGTGGGAGTCGGCACGACGGTGGGCTGTGAGTATTTGAGATCACGGATGAGCGAGAAGTACTTGGCGATCTCTTCGGGGGTCGGAGGCTGTAGAAGGAAGTCCTGGTCGGCGGGAAGGGCTTGCGATGTAGAATATGAGACTTGAGCGAGAGAGCTGCGAGGGATGGTAGTGGCAGCGAGGGGTGTTGTAGAGTAAAGGTCCTGAAGCAGGGACCGTCCAAGGTCGATGACGGGGCGCGTCGCGTATATAGGTATCCTCGTGAAGAGAGGGAAGTTCCTGCAGCAATGTGCATAGGCGGCCAGGTGAGGGATCGTGGCCTGCGTGAGAAGTATCAAAGAGAGAGTGGGCACTTGTCTGATGAGATGCGATAGTCAGTACGGGATACAAATAGATGCGGCCGTGCACGATGGGAAGAGCGCAATGCTCGCAAACGTACTTCTCCAGCTCCTGAAGCTTCTCGGTGTCAAAAGACTCGTCCCAACCGACGTCGATGAGCACCTTGACGCCGCCATCGAGCTCGAGGATGGACTGCGATGCCGTCGACTCGGACTGGGCGCCCTGCAAGGGGCAGAAAGTAAACATGTCTACCGAGTTCTGTGGTTACCCCTTCGATCGCATGGCTGTCCTGTGTAGGCTGATGTTCTCTGCGCTGAGCCGGGCCTCTCGGGAGATGTTGGGAAGGACGATTGATCGACAGGCTGGACGATTTTCTTTGTCGCGTTCTCGGTCAAAGCCATCCAAAAGGCAGTGTTGCCAAAAGGCAGTGTTGAGAGAGAGCTAAGCTCAACTGGAGATCGAGACGCTCGGACCACGAGCTTACTCGGACAGCCGCTTCAGTGGGTTGGGGCTGAGAGTGGGACCTAAAGTTGATGAATTGGTAGCGCCAATTCAGCCTGATAGGCTCTGTTTACAACGCTCTTCTCCGAATTCTGCAGTGAGAAGCCGCCCAGCGGAAACGGAAAAATTGGCCGGAAAGAAATCGTGTCAATTTGAGTCCAAGCAGCGCGCTGGTCTGGGTCGATTGACCCTTCCTTACCCCTGTCTTTAGCGGGATAGGCCACTTTTTCGGTGCGTGTCTTCACAAGCCATCTCGGAGCGAGACTGGCGGAACTTCATAAACGTGTTCACCGCAATCACGCCGTGGAGGCTCCTTTCTACTATTCCACCCTGTCCTCTGGCCGATCGCCGGGAGATGTGCTTGTCCCAGTAGTTGTGTCCCCGAGCAACTCGACTGCATTTCCACGGAACCGACTTACACTAGCCTCGCCCACAGGACAGCTTGGCGATCCAAGCTCGATCACGCCCGTGTCCGAGGCGCATCCTCCCCTTCTTCACGGCTGCCCACCATGGCTGACTACTCGATGTATCACGCCCTTGGCCAGGGCGAGCAGCTCGACCCCAACGACCCCAACAGAACGACACAACCGGCACCTCCCCAGTTCCAGCCCCCCGCCGCATCGCAACCCTACCAGCAGGGCATGGGATACAATGCGCCAGCCCCGGCCGGTCAGCAGTACTACGGTGCACCGTCGCCAATGGGCGGCCCCGTCTCTCCTCAAGCTCCGGGCTACGGGCCGCCGCCTGGACAGAGCCCTTACCCGGGCCAGTCGCCGAATGCTGAAGACAGCACCCTGGCCGCGCAGATGGGAGGCATGGCTTTGGGTGCGGAACCACACCACACAGCAAGGAAGAAGAAGAAGGATCGGCACGCCTACCACACAGTCGAGGCCCCGGTTGGCTCTTCGCAGCCTTTCAATGGGATCCCCCCTCCTGGCACTCAGGCAACTGCCTTCCTGAACGCGGACCCTTCTGGTGCAGGTGGTTTTGTCGGTCAGGCACCGAGCCCCCAGTTCGGCCAGTTCCCCGCGGCTGCCAATGCTCCCTTCAACCCGGCCAATCCCGCCAGCCCGGCCGAGTTTGCTGCCCGCGGCGCTGACGGTGCGGCCCCTGCCGTCGTGCCTGCGTCCGGGCAACAGAAGGTGTCTCCCGAGGACCTGCCCAGCGTTCCCGTGTCCAGAGACTCGGTCCAGCAGTACTTCTTCAGCAACATGTACCCGACTTTCGAGAAACACGTACCGCCGCCGGCAGCTATCTCATACCTCGCTTTTGACCAGGGCAATTCCTCCCCCAAGTTCACCCGCCTGACAATGAACAACATCCCGGCTAGTTCTGAAGGTCTTCACAGCACCGGCCTGCCTCTCGGTCTGATACTCCAGCCTCTTGCGAGTCTGCAGGAGGGCGAGTCACCTATCCCTGTCCTAGACTTTGGCGATGTCGGTCCCCCACGCTGCCGTCGCTGCCGAGCCTACATCAATCCATTCATGATGTTCAGGCAAGGTGGTAACAAGTTCGTCTGCAATCTCTGCACCTACCCCAACGATACGCCGCCCGAGTATTTCTGTGCCACGTCTCCCCAGGGACTTCGTGTGGACCGGGACCAGCGTCCAGAGCTGTGTCGGGGGACCGTCGAGTTCGTCGTACCCAAGGAGTACTGGACAAAGGAGCCGGTTGGTCTGAGGTGGCTCTTCGTCATCGACGTGACGCAAGAGTCCTATAACAAGGGCTTCCTTGAAGCTTACTGTGAAGGCATTCTCGCCGCCCTGTACGGAGAGGAAGAGGGCGATGAGAAGGACGAGAATGGAGAGCCCAAACGACGGATACCGCCCAACGCCAGAGTCGGTTTTGTCACGTATGACAAGGAGATTCATTATTACAACTGCAGCGTAAGTTGCCCTGGGTCTGATACCGTAAACATTTGAGCTGATTTGATGTGGCTAGCCTGCTCTGGAGCAAGCACAGATGATGATAATGCCCGATATTGAAGACCCCTTCGTACCCCTGAGCGAGGGCCTATTCGTCGACCCTGTCGAGGCCAGGTAAGATCCATCCATGGAGCCCAGACCTGTGATCATGGGTTTTCCGAGTACTGACTGGTACAAGGGCTATCATCACGAGTCTTTTGACCCGATTGCCTCAAATGTTCTCTGCCATTAAGAACCCGGAACCCGCACTGCTTGCCACTCTCACCTCAGCAACGGCAGCACTTGAAAAGACCGGTGGTAAGATTGTCTGCTCTCTGTCAGCGCTCCCTACCTGGGGACCTGGGAGGCTTTTTATGCGCGACGACGGCAAGCACACCGGCGGCGAGATCGATAAGAAGCTTTTTACCACGGAGCATCCTGGCTGGAAAAAGATCGCAGAGCGGATGGCTGCTGGTGGAGTGGGAGTGGACTTCTTTATGGCAGCTCCGTCGGGCGGTTATCTCGACATTGCAACTATCGGTGAGTCAACATGCTAGAAGCACTTGTCTGTCACCGGACTAACTGACATTCTTGCAGGTCATGTCTCATCCACCACCGGCGGCGAGACCTTCTACTACCCCAACTTCGTCTCGCCACGAGACAGCCCAAAGCTGTCACTTGAGATCAAACACGCAGTCACCCGAGAGACCGGCTTCCAGGCACTTATGAAGGTCCGTTGCTCCAACGGTCTCCAGGTCTCATCCTATCACGGTAACTTCATTCAGCACACGTTTGGTGCAGATCTCGAGATTGGTGTTCTCGACGCGGACAAGGCCATCGGAGTGACATTTAGCTATGACGGCAAGCTAGACTCCAAGCTCGATGCGCACTTCCAATCTGCAACCCTCTACACTACCGCCAATGGTGAGCGTCGTGTCCGATGCTCGAATATCGTTGCAAGCGTCAGCGACAATGCAAAGGACACCCTCAAGTTCGTCGACCAGGACGCTGTTTACTCTATTCTGGCCAAGGAGGCAGCAACCAAACTTGCTTCGACCTCTGCTACGCTGAAGGACGTGCGCCAGTGGCTGACAGAGAGGACCATTGACATCCTGGCCGGCTACCGCAAGAATTACCTCTCCCAGTCACACCCGCCCAGCCAGCTGGTCCTGCCCGAGCGCCTCAAGGAGTTCTGCATGTACATGCTGGGCCTGATCAAGTGCAGGGCCTTCAAGGGCGGTAACGAGACGTCGGACCGCCGCGTGCACGAGATGCGCATGATCCGGGCCATGGGCTGCCCCGAGCTCAGCGCGTACCTCTACGCGCGCATGATCCCCATCCACAACCTGCAGCCCGAGGAAGGCTTCGCGGACAAGGAGACGGGCCAGCTGCGGCTGCCGCCCTCGGTGCGCACGAGCTTCGCGGGCGTCGAGCCGGGCGCCGTCTACCTCGTCGACAACGGCCAGCAGTGCCTCATCTGGTTCCACGCGCAGACGTCGCCCAACCTCATCGCCGACCTGTTCGGCCCGGACAAGGACTCGCTGCAGAGCCTCGACGCCTACACCTCGGGCCTGCCCGTGCTCGAGACGCACCTCAACGCGCAGGTGCGCAACATCATCGAGTTCCTCAAGGGCCTGCGCGGCTCCAAGGGCTTCACCGTCCAGCTCGCGCGCCAGGGCATCGACGGCGCCGAGTACGAGTTTGCGCGCCTGCTGGTCGAGGACAGGAACAACGAGGCGCCGAGCTACGTGGACTGGCTGGTGCAGATCCACAAGAGCGTGCAGTTGGAGGTGAGTTTTTTTGACGTTCATCAAGTCCCCCTTGTGTTGTCTATTTGAGATTCTTGGCTTGGCTAACGTGCTTCTTTTACCCTTTTTTCAGCTCCAGGGCCAGAGGAGGAGGGAAGACGGGGGCGAATCGTCGACTCTTGCTAACTTTGCTGGCTTGCGGCCTGCGTACTGGTAGGCGTGAAGAGGCAAGGCAAGGGAATGAGTGGCGAGAGCGGTTGGTTGGCTTTTAGTCAGTCTTGGCCACCGGGCCGTCATTCTCCTGTGCGCGCCGTCTCTCCCGGACGATGATGATTACTACGAGCCGCGGTCACAGCCTGATGAGTTCAACGGTGTGGTCAGGTCGGGATGACTGAGAGAAGGGAAGGGAGAAAGAAGGAAGGAGAGGAAATGCAGTGACGTGACGGCATTCATGATGTCTAAAAGAGGTACATGATATTACAAAAAACTTGAATGAATGGTATAGCATGATTGCTTGAGTACCTGGATCTTGAGTACCTTGATCTTCTTATATTGATGCTTGTTGTGAATCTGTTGTGGGTGCCTTTCAGCTGGAGGGAGAGTGTCCGGAAAGCCATTGATCTCCCCTGAGCGACCAAGTGGCCCGTCTTGATGGAACGAGTTTGTTTATAGGTGGCAACCAAAAGAGTAAACTGTCATTCTGCAGTCTTGTCTTGCCAGGCGCTCCACGGGACAAGAAGGGTTACAAAAGTCGGCAGAGTGAGACAAAAGAATTCACCAAGAGTCACCTCACAGAGGTGCGGCACTAGCAAAAATCACACAAGTAATGCATGCAATCCTTATTTCTTCATTGCCCATCTCCCCGTGTGCAATGATGTGAGCAGCTGTCTCTAGTAGAAGTAAAAAAAAATAGAAAGCACAACAGACAAATGTGATGATGTAAACAACTAGGAGGGTGCTGCTTTTTTCCCACCCATCATCCATGGTAAAATCATGTGAAGCTCCCAGATAACCCTTGAAACTCCTTGCTGTCAAGATGCAAATAACCCTCACCCTTTTGCCTGCCTCATAATGATGACACACAAACCAAAAAGTAATAAAGAGAAAACAAAGCAGCTTTTTGTCCTCCCCATCCCCTTTTTCAGACCCTTCCTTGCTGAGCAAGACAAACAAGCACAGGTCAGTCCTAGCACAATTCCAAACTCTCGGAGACCATCTCATGCACGTCCGTCCTGTAATCGCAGACAATCCCAGCGCAAGTCACACATCCATGTACCGCACACACAAAAGAAAGCCCTTGATGCAACAACAAGAATCCTCACCACCTGTTGTATTTCCACCTCCCCCTTTCTCTCTTTTTTTTTATTAGCTCCTTGTATGCAGGAACTTCCTGTCCAGCACCGACAGGGCCCGCGCGTCCTCATGGAACGACGACGGCGGCGGCAGGATCTTGGACCCCATGACGGACGACGCTGACGCCGCCGCCGACGAGGCCACGCCGAGCTGGCGGGGCGAGTTGCCGGCGCTGTTGCTGGCCGGGTTGGCGCTCGTGGGCTCCGAGTTGGTCGGCGTCGGGTGCAGCAGGATCGACAGGCTAGCCTTATTGCCCGACGGGGGCCCGCCGTTGGAGTCCGAGTGCGAAGAGCGAGGGGGCGAGGCGGAGCCCCGGGGAGGCGGCGTGCTCATCGTGCCGTTGGCCGATATCGCGGGCAGGGGCCCCGGCGCGTTCTTGGCTCCGGCGGGCGCCAGGCGAGGATCGAGCGACGCCTGCTGGGCCTGAGACTGGAGCTGGTGGAGCCTGGGCGAATCGCTCGGCCGCGGCTGGGGGAGATGAGGAGAGTGCTGGTAGTGGTGTGGCGCTGGGTTGTAGGGCGCCAGCGTCGGCGGTGTGGTGCGCGACTGGGGAGCGGAGGTCGGCAGAGGGAGCGGTGCCCGGTCGTACTGGGGGTTGGGAGGCGGCGCGCCTGCATACGCAGGCTGGGAAGGATAGTGCGCGCCGGGCGGAGGAGGAGGCCCGTTGGGCGGATAGTGGTGCGGGTAGTGGCCGTAGGGAGGCGTCGCCATCGGCGAAGGCGGCCAGCCGTAGCCTTGCTGAGGGTAGGGCGGGTATGGTGCGCCGTGCGGCGGGTGTCCGTGTTGCTGCGGAGCAAGGTACGGAGGCTGCTGCATAGGTGTCCGCGTCATGGCGGGGACTGGCGTCTCGGCGAGGCTCGACTCGGGGTAGAGTCCCTTCATCGGGATCACGTTGCGGAGCTGGGGATCGTTGCTCGGCTGCAACAGCTCGGGTTGTCCGGGGTGCGGCCTTGAGTAGTAGGAGATCAAGTGAAGGTGCTGGCCTTGTGACGTGGTGATGCTGAAAGACTGCTTCATAAGACCGTCTGCCTTGTACCTGTACCCGTCGGGCTCGCCGTCGTCCTGGTCGTCGTCACTAGCTCGGCCAGACGAGTCGGGCGTCTTGCCGGCGCCGCGGCGTGAGTTGCCAAAGCCGCCTCCGCGCTTGCCCTCCATTTCGCGGTAGGTCAGGAAGCTGCCGGAAACCCTGCTCGCGCTCCATGACTTTCCATCCGTCCATCTCCGCATGCCGGCTTCCCGCTCATCCCAAACAAATACTGAACCGGACCGGATCGATTGCCGTTCCTTCTCTGATAGCCGTCGCTGGACTCGCGGCAAAAGGCCTTGCCGGCAAGCCTCGAAGAGCTTGATAGCATCTCCCGGCGTCCTGACGTAGCCGTGATATGTTTCCATCATCCTGATGGCTCGAGTAGTAAGTATGTAGCTTTCTGGTTTTCTTTTTATGTCGTCGTCGATCGCAAATGCGATTCAACGCAATTTCGTGGTCAAACAGGATCAAAGTCCTTCTCCTCAATGGGCCGTGTCAGGGAGTGATGACGCCCACCATCCAGTCTGGTGAGTAGGGTCGCCCGCTGGAAGATGTTCACGGCTAGCACTTCCGCGACAATGCTCCGAGGAAATTCGAAATCAAAAGAGGCAGCTTTTGCCACAGAGCGGCAGCTTGTGCGATTAAGCAGCAGCTGTGATCGACGAGGTCTTAGTAATCCGCCTCGATCTGGGCAGCTTTAGACGGCTGGGGGTGGTGGTGGTGGTGCGTGTGGACGAGATGAGACGTCGCGTTCCAGATGATCCACAGCCAGGTAGAGGCTGTCAAGGGTGCTGGTACTATGAGCAACAGAGTTAGCACCTGGCTATACTTGGGACATGAAACAGCATCGCAGCGTGTGCTCAAAAGCAAAAGCCAGACAACCTCGAGTGATGTGCATGGTGATGTGTTAGATTGGTGGGTCTCGCCCACACGGCAGGGCTTGCGAGACGAGCAGGGTCTGATCTCGGAGCTCCATCGTAGCAGCATCCCCGCGTCGCCTGAAACGAACCGCCAGATTCGGTCCTCCACAGCTCGTAGAGGTCGAGATTTTGGCGTCCAGATAAAGAAAGCCAAGCCTTTTGAGTGACGGCCGAGAATGCCGAAGATGCCTCCAACCCTGGGAAGATCCTCCCATGCTCCCCTGTTCCCACGCCTTGTCCTCGACTAGACTTGCCAGTCGACACTGGCCACCCATCGCCGTCCCAGCCTGTTCAAGAACACTCCACGAGTCTGATTGGACGGCCCGTACGTCTGGCAAAATAGGCATACAGGGTATGCCGTATGCTTGTTTAGGCGAGCCTTGCTTCGCTTTCCTCAACGTAGCATAGCACCCGTATGAATGGGGGAAAAAAGACACGAAGCCACCGGGGTTGTCAAGTTTCAGGATGGACAAACACGCGCAAGCAGCTGAAAAAGGACCACTCGCTGGAGCAGCCACTCGGAGTGTCTTGCCCTATGAAGCCTAGATGCGCGACGCTCTCTCCAAACAAGAAAGGCTGGGTGAAGCATGCGCAACAGGAGAACGAGGACGACACTGAAACCTGGGCGGGACACCACACGTACAAAGGCATTTGGAACAAGGAGGACCAGCTGGTGAGACGAAAGGAAACCCAACGTTCATACATACCTAGATGAGAGAGAGAGAATGTTGTGGTTCCTGTCGCCTGGAAGCGAAGAAACTCAAAAAAGGCCCGGGGGGGTGGATCGTCCTTTTGTCTGTCGTCGAGTAGTTCGCTGACGAAAGACTGGAACCGGAAATGCCACGGGCGAACAGCTGAAACAGATTGGTGCGCGCGTGTCGTTGTCGTTGTCGTCGTCGTCGTCGTGAGATAGTTAGATGGTGAGATGGTGAGATATACGAGCGTGAGCAGGAATACGCTGCTTTCGTTTTGCCAGCCGGGAACCGTGTGCTCAATAAAAGTGAATCAAGAGGTCAAGGGCGGCGGCGCTCGCAAGAGGGTTGAGGGAGGGTGGCGGTCTAAGTATAAGAGTCGCTGGAATAAGTTTTGGGAGGGAGGGCTGGCCCGAGAAAAGCTTCTTTTGTCTTTTCGAAATTATGGCTGGGGATAGTACCTCTTAAGGTACATCAGAATGAGAAGGGAGGCTCTTCTGCCGGCTGGTCCCCAGTTTATTATTCCTGCGTGTTTATGCCAGCTGGACGTGTTGTGGTGGAGGGAAGCCCGAGACGAGAGGAGAGGAAAATATGACAGACTGGAGCTCAGTGAGGGAGCAGTGAGCGGCTGATGACGAGTTGCGTTCAGGGCCGAATAGCGCCTGTCTCGGAAGGTGGATTTCGGCCTTCCTTTAAAAAAGAAGCTTGTTGGAGCGCCGGATCCGCTGGGATTTGATTACGGGTTATGGGTGCTTAGGGCCTAAAATGCCACGAGTCACTGGCGCAGATCCCCTAAGAGCCAAGCACCCCAAGCACTCCCAGGGCCCCCCCTCCCCTCCCTGCCCAGGTGCCCAGCTGCCTTTTTCCCTGCTGCCGGGCTCTCTGCGCTTGGCTTGGCCTTGGCCTGGCTGGGGTGGGGTCCAGCGTTTCTTCTTCTCTCGACTTTCTGGGCAAAATGGGTACCTCCCAAGGCACAGTGCAGTACCTCTGAAGTACAGTAGGTACTTTGGGTACGCCGGCCGCCGTGCGGACAGGGGAGGAGGGGGTGGCCTGGCACACTGGATGGGGTCCGAGGTGAAGTGAGATATGGGGTACAATCCAGCCCACTGGCAGTGGTGAAAGTGAAAGTACGGAGTAGCTAGGTACAACGGTAGGGGTCCCGAAAGAAGTGGTGGCTGAGTGGCTTGGGTTTGCCGCTAAATAATTAGCATACAGGCCAAGCATTGGACGGCATCAAGAGACTCGAGAAGAAAAAAAGGAGGCAACTGGCTTGGGCTGGCGAGTAGCGCGTGAGCCGGAGGAGACGGGGTGATGGGTAGGGTTGGCTGGGATGCGGTGATAACGATCAGAAATACTAGCACGCAGTAGCCTACATGCTTAAACTAGCACCGGGTATTGTGAACATTTCGAGTAATCAGTAATGTGAAGCGGTAGTGGACGGTGGTGATGGATGGTGTGTGGTGGTGGTGGTGGTGTGTCGTCCTTCGTAGAGAGCAGTCGAGGTACCTATTGTACAGTAGGTAAGTACACACAGGGAACACGGCTGCCACGGCCCACAGCGCCCCAACCCAAGATTTCGGGGCGGCAGGCACTTTTGTCTCCTCTTTTGTCTTGTCTGTATCCTCGTAAACTCTTTTGCCGGCAGTCTTGTCTCGAGAGGGGAGGGGGGGGGCATGAGGAATGAGGAATGCTACCGTTTGACGGACTGAGCCCAGGGGCAGGAATGTGGATGAGGGTCTATGACCAGGACAAGCTGGCAACTCTTCGGGGCATCGGGGCACAACAAACGGAATGGGGCGGGTCGAGACGAGGGCAGGATTGCGTGGAGGTTGTCTTTGAAGGAGTGCAAGGGAGCGAGTGGTGTCTTATTCAGGTGAGAACTTACCCTCCAATGTTCCAGTGCCAATGCTCGAGCCAACCCTCTTTGGGCTCTAGGCCGCACGCCAACCTTTCCGTTGCTTTCCACTCTCCGCACGCGCTACTTTCGTACACACACACTCATTTCCCTGCCAAGAAAAACCTTAACTCAAAATGCCTGATGGCTCATGTAACTTTGTAGATCCCCTTCTTCAAAGGCTGACGAGTTTGCGGTACTCGGGGGGCATCGGCCGCCTGGGTCCACAGGCAAATCTTCGGCACTGCTGCTCGGGCTGGGTGGTCCCTTGGGCAATATAACGTGCAAATACCCAGCAACAAAAGAAGTAGGTACACTGGTGTACCTTGTGCCGTTGTGCAGATGTTGGTACTCGAGGACCAGATGACTAGCAGATAAAGGGGGGAAGACAGTCCGGCAACACACGAAGGGCCAATGTCAGAATAGTCGCCTCCCGTGCGCGCGCCCTTTGGAGCCCTTCGTGGAAGACGTGCTACAGCCTCGGAGATGCCACAATTTCAGATTATTAGCAAGCCGCTAGAACCATCAACGAGCATGCCGATGTTGCCGTCCTGGTCCAATCCGGGGTGCGCAACATACGAGTTGCCCAGGTCTCTTGTGCGGGCGCTGGCTGGAACCAATAGCCCCAAAAGCTAGCCCTTGGCGAGCAACCCACGAGGTCTTCTCCGGGCTGGTCATGGAGTCCGATCCCCACCGGCAGCAGAAGGACCGGGTCTCCTGAGTCGGCTGCCGTTCGTGTCGCGAGGTTGTCTGGGCCCCTAAAGTGTTAGTCTTGGCGCGGACCTTGGGGCCGTTCGTCGTGGAGCAGACACCAGAAGGGAGGGCCCCCCTCGAGCCCAAGCGCAACGGGCGTGATGCCGGCCGGGTGTCGCGACGGTGGCTACCGCTCCCTGCGGCCTCACTTCGCCTGGTGTCGAGTCAAGGCTGTATCTATATTTATCCTGTGGGATATACGAAAGCCATCTCCGCGCGCGACTAGTCAAGGGCTGGAACGGGGCATGTTTCGAACCATGACGTCTGCTTGTGTACGTGGCCTTGGACCTACGTTCAAGAATGCAGGGGAAAGTCAAAAGCTACGAGCGATGGTCGTTGATTACTTGTTACAGGGATAAGCAGTGCGAGGCAGGAAAAAGAATGCAGGTACTTTTTAATTTTGGAAAGTAATATGGAGCGTATCTGAAATTATCACCAGACAAGGAAGGAATCTAACTAATGCTCAGTGGCTGTAGCAGTGTTGCACCCTTCCCAAAGGGGTAATAAAGAGACGTGTATGGCACCTTCCGAGGAACGATTGACAAAAGAGTACGGATACCTTTACTACCTTGACGAGGAAGGTACCTACCGGGCTCGACATGCAAAGCCAAGACCCTTGACAGAGCGATGACCCGAGGCACCATCAACACGCCCGCCGCACAAAAATCATGCGCGAGCCAAATTCCAACAAGCATTTTGCGGAAACAGTGGGCTTAGTTATGCGTATTACCTGGATCTGACAAAGAACGCTCCGAGAACGAATGGAGCTGGCACAGTACAAGTACGGAGATACGGATACAGGTGCTGTTCCTTGGGGCGAGATCCTGGAATGCCGTGGTGCTGGGCCCAAATCCACCCCCCAGTACGGAGTACACTCAACTCAACCTGCTGGTGCGGGACGGACGGGTACTGTTACAGGGATGACAAGTTAAGATTGCGCCCCCAAGGCAATGCCAAGACTGCCAAGACTGCCAAGCCTTCAGCGCATTCGCCGGAGCCCTTGGTAAATTTCAAGCTTATTTTGTTGTGCGTGCGCCCCCCAAGAAAGTTGGAGGCAGAGAAGGCCTCGCTGTTGGATAGGTCGTACCCGTCGCGGTCTCGAAGCGGTA